TAAATGAGATTTAGTGCATTTTTTTTTCGAAATCAACTTGATTATCCGATTCAGTTAAGATAAATAATGCGCAATGATAGATCGAAACCGACTCTCAGATTGAAAGATCCATTATAATCAACCAGAAAGAAAAACAACAACAAGGATTCGTTCTCAATTTGTTTTTTTTTTTGTTGATTAACTTTCCTGTTATTATAATGATTTAATGTCTATATTTAGAGTGTATAATTATGACAAAATGAAATTCAATACATAGATATTAATTGAATGTTTTTCTTTTTTTGCTTCTAAAAATTAAGTACGAACCAAAAAGAAGAAAAAAAAACATATAGAAGTTCTTTTTTAAGGACGACTTTGCAGGGCTCCAATGATAACGATAGATTTCTAGAGTAGGAAAATTGAATATTCATATAAATTGGAATCAAGTCAAGTGGAACCTTCACATAAAAGAAATTATTTTATCAAAGCAGTAGACTCATTTCCAAGTCTTTACGGTTAGCATAATAAAACATGATAATAAGCCAATAGTTTTGCATGAGAAAACAAAACTTCAACCATAAAAGACAACATCATAAAAATTGTTTCGGTGAAAAAGAAAAAGATTTTTTTTAACAATTTACTTTATTTTCATATTTTTCATAAAAATATGAACCAACACTTGCATCAAATCAACTAACAAGAGAATCTATACAAATTGAAACTAGTCGTAAATCTGCTAAATGTTCGATTTTATTTTTAAAGGAGTCGTTCTCAAAAATCAGATTCATGTTATATTCATACCCGTTGCATTACTTATTATGTGCTCTAGATTCAATCCAATATTTCGGAATGTATAGAACTCCATTAGTACTTATATTGATTGTCTTTCTCTTGGCCACGACGGTCGCTGCGTTGAAGTTAATTGCTCAGTTTATTGTAATGTTTTAAAATTTTCTCTGCTACTTTCGTTCTAGGTAAATGTCAATGATAGGCGCACAATTGCAGTGAATTATACGTTCATAGAAAACGATTCACTTTTTTCTTGAAAATTTCCAAATAATGAGGCTCCTCTGAATCTGAGATAGACTCTTATTTTTGAATCTTTAATTGCAAATATTGACATAGTTTCTATTTTCATGTTTTTACGATCTGGTAGTGGTAAAGTTTTTTTCTTTTTAACTATTGAAAATGAGTCTCACTTTTTGTCTAAACTAGATTGCTAAAATAGTATTTTGTTTGAGCTCACTAACCTAAAATTACTGCGTATTTAAATATCTTCTTCTACATGTCTATTCAACAATCAATAGAAATGTCCTAGAGTGATAAATCGATCTGGAAACACAAATTCGATAGAATTGTTTTCCAAATTCAATTTCTACTATAATCAATATTCTCTTCAATGAATTATTCAGCTTCAAGTGTATTTAAAAACTCAATTGAATTATTAATCTCAAGTGTAGCATCTTATAATTGATGATAAATATTAACTATATGACATTGAATTCGTTGAGTTCATTAATTAATATATTCTTTCTATGCAGTACTAGATGAATCATAGATGGTAAAACTGATTTTTTTGCTCTTAAATAGGATCTATGTAGAATCATTGTATATGAATTTTCATTAATGTTCTTTAGCAAGCATGCATCCGTTCAGAATAAGAACGAGTTAAGAATTTTTCCGATTATTCGTTTGAATTATATTATCGGTAGCGAAGAGAAAAAGCAGAAGAGGGAGGAAACAATCAATTAATTCAATATAATCATAGAAAGTTGGAGTCAAGCAGAAATTCGATGAATTCTTTGGTTCAATTCCAACAATAGTCATACATAAAATAATAAGATAAACTTACAGAATAAAATTCATCAGTACTGATCCGGTTTGTCGAAGATTGAATAATGTTAATGCGTGAAATTTATACAAGAACCATCGCTACATAGGTCTTATGATGAAACACACGGATATGTATCTTTCAACTTAGATTTGCTCTCTATTAAACAATTAATCAAACAGACTAGCGTGATTTGGGATATGATACTCTTGAATCATGAGAAAATTTTTCTTGCGTTCTATTAGTGAAACAAATGTGCATATTCTCTCGAACAAATCCAGGCCTCTTTCCTTATGTTAGGTGCCTCCGGCTAGTCGTGCAATCAACGCTGGCGAGACGGCTGATTTTTTATCCATGTATCCAATTTTTTTAATATCTAATATCACATTTAACATGAAATCGTATGACCGATTACAGAGCAAACTTATTGATATATTTTACTTAGCGAGAGAGACGCATTACTGGTGCGTAGATGTTATCATTCGAAAACTTTGCTATTTTCGAATAATTCACTGATAGCAAATATGAGTTCATTTGCATTTCATGCGTGTTCATGATTGGGAAGAAAGAGTGTACTTTTAAATACATATAATTATGGGTAAATTAGAGAAGATAAATGCTGACAAATTACCGAGAAGAACTTCAAAGTAGTTCAATTAAAATATGATGCATCGAAAAAAACTTCAAGTATAAATTAATCTCTTTCCTGTTATACTTACCTTGAGATAGTTGTGGTCCGTCTATATCGAATATTATTTACCATAGCATTAAGTTGTACCTTTTCACAACAAACATGCAACTCATTTTTTTTCTTATAATAGAAACTTATTCCTTTTTCAATTCTTGTATGACAAAAGAAAAACTGTCTACTTAAGTGAATATATATCTGTAGATAGATCTAAATAGAAAATTTACTTGAATCAATAGTAAGAAAGAAAAAGAGGCAGTTTAAATTCAAGACAATAAAAAGTAAATCGTATCATAGCTGCATAGTTTTATGCTTTATCGTTGAATAAATGAAGAGCTTGAGATTAAGTCTTCTGTAGACTATTATACGACGGCAATGCTAATCGATCAGTGTACTTTTGTCAATCTTATGATTAGAAGAAAGAAAATTTTCTTCTTACATGTTATCTGTTATATTTGAAATAAATTTTCAACTGACAACAGCTTTTTTCTAGCTCTCTTGTATACTCACCATTTGGTACAAAAGAAAAGACATTTAACAGAGTTGTTTTGATGAGAGAAACAACGATTACTCACATTGTTGTACAATATCTTCGCCAGAAAAACATTTGTGTTCTGTCAGGATGTCTCATGATTTATGATTGATCTTTGCAGGCGATTTGGAGGAAAATAAACAGGCGTCATTGGCAGTTTGTATGACTATTGGCATGTTTAATTATTCTTAGAAATCAATCGAGAAAATAAAACATATTTTGATGACATTCTGACATGCGCTTTAGGCCATATATTTACATAGAGTATGGTATCTGATATCATATTTTTTCTCTATATGATAATTTTTTTCAAAAATGAAAATGCAAGTTGATGTTCGAAGTGAAACGGCTTTTCAGTGTCTAAGTGACTTAGCTGATACATTTTACAGTTCATAGAAAATTAAAAAAAAACTTCCATTCAGTTACATAATAGTATTGTGAGACTACTTAGAGAATTGTGTAGAACGATATTTTTAATTCTATAGTACTTGAAGAATTCTTTGAAAAACCAAAACTTACTATTAATCAATACAGAATACCATCGTATATCAATATAATAGAGAATTGACTATCTGTCACGTAACGGCATAAGCGACTTGGCTCTATTTTGACGTTGAAATGTTAAGAAAGTTAAAGGAAATTTTCCTGATGAATTCAAATCATCGGGTCATGTTTTAAATATGCATATGTGGAATTGAAAATAGTTTCAAACTTTGCATAGTGAATCAATAAACTTATTGATGAAGAAAACCGTGGTGCCATTGGAGATTTCGATGAACAGAAGAGAGTTTTAAACAATTAATGATCATAAACCTGGAATAACTGGAAAACAACGAGCTAAATTTATTACTGACTGAAAATTCTCGTTGTCATGCTTAAAATCTTATAAAATAATCAACATCGAAAGGATAATTATAGGAATATATTTAATAGAATATCTTATCTATAATAATGTTTACAATAGCTTTATCTTGGAGGTAAATCTTAAATACTTTTCTAGATAAAAAATCTAGAAGATAGTAGCAATTTGATGATGGCACTATCTCTTATCTATTCCTCGGATATTTTTCAGATTTTACAGTTCTTTTCATTATTGTCTTGCGTGACATTGTCTAACGCATCACATTCTAGAATGATCACTGCACGTGTTCGATAATCAGAGTTGCATTCTGAGCGAATTGCTCGCGCTAAGATGTTACCAACTACCTAGCTGCTTTCCCTTCGGACTATTTGCAATTAGATCGGTTACAATAAATAATAAAAATAGCTATTTATACTTCGTTGCCAACTGTGCGTTTGTTAAATTACACGCAATGGAGTTTCAGGTTCCTATAGGATTGAAACGCAAGTTATACGTTGGCTTATATATGGACCTCAATACCAAGAGAAACATGTCAATGTTTTAGGTAGCATAGACATATCTCACATAGGATATTTATATTTAAGAAAAAATGCCTATTCCGACTTGTTTTGCAAAAAGAGAACATTCCGATGACAAGTTGATACTTCGACATGAGTGTATCTGTTCATACTCGCATTTTATGACATTTCTAATTGCTGTGTGACCTTTCAATATAAAAAGCATTCGTTCAGTATTCAATCATCGAGGTTCACAATAACTCTATGCTCATAGAGTTGCCAAAATAGAGAACGATTCTGATTAGTCATAAAAGAAAAATAAAGAGAAGAAGTCGAACAAAACCTTTTCAGTACTTATTCTGATCCATTGCATGGCAACAGACTGTTGCCAACAGTGTCGAGCAAAAAATCGATCATCCCGTTAGAAACGTTCTTTCATTAGTTGTTTAATATTATGATAGCTATCTTGATCTTCGAATGTTTTTATTGAACGTGCTATTAGACCTATTGGCGCTTTTCTGCATGAAAATCAATTTGAATTCATGTGTTCAGTATGATTCATTTGTTTTTATTTACAATAATCAAACCGCAAAACAAGAGCTATTCTATTTTTAAAAGCGTGCTATGGGTATAACCCCATGTCGTAATGAAAATGTTCTATTCAGGCGTTGTTGTGATGCGATTCTTTCCGATCGCATGGTCGTGCTTCTTAACATATCAAGTACAGGTGTCTTTGTTAAGCGAGAATCTAATGTTATACCAATATTGATTCGTGGAGTTTGCGTTTGATTCAATGAAGTGTTCACATCTTCTTCGTCTGTGTACGACACATCATTATTAGAATTCTCCCATTCGTAGTCGAGAGTTTTCACAGACGGTTGCGAGGATCTATTTGATAGCGATGGTACTTTATCGTGAATAGTTTGTTGTAAATTCACGTTCGTGGGTTTAGACGATGAAAATACTAATGGATCAATTAATGGTACTGATTTCGGTCGCGATGCGATTGATATTATATTGGATTTTTCCAATTGTTTAATATTTTCTTTAACTTTTTGTGAAACAACCGCTTGTTGTTTCTTTTTTAATAAAAACGCATTCAGATAACCGTATGTAGATGAATTTGTCAATTTTTTCGGTTCAATAACTGGAGAGTCGACTGCATAGGAAGCATTATTATCATTTGAATTGGTTAAAATTGGAGATTTCAAATACTTAGTCGGAAATGAGTGAGTTTTATTTGATGGTCGAATGTTATTCATCGACGAATAATATCGATTGTTATAAGTCATAAAATTTGATAAACGTGGTTCACTTTCGTATAATGACGGTTTCCATTGTTGATGATTTAGAGATACATAAGGAAATACTAAAAATGAAAGCGATGATGGATTAGTTTTGACTAGTCACGGTCTTTTTCGTGGTATCATTCTCAAATTAATAAAGTAAAAGAATTCAAATTTTTTTGAATCCTATTAAGTATGTTAATGATTCTTAGAAGCATTACTCTTCAATTCATTACACCTAACATATTCTAATCAAAATGTAAGTTTAACGCATTGAGCTAGTATTAATTAGAGAATATTGGCACGGAGTGAGACATTCGTGAACGTACTAAAGCTCGTCGGTTGAAGGACTCTAGCAGTGACAATGGTCTGCTACATATGTATGTACGCTCCTTATCCAGAACGAAATATGAGAAGAAGCGTCCCTTATCCTCAAAGTAACTATCGAATTTCGATAGGGATATTGTATTACCAGTATGAAACTACGACTCGACACGATCCTAAATCGAAAATAATTTTTCCTGCTGGGTGTCGGTACAACTTCGATTCCAAAAATCTTGAACTAACACTGGTGCATGTATTATGCTATGTGATAGAAAAAAAAAATGGGACATCATTCAATTCTTCTTGGGAAAGAATCACATGTCAAAGGAAATAATCCTTCATTATCTTTTGGGGAAAAAAAATTGTTAACAATAATTTGTAGTATTATAAGAATAATTCTAACCTGTTCGTTGTTGTTGTTTTAGTCGATAATTGATTTCACTTTTATTTGCTGATCGAACTGATATATTATTTTTTGAAATAACATTATTATGATGAACACTCATTTTTTGTGTATTTATTTCATTTGATGATATTGAACTACATTGAGCAGAATCATTTGATGTATAACTTTGACCATCTATATCATTGCTTGTCTGATAAATTTGTGATACAGCTGAATTAAGCAATTGCGTTGAAGGATCACTACTATCCCCAAAACCGCTATCATTTGTATGAATGGATGGTTTTAATGATATGCATTCTTTTATATTCGATGACAAATTATGTAAATGCAAATGAAGAAGATTTCCATCCGGATCATAAATATAATATTCATATTTATTTATTGAAAATAATTTACTTGTATATTCATGTATAAAATAATTCAAATTAGTTAAACGAAATTTTAAATAAGCTCCTTGTGATATTGTATATGATTGAATTGATGGAGAATATTTAATAGACAGTTGATAAAGTAATTTATTATTTATTGGTGATGATAGATTAAATACTACAAAACCTGTTTTACTAGAATCCGGTTGACGTTGAAATAAATGTTTATAAAATTTTAGCATCGAATCGAAATTTTTCGTAAATATATTAAAACGTATAATTACATGCCGATTATATGGCAGATGTGATATCGACCATAAAGGTAATAAATGTGATAATTCATAGTAGTCTTGTCGTGCTATTATTTGTTTATATTCATCTAACAATTCAATTTTATGATGAAAATTCCATGTATGTATCGATTTGAAAAAGTCTTTTTTTTCATGTTTCTTGAGAATTTCATCTGTTAAAAAAATGACACAACTCAATGATTGACATTGAATTGGAATCTTTGAATTTGATGGATTAGCTGTAAATGAGCCGAAATATGTTGTTGGTTGAATTTGTCGTTCAACAAAGAAAAATTTCGGATCAGTTATAGAACATGAACGTAGAAGACTTGTTATCGCTGTTGAAATCTCATCATATTCATTGCAGCCTATTTTTAAAATAAGTTCACACGGACAATTGTGATCCGCTGTCATCTAGAATAAATAGAAAGTATCTAAGTTTAAAGAGATCCTCTAGTGTAGATGAGCAAAAAAGTGCTCCGCTCTTTGTTTGTTGTATCAGTTAACTGTACTATTATTCTCTAACCGTATAATAGAGAATAGAGAAGATAAAGAAAATGAACAACTAGAATACTAATCATACATATAGCGATGCATATGTGTGAATGATTGACGAACAGCCACCATCAAGTTTTTGTTCATGATGCATGATGTGATAATTGCAGACAAAAAGAAAAGAAAGAAAAATATTTTCTATAGTCGCCGCGACTGATATGTAGAAAAGGTTGATCAATCTTTCTTCGATTGTTCGAATTCAATTGAAATGAAACCAAGTGTTGGCGTAAATGTATCAAAAGTAATGTTCTATTGTCAACTTTATTTTAATATTCATTTTCTATAGCTACACGTGAACGTGAAATAACAAAACATCACTTACTGTGTCTGTTAACTGATTGAAAAAATACAAAGAAAACGTAAATGTAATATTGTTAGATTGAGCTTCGTTTGACGATTATTTGATGATTTATTGTTTATATAATCTTAATGTTGTTTATGTGAATGAATGATTAACATATCTACATATTAATGTAACATTGAAAACGTTACAAACACATGTGATGAATCTTTATTATAACAAATGATAGACAGACAAGACTGAATAGAAAAAGATAGTTTGATAATTAGAAAAGGTTCAACGGTAGATGCTTACATTCAAAATTATAAATATAAAATTCTATTCTTTCCCTATGTATATTTCTCGAAAGAATCATGCATACCAATCATATTATTATGAGATTATGAATAGCTGCCTTTCTTCTGCGATCGATCGAATTCTTGATATTTAATCATTTCATGTCTACTTCATCAATCGGTCTTCTTTTTCCTTTTGCTGCTTCAACTTATTTTATCGTGCCGAAGCACAAAGCGTATCTAAAAGAAACATAATACATACACTCAATGCTTCGTGCGTCTATTCTACTACTACTTAACTCACGTATACGATTATATAGGTACCGAACACTCGAATTTATTCAGTAGTACACGTTTCGTTTCAAGAGAAGAAAAGATCGCCGAATCCGAACACGGAGCAGCGTAACTGCTAATATGATATACGTCTTGTCATCAGCATTGCAATCACAATATCAAATATTAGGACTAGTCAAATATAACCGTAGAATAAGCAAAGACAAGTAGACATGACTACCGATACAAGACGATACTCAAAACTTAACCTTCTTAGTGAACCAAGAAAATAAAACCGCGAGGTTATTTTAACATATGAAATCAAAAAATCGATGAATTGAGTTTTTTATTTGATCTCAGATGAAGTATAGATTACAGTGTATATGCACATCATGTTTCAAACAAAGGCGTTTCTTTGACAAACAAACATTCTTTGATACAAGATGAGCAATTTTGTTTTTCGTTCAGAAAAAGTCAAATTGTTGCATACCTGGTCTTGCTTGCTTATTATTCATGAACTAACTATTTGAATAACATTTGTTCATTGTTGGCTGAATGATACTTCACTTTTCTGCTATGCATGTATATCATAATATTGTTACATAAGTCTCCTAGAGAGAAAAAAGGGCTAAATGGGAACACACATTTATGTCTGTTGTTTGTTCCACCTGCCACTAATGTCTCTCTCTCTTCTTTCTTCTTCTTCTTCTTCGTTTTACGTAATACTATGCAGTGAAGAGAGTCGATCACTCATCTTATCCATCATGTAATTTGCTTTATGCAAGAAAAAAAGGAGAAGAGATTATTTGCGCTTGGTAACGAGCACCATGTAAGCAGGTTTCTTTCCCTCATGTATATATGTATATGAAGGAATAAAAATGAACTTCGGTAGTTCATCATGAATGCAATTAGTATAATTGACACGATATCTAACAAATGCACATTTTAAAATGTAAATTTTCTTTCGGACAAGAAGATGAAGAAGAAGATTAAATGTATAAAACAGATATTTGTATCTGTTCAGTGAATCATGCATTGTTCATTCTTCTTTTGTTACTATTGATGTTTGATTTAGGCTTCATGAAACCTGTGCATACTATTCTATTGAACTTTAAATAACATGCGATACATTATTAAGATGACACTTACGACTAAGCAAAGACCATATATGTCAATTACACAATAGAATATATGGATCAAAAGATGACTCGCTTCAATTGGATCATTCAGAAACAACTGCCTATTCTATTTATCAAAATATAGAATAGCGGTAACTATTTATCGATATCTCTCCGACTGCTTTGTCTAACGATAATAAATCAATTATCTGTTGGATTCGTTTTTCTTTTACCAACATTTATAAAACAGAGTATTCGAAATAGTATATTTCTAACGATGTGCCATAAGTAACCTGTTGTTTTCATATTTCGGAATTAATAAGATATCAGATTAGGCATTTGACATATACAATTAAAACTTTTCCTTTGAAAATATTTTTACAACTTCACCAATTGAACAGTCACATAGATCTTCTTTTTCAAATAGCAAATTATCATTGTGAACACTTCGGAAAGTTTACAAGTAATGAAAAATATCTATGATATGCTGGTAATATTATACATATATTTGTGTGTCGTCTATTGGAGCTAACTTAACAATTATAAGCGTTGTTCGATGAAAATCCTACGATAGGAATTATCATATGCCATTGCGGAGTCAGATTTTCATTTGCACTTTCTATCCAAGATCCATAGTGCAAATGAAGTGATTAATGAAAGATAAATATGTTTTGTCATGGTGTAAATAATTAGATTTTCATATCTTTAACATTATTATATTACCTAAGCAGAAAAAAAGAAGAACTACGCCATATAAAAAACAAGAATATTCTCAACTATTTCTACTAGCATAAAACTGCAGAACCTGATGTAGTTAAGGTCGGCTTGAAAGTTGATATCACTTGACTATTTTTTTTTGTTTGTGCCATGTAATTTTTACAGAGCTGTATCGATGTCAATATAACGTTTAAGTATTTATTAATCCTTATTCTAATAAAATATCCACTATATCATCATATAATAAATCCTTGTGCTTGCAAAGAATAAAATCCTTGCCTAGATATATTTGCAGAGTATCAGAAGATTTATTATATATATATATATATATGAATATAGAGGAACCGAAAGATTCAGGTCATTTTGATTCATTTCGATTGATATTCTACTGCTAGAATGGCTAATATACGACTGATTCGACTTGTAATGAGTGTGCTTGTTTGCATACTTATACAGAGCAAATGCAATGCTCAGCTTAGTAAGATTTTAAAGGCTATAGAAATAATTTTGATTACGAGTTTTTATTTCTAGATAATCTTGATGAAGATACTGGTTGTCCTCTGAACGTCGATCATGTATGTACAGCATGCGCCGAAGATCGAAATCGTTTAGGATGCTTTTGTGAATTACCAGATGGAACTGACATAATCACGGCTAGTGTATACACACCATGTCCAGCTGGTAAGTACACAACTAAAATAAGTCGAAGCTAAATTGATAGTCATCGATTTTGAATAGTAGAGGAAGACCCGTGTCAAAACAACTCATGTAAAAACGGCGCTTCATGTGTACGTGACACTTTAAATACTTATAGTTGCATTTGTGTTCCTGGTTTTGGTGGTAAAACTTGCAATGAAACATTAGCAAGTAGGAAAAAAATCATATTTGAAAACAATACGAGCATTTTATTTTGTATTTCATTTGTCGATAGAATGTAGTGATGCAAATGTAAAGTGTTTAAACTCTGAGTGTGTCGAAACAACTGATCCTAAATTACCTGTCTACTGCCAATGCTATGATGGTACACGACGAGACCCAAATCAAAACGATACATGTCCATTAAGTTAGTTATTTTTGCAAGCTAGTTTTGTTTTTTTGTATCATGTTTTGTCTTTCCAAGGTCCATGTTATGAGAGAGATAGCTCTACGCCAGTATGTAAAAATAATGGCACATGTCGAACTATTAACAGTGCATATTTCTGTGAGTGTGCGTCAGGTTTTGGAGGTCAAAATTGTACCAAAGCTCTTCTAAGTAAATATATTTCGATCATAGACGTGTTTAGTTAAGTAAGCATCTGTGCGTTTTTAGAACCACTTTGTGAAGACGTGCCAGGCGTTTGTGGTGAAGGAAAATGTCAACAATCAATTACGAAACCATTTTATTCATGTAATTGTGGTAGCCATCCAGGCACATTTGGCAAAACTATTAGTGAATTAGTAAAATGCGAACAAAGTCAGACTATACGAACAGTAGAAATTTATTTTTAATAGATATATTGATTGCTTAGGTGGTTGTTATGCATCAAATCCATGCCAAAATGGTGGAACATGTAGTAATAAAGGTGTGGGAGCTTTTCTTTGTCAATGTCCACCTCAGTATACTGGATCTAAATGTGAAAAAAATTGTAAGTTAAGACTTTGGAAAAGAAAAAGTTTTGTTTTTTCTTCATTGGTTCATTTTGTTTTCTAGCGGCTTGCTTTAATAATCCATGTGTGAATAACGGTATTTGTGAAGCATTCAATGAAACTATGTATTTCTGCCAATGTCCAACTTATTTCACGGGTAAACGATGTGAAATTGCTGTACCAGGTAAGAGATTGTTCAACAGGCTTCTTTTGTATTGTTTCCGTAAAAAACCATTTATTTTTCCTTCAGACCCATGTCTAGGAAAAAATTGTGGTCCTTTTGGTGAATGTAATGATATCCGAGGTAGTGCAATATGTCATTGTAGTGATGGACTACATCTTGATGGCTCACCTTGTGAAGGTACAGATTTGATTTAGTTTCGAAATACATGGTTTTGTTTCCGATTCTTTGTTTAGATCCGTGCCGTAATAAATCTTGTAATACTGGTGCCTGTACTAAAAAAGCCAACACAACCTATGAAGCTATTTGTTCATGTCCACCAGAGCGCCAAGGAGAATCATGTGAAAAACCACGAGGTATATTTACTCATTTTGTAGGCTTTATATTAGAATACGTTATTTTTGTGAAACAAGATCTAAAAGACGTGTTGAAATATAGGATTAAATTTGTAGAACCTCTACGAATAGTTTTTGATGTAGACTCATAAACTACACATGAATCATCTTTCTTTTTGAAATACGAACTGAATTTCCATTGTATGTCGCATCTTGTGGATTCATTTTTCGGATTAAATACCAGTAGCTGCAGCACATCTCGAGGGTTCAATCTGATAGAACTTATCTTCAGAGTTTCTTTAACATTTAGATGCATGTCGTGAAGGTGCTCGTTGTGGTGGTGGCTATTGTAAACCAAATTATTCGTCTCCTCGCGGTTACGTATGTGTATGTGAGGGAAATGTTGTTAAAAACGAACCATGTCCATTTACGAGAAGTAGATTATTTCACATTCATAATACAGATTTTATTCTATTGATATGTTTTATTGATAGATTGTCCAATCAAAGATTGTGGAACCCAAGGTATTTGTGTAGAAACCGATGGTATTGTAGTAACTCCTGGTACGAAGCCAATCTTTTATGTTTGTTTATGTAAAAATGGATATATCAATTCTGGTAGTTGTAATGGTAAAAATTGAATATACCATTGAATAATAGAACATAAATGTCGGTTTTCTAATATTAGATTTGATCGACAAAGACATTCCAAAGGCTAAAGTGCCATGTGGGCCTAACGGAGATCCATATCCAAGTCGTAATCCAAATAATCCAATCGGATGTTGGTGTGAGAGCGGTATACACATTCCAGAAATTGACATCAACAATTCGACAGGACTCTGTATTTAAATTAAGAGTCCTAGATGACAAAAGCAAAGCGAAAAAATTTATAATTGTCACTTTTTCTTTTCATAAACATAATTAAAATTGCAAAATAAACTCTCGTGCATACACATGTTTAATTATTCATTTGAATTAACCTTAGTAGAAATGAATGACAGATAAGTGAATTCTCATTACGAGTAGAACTTGAAAATTGAATGATATTGCCTTGAACTAATGGTCTATGCATATAAAACTTGATATTCTTTTACATGACAATGAATTTATTTGAGTATCGATTCTATCCAGCATGCCCGACATATCATGTCTGTTTCTACTATATCGACATGAATTGCAAATTTGAATTTTAAAATCGTTCTTGTAATGATCCACGATGTATTTTCTCTAGTTTAAATGGATTTCAATCACGTTTTCATTTGTAAACATCACTGATTGGTTTTCCTTCCATTTCGATAATAGCAAAGTTCATAGAAAAATATAAGCGTCATTAGCCTACTCAGAAAATTTCTATTCAAATCTGACGGAGGATGATTATATAAAATATGCTGCTGACTTTAATATTTTGCCAATAAATGTAAGTTCGAATTTCATAAGTACTAATAATCAGAGAATGTGCTCTACTCTAATATCATAATCATAAGATACACAATGTGCTATCATATATTATTGTCTCTAAAAATCGCCCACCTAAAACCTGTGTCAATGTGAGTCAATATTTTTTTCAAAAAATCCAATTAATCCTTTAATTACGAACATAACGAAGAGAATCTATAAACAATCTTTTTAAGTCATGACTCCAGAACATATCTTTACAAAATGCTGATAACACTGAATTTAGCTGCCTGATGTTTTGTTCCTTGTAACTCGATCTAGATAAAATATCTGCACTATGATTGATTACATTGATCTTAAAAGCTAATGAAAATCATGACGTTTATAAACAGTCATGATAGCCAAAGGATTAATAATAAAATGTTCCGATGCCTGAAGAATATTCCCGAAAGAAGTATTTCTATTCAAGAATATTCTGTTATACAACCATTTTTGTTAACGACAGAAAGTAAAACAGAATTCGAAAAAAGACAAAAAAAATTCACTCACCCACCTAGCAATGAATGAATTCTTCTATTGAAAATCGAAAGCTAATTTTGCGATATTATTCTCATGTGATATTATCGATGTTGAACTGACACTATAGATAGATATTGAAATAGATGGAAATAAATAATGAATGATTACGGCACTGAAACGTTGCTTCATAGAATCACAAATTATCCAAACAAGCATGCTGTTCTCAGCTCGCCTCTGCTTTTCGTCAATTAATATTTACATGTTTTTAATATTTTTAAGACAGACACCAATACATATGTCGGTAAACTTTTTTCATTAGTCTCTTTTTAGGGCCATTCTTAGAGTATTACTATTGCCGAAAGATTTGCATGCAAAGAAAATTTTATAAGAAGCTCATTTGTAATTTACTGATGGCGAATGCCGACTCTGAATGGATAAAAAGTGCCAAACTGTCAACAGCGTATCAAATAAAACCCAGACAAAAGTTTTCTTGAAGTTCGAGAATTTTTTTTTTACTTGGTGACTTAGAACGTAGAATGAAACTTGATAGTTTAGACACGATAATATACTGTTTACATCTTCCTTAACAGTAACGAATAGAACTAATGGTAGAAAACCAGTTGAGAATTTGCAAGTTCTCCTTGTAGGGGAAATATCAAGTAAAAAGTATTTGGAAAAGCGAAATTTCTATGAAAAAGATTTTTGATGCTGTCAAAAAATTGTGTGGTCAAGTTCATTTGATATGAAAAACATTTGAAAAAAGATTGAACCTGTGAAATACAGTACATTTTCCTAAATTGATAATAAATGCTCTTTACGATCCTATTGCGCAATCGAACAATATGTCTTGTAAAAATCGAAAATATGTTATCCGATTTAATAATCTTCTCTATTTCTCTGATTATTATCGTTGAGAAAAGCTTTCAAAACTACATAGCCAGTCAAGTTTCTCCTTGTGATTTAGTACAATACAATCATATGATTAATAATAAATGTAATTATCATTAAATTTATTTGTTAGTAACAAAAATTAAAATAATCTAAAGGCAAAGAAAGTTTTAACAATGATTGTTCGTGATAATTTTTGATTTCTCTTTCATCAATAATCTAATTTTGCGACCATCGTGTTTGAATCCATTTGTCAATTTTATTATTAAATACTTTTTCTTTGAGACCCTGTTTAAAGTGTCTTGTACACCAGAATCCCATTCCCATTGATAATATATGTGTAAGCAGATTAAATGATATGCAGACATAAAATACTTGAAGCACAGGCACCAGATTAATCATTGTTGCTTTTGTTGTTGTCAACGATGGGGTTGGCCGGCGTGATATTTGTCTCGAATATTGAATAGCCTAATTATTTTTCATATTCTGATAGAATAATAAAATTTGGCAAAAAAACGCTTACCGTATAGAGACCATAACCCAAAAATCCGAATTGAAAAAGTGAAAATATATAAAAGATAAAAACCAACATATAGTTTTCTAGACGAGCCTAAATATGAACAATGACACGTTTTTTTTTATTCATGAGAAAATATTTTTTTAACGTCGTACCATACCAATACCCATGCCTAGCCATAGTAATGTTAGAGGAATGCCAATAATGAGTAGAACTCGATCAACTGTTTCATAGCCAGTAACATTATATAAGTTAAGTAATAATGATGAAATCTTATTAAACAAAAAACAAACTTTCTAATTTAAAGTGAACTAGAGAACATAGTATCTACCGAAAGCATTGTATTTATGCGTACTACGCAATCGAATATACTATAAATCTTAAGTGGACGACGTGCTGCAGGAAAAACCCCGAAAAGCCTATTGAAAAAGAATAGGTTAATAATCAAAAACTTTTCTCAAATACAACAGTAAGAAAAATTAACATACCGTTTCGAAAATTCGTCTCGTCGATAATCTTTTATTACCATAACAGCAAGTGGAATAAAACATAGATTGAAAGTAATCGTAAATATAAGTCGAGCCTTGAAAAACGCACAAACATTAATTCAATAGAAAATAGCTCTTTAAACAAAAAGAAAACGTTTATTTACTAGACGAATTTTAGCCTGAGTACTTTGCCCGTCATTGTTGTGAGTTATTTTAGCAATAAAATGTGCAATAACATAAATAGTTAATAAAACAGAACTGAGAAAGAAAGCCACAATATCAGTTAGACGTTGATAGAAAATGCCAGTTATTAGAAATATAAGAAGAAATACTAAGAAATAAACAAGAAAGAAATGTTATCACAACGTTGTTGTTTTTTCTTGCTAAATTTAGTTCCTACTTGAATGAACAAGAATAAGAATACCATAAGCAAAATCTGGATCATTTGAAGGATCTGATTGAACAATACGAGCAATGGTTAAACCATCGGTAACAAATGCAGCTAATAGACCAAGAGCAAGAAATGTATATTCATACCAACGAATATTTGTCCATCCACGACGCTTAATTTAATGATGAAAAAAATCTAGGATATAAAATAAATTGAAACTAGCTTACAGTTCCAAGAAATCCACTTTCTTCAATAGCATGTTCAGCTGTTAAATTCAGAATGCCTGCAAACGTTGGCCGTGGTTCTGGCTAGATGTTGTGAGAAAGAAAATAGTTAATAAATCAAATTTTCTTTTTCGTTGACTCACATCCATACTGATATAGTTTTACTCTGCAGATTGTTACTGGCTTTTAAATGTTCTATTTACAATACTTCGTGATTTACCTTTTGAGAAATATTGAAATGAAGAAAGTAACAAGTAGGATTTTATTTTACTTGTTATCTTTTTCGAGGTCAAAAAGCAAAGTCAAATATAAAGATAATGTTGCTAAAAAATATATATATAAACAATAGAAGGTAAACTTAGTTTTTTTTCCTTGTTAAATCGAAGGATATTTAGAAGAATTGAATTCATCTATCGGTCGAATATACTGGATTTTATTAATATCTAATAGGTCTACTTCTATTCGTGTCGTATTCATTACTGTTCGATTTATCAAACACAGTCTGAAAAACTGATCTTCAGTTAGGTACATTATCGATCGCATGGAATCTCTACGATGTGTTGACGTGTTAATAATTAAGCCACGATGGCCTTTTTTAGGCGAATTTTTTTCGGAATTTTTCTAAAGAACAAGGATTATCAATGACTTTTTTTGACAGCTTACAATCATCCGTGAATCTTCTATTCAATATATTTATCTTCCTTTTATTCAAAGAATTATGTTAACTTCTTGTGTTCGACAGACTCTTTATTTTTTTTATTCCAACAAATAATAGCAAAAACGTTTTTGACTCAAACAATGCATGCACCAAATACTACAGCTGATTATATTTTTTTTCAAAAACAAAATGAGTACAGGTAAATAAATAAATCATGGTATTCTTATTCTTGTTCATTCAAGTAGGAACTAAATTTAGCAAGAAAAAACAACAACGTTGTGATAACATTTCTTTCTTGTTTATTTCTTAGTATTTCTTCTTATATTTCTAATAACTGGCATTTTCTATCAACGTCTAACTGATATTGTGGCTTTCTTTCTCAGTTCTGTTTTATTAACTATTTATGTTATTGCACATTTTATTGCTAAAATAACTCACAACAATGACGGGCAAAGTACTCAGGCTAAAANTCAAAATTCACAAAAACTCCATCCAGAAATCAAATTGTCTAGTTTCTCATGATAATTTTCGTGTTCAGGCATTCTAGAATGACTCATATGTCGCATGCACTTTTTGCAGTACACATAACTCGGATGAAATCCGAAGTTTCCACATTTATTTTTATCATCATTCGACTGCAGCATACATATGTGACGATATTATTAATCTAACTGTTTTTTTTTGTTCTTAAACGAAACATACATTTATTTATTTCTTGCTCTTGATGAATATTAAACAACGTCAAATCAAAACAGCAACAAAAACAACAGAAATCAATTCGAATTAAAATTGTGACTCATCGAATGTGTGCTTTTGAGATGCACGGAAAGATCTGTGTTCATGATTTTTTGCAGCAAAGTATCTCCCAAACTACTTTTGTGTTTAAATTTGGTTGAAATCGTGGTTGATCGTCGATGATGAACATTGAGAAGTGAGGAAAATGCAAAACGTAACTGACGACCGCTTACACAATAAATAACAAAAATTTGAGTCTTTTAATATTTCACTTAACACACGTAGAACAGCATAAACTTCAAAGGATTTTTGTGTGAAGCAATGCTTAAATGGTAATCCTAATCGTGATATCGCATTTGTTATAGTAAATGGAACAAAATAAACGATAAACATTAATGTTAAAATTAACAACATAAGCATTAAGTGACTTTCATTCGAATCCATTTGACGGTTCTGTTGATTAGAATTGTTTGCTAACAGATCATGCCGTCGAATAACTGCTCGTTTAATTGTAAATATTGTTAAGAGATTACCAATAATAACTATAGTTAATGGAATATAACAATATCCGAATTTTGTTATTGTTGCATGTAATCGTCTATAGGCATAGCAATCAGGTAAAGGCTGACATCGGACCCCTTGAGTACTTGCTGTATCCATAGGTATAACTAAAAGTCGAGCTGCAAATACTATTGCTATAATCGCTGTGATCATAACTACGGTGCGAGCACGACATTGTGAGGCAAATTGTGTTTTATGAAATGGAAATAGAACAACCAATGTAGGCTCAATTGTTATTAAAACAATAATCCATACTGATAGAAGTACACTGGCTTCGCCAAAAATACTGATATTGCACACTGTTGGAAAATAAAAATGTTGGATGCTTTATTTCGATATGAAACTAATTTAAAAATAAGCACTAATGTGTCAGATATGGCTAATGATGTCACATATACGGAAAATGACGAGTGATTTTCAATTGTGTACTTGTTAATATTACAAGTAAGATTAATGAATTGCCAACTAATGCCAACGTTGGTGATATATATATAATGAAATGTCATCCAAACTCTGTGCAAAATGATATCCTGTCGCGTTGAGTATCAAATTATTCGGTTCACACATATAACGATTCATCTGAAAATAATATATATTTACATATGTTTAAATGTATTCATTCGTGATATAGCTAAATAAACTAAAATAAACAAGGGAACAAGCCACCGAAACGCTATTTATTATAAAGAAATGTTCGCTAGAACATTTTTTTATGGAAAACTCAAAACAATCAAATGACATGACCGAAACTAGAACTTCTGTACAAACGGAGATTGGCCATAAGAATTCTTTAACTTTTAACTGTGTTTTTCGATCGAGAAGTAAATATGTTTCTTGAACATCAACATAACAGATATTATCTAGAATATTTTACCGTATAAAAGTAAATAAGACGGTTTTGTTCTTAAGACAGACTTGATATTTATTAAACTAGAAAAGAAAAAAAATGATAGTAAGCATCAAAACAAATATATAGCTAGAATGATGAGAACTAATATTTCTATGCCAATAAGCAACTTGCTAGGTTAAACAACTAGTATTGTTGACGTTTCGTAACAATTATCTTGTCCGTAGTAGAACTGCGTGGGATTACTAGAGATAGGATTTTCAGGAATTACATTGTGCGAAATCTGCTTTAGAATAAAAGAAAACTCTGCACGAAAATAAGCTGAAAAGCTTGTTAGCGCAGCCCATTTGGGGCTAAAATGTGGAACTCACATATGATTTTTCGCCTAATTTACTTATACATAATGCGTGATGCGAAATTTGCTGCAAGAAAATCGATCGGTAGGAAAAAAATGTCTTATTTAATTTTTGCATGCTNTATTACTTCTTTCATCATATATTTTAACGTATGAGCCGCAAAAATCTCGCTTTTAAACTTACACTCACGATTCTCTTCGAAAATATATGTGAGTTCCACAGAACAAAAGAAATCTCTTATATTATTTTTGTTGATTTCCCAGAACTTAAGATAGAACAAAAAAATGATGAATTTAATGCGGCTCATACGTTAAAATATATGATGAAAGAAGTAATATTTGGCTTACGCACTAAAAGAGATTGCATTTTCTTCGTTAAATGACAACACTCGACAGTTTTTTTTCGCTTTTACATAACTCATACCAAGTGCTTAGGACTTGAATGCAAAAGTTTCAAAAGAAATGAAGTAGTACAACATATCAAATAGTAACTTTTAGATCTACAAATTCTAGTTGCATTTTTCAATTATTCATATTATAAATATATCTGGCTTTGATTTATGTTAAAAGAGTATCTATAAAAAAATTATAACTATCAAAATGTTTCCCTTTTTATATAAATCATTTGAATAATATTCTTATTGGCTGAAATTTTCTTGAGGTTGTAGTTTGTCACGATTTACTTCAGTTGATGGCTACTTGAATATAAAACTCTTCAATAATAATTCTACTGTTTTGTACTGTAATCACCATAACGATCGCTTTCGAAGATTTTAACGATTAAAAGTGGACCGAAATCTCTCTGGTCGATTAGAATTAGATTTTCTTCTTCTTCATAATAATCCGATTATCACCGAAACAACGTTGCATGAATATTTGAACACAAGCACGTTTGATTAAAAACAATATAGTACAGAAAGGACGCCAAAATTGTCTTACCAATGTCATGGAGTGTGTCTTATTACTTCCTATAAAACCAGCCGACTTTTGGTTTTTTACTAAGAAATGAAAAATAAACAACCTTGAACAACTCTCCTTGATGTAAAATATCATTAAACTTCAGTTGACCCACTTTCATTTCTGATTACACACCGTAAAAACATTGCACTCATCTATTTTAATATGAAATTACTATGATTCCCGTTATTATTATCCAACGGTTAGTCAACCATGATCACGTCCTTGCAATCTTATCAAAGTCAAGTAGTAGCACGAATATCTCTATTATAAAATTTTCCAAAAAGAAAAAGAAAGTAACAAGTAATTATACAAATAGTAAGGATCAATTCAAAACAACAAGTGAGCCTATTTTCATCATAAATAGTGCCAGCGTGCGTGCCGGAATTGTTTTTCTTTTAGATCAAATTTATTCTGACATCTCCAAAAAATCCTGAGGCCACATCGAAGCCCTCCTTGTGAAATAAAATATTGATATATTGCTCTATTAATATGATAACTTGATGTAGCGCGGAGACATTTTCAGTTCGTCACTTTTTTTTAATAATTTTTATCAAACTATACTAGAGACTATCATCTCTAAAAATTTATCTTTACGCTACCTCCAACACTTTCTTACTCAAATATTTCTATTTTTCACAAAAGTTTTATTGTATTGTGTTGTACGCCACGGTGGTTAATCAATATAAGCTTTACTCTATATTACTCAAGTATACTTCATAAGAAGAGTAGCTTTATTATAAAATATAGTAAATAAAAAAACCTGAGATTTCTTACGCGGCTGTATTAAAAATAGTTCTCGCAAGATAAAAAAATATCCTCATAAATGAGTCTTATTTCGTTAAATAAAAAAGTTATCCAACTGCTCAAACTATTATTTAAGGCCACACTGCTTATCAAGAGCTTTCATTATTAAGTTTCTCATTTGTTTATGCACCTCTGAATTTGATTCTTAATCTGTATCGTTAAAGCCTGATGTATAATGACAGTATAGATGTAAATTTTTGATTAGATGATCACTTCTAAGGCAGCTTTCAAGTTCATTCAGCGATGAAAACAATCATATCGTTGCCTATTCATGAAAAGAGAAGGATGTAATTGAAAAATAACTAAAATTATCTTACATTTTATACCAGACCTCTTGAAAAACTACAAGGATCAGTAAAATTCATAGATATAAATACTAAAAACTACACACATAATTAGAAAAATAAAGCATTAGAGCGAGAAGTCTTGTAATGTTTTTTCGTTATCTATTCAAGTAGGTTTGATCGTGTATAAGAAAGTCTTCGTATATATCGTAGAATTTAATTACTTACAGATAGTGTTTGTAAAAGAGTTGGTCTACACATTTTTTGCTTCCGTTCCGTTTTGAAAAGAATACAAAGTAATTTCACATAAAGTCAGAATACAAACTATTCCTACGGTTATAAAAATTTAATTTCTACGTAGTTCTCATTTCTAACTAACGGTGATAAATTTTTACTGCATTCATTAAACATGAAGATATTATGTTTGTTTTTTTCCACAAATTTATTAAAAGTTCATTTCGAAAATTTCAAAAAATATCATTACTCTAAGTTTCCTGTAAATTTTTACAAATTTACTCGAATAACTTGAAGCCTCGAATAGTTCTCAATATGAACTTTTCATTACTTAAGTAGTAGAGTTCGGTGAATATGTTATTAATTAACGTTTATTAAATTTTTAGAACCGTTATCAAACTAAGGCTCATAAACAAACTGAAAAACATATGTCTTGAAATGATTCTTGCCGCTTTCAAGTGCGACAACTACGTTCTATAGAAGTAATTGTAATACTATCGATAATCATAGAAATTTTAATTAATCTATTGAAAATAGATCTCAAAAATGTCACTAGAAACTCATTTAGTACGAACCTATAGTAAACAAAAATAACAGGCATATTATATTAGTTGTCTTTAGTTTCTTAAATAAGCAAGAAAAAGAGATAAAGAAACAGCATCAATAATAATATTATTTAAACTGTTCGAATATAATTTAAAATCTTTCTAAAAACTCCAACGGATAACGTATGTTTTTTAATGTGTTGAATATCGAAGTTTTAGAATGTTATTTAGATTAGCAATTATATTATAAATAACAAGAATGAAAACTAATGCTATACGGATACCGTATAAACCCTAATCTAATGGATTAAGCACTTATCAACTTATGGCCGTTGACAAGAACCAATGGATATGCTTTTGATGCTAAGAAAATACCTACTAGATGTTCGATGGTGTCGAAGATGTCATACGTTTTTACAATGCGCTTACTTTTCAGTTCAATCAATAGCGACTCTTATTATAATAATGATAGTTTAAGAAAGTCGTAAGAGCGAGGAAACTAAACACAGTAAGTGAATAACTAAAAAGGAAAACAAACTTTTCTTGCTAATGCAAAAATGACATCGTTTCACTAACGATCAATTATTCTCACCAAACAACTCTAGTCTATGAGAGTTTCAACACGTAGCGTTTCTTGTATTCACTTAATGAAGTAAGGTGACAACATGCAAATCCGTATTTTTATCATAAAGCACATAAACTAACAATTTTCTTTTTCCACAGACGCAAAACTAATTGGATCTATTATTGATGAGAAAATAAGTCAAATGAACGCAAACCTTCAAAAAGTGCATGTTTTATCTATGATGCGAGAATATTATTAATTAGTAAAACGCAATTGTTGCTTAATAACTGTGAAACAATTCGATATTTTTAGGATTCACAAAGCTTCTTCTAAACTTTATTATTGCTCAAAAAGCTGATTATTTTCTTTTATTGTTAATCAAAAGGAAACATAATCAGATTAGATATCCATACATTCTCAAATGCCATTTTTCGAGTGGAATCTATTGCGGATAAACGGGTTACCTGGATCGTCATAATTGTTTTCAATTCAAAGTGACAATTAATCTTAAAAATGTATTCCGAGATCACAATAGCTAATCTATATGCCAATTACATCCAGTTGACAACTACAGAAAACTTCAAGTAATGTGTCTGACAGTTCAATATTTATTTTTAATGAGATCACGAGAATACGAGTACAAATAATACGAACATTAGATGCTTTTATTTTATATAAAAATCGACACTATTCATCTATTGTTTTCATTATAGTTCAGAGCTTATGTCAAACTCTGTATATATTAAATCAGACTGTGAAAATTTATTGTATGTTAATGTAACTATTATTTAGAAGAAGTAAAAACGAATATGTCTGATTACAAAATACAATTTATAGTTTCAGTTTCTATAATGTAATAAGAGTCATTTTAAGCAATTGAGCACCGTGTGATTCAATATTAAAAGCTGTATAATTTCCTTGAAATTCACCAAGATCTTGGTGCAACCAAAGATCTCGTACTTTAACTCGACTTGTTGATTTCCAACCTAAATCAGGGAATGATACTGATATTGTTTGATTGATAATATGTGCCCGATTAAATGCAAGAACAGCTTTGGATCCATCAGCTAATGGTCCAGCCCATACTTCTGTATCATGCTCGAGATCGATACGTATCTTTTGTCCTTGTATACCTAGGGAATCTTGATTAACAGCAATAACTTCTGAATTGGTAAGAATTTCTAAAGTTTCTTGAGATAGTTGTCGTACATCACAGCCAATAAGTAATGGTGCTTTGGCTATTGACCAAAGGCTCATGTGAGTTCGGTACTCAGTTGATGTCATTCCACCATTACCAACTTCTAACATATCTGGGTCATTGAATCCTATTCAAATAATAGAAAACTTGATCATTATAAAAGAGAAACTTCTCAGGTGCCCTTTTATTTTACCGTGTGGTGCTGCAAAATTAGCAAATAAATCATTGATATCAATGTTTAATAGCATTGAAATCCAATGATCACTAATATCTGATGTTGTTCTCCATGAGTTTGCTATCGCACGAAACCATATTGCTGGTAACATTTCACCCCATTCGCATGCAGAATAAAATATTGGTCTGCCTGTACGATTTAATGCATCTCGCATACGTTCATAACGTTCTTTTATTGTTTTATTTGTTGGTCCTGCATAACAATTATCATATTTAAGATAATCCACTTTCCATTGTGCATATATTTGCGCATCAATATCTTCATAACCATATGAACCTGGTCGACCAGCACACGTTTCAATTCCAGCGTCGGAATACAGACCAAACAAAAGACCACGAGAATGAACATAATCGGCTAAGGATGCCATACCCGACGGAAATCCGATGGGATCAGGAATAATGTAATTCGTTGTTTGGTCACGAGACGATGCCCAACAATCATCAACATTAACATAAGTATATCCAGCTTGAGCTAAACCAGTAGCAATAAGGGCATCAGCTGTTGCATGTATTATTGTTTCATTAATACTACATCCGAAATGATTCCAACTGTTCCACCCTAATTAAACATGTGATTTCAGATTATTTTTTTTAGAAAATACATTTGTCTAACAAACCCATTTGTGGTGTTTTTCCGAGTCCATTATCAAGCGAATAAATAGAATTAAATGAAATAAGAACAGCAAAAGCAATAATGAATAACATGTTTGTGTTTGTCAAATAAAAGCTCATGGCTATATAAGAAGAAGAAAAATGAGTGTGCGTGTGTGTGTGTTTATCTCAGATAAACGTTCTTTTTCTTCAATCGATAACGAAAATGATAAGTTTATTTTGTGAAGATTTTTACTATGTTACATGATAATTTATTTTATTAAATCTAATTTTTTTCGATTATGAACAAAATTCATTAACAATAAAGAATTATTTATATTCTATTTCTATTATAATTAATATTTACGGCAGTTTGTAGCTCAGTGAGCATGTAGAAGCTAAACTTTAGTTTCTTTTTATACGAAATCATCATATAGGAATGTTATTGTTGTCGTCAGTGCATATGTAAATACAATTTAAACAATAAATGACGACAAAGAAAAACAAACGATGCATCTCAAGGTAGACTTGATAGATGGCATACCGTAACAAGGATGTATGATTCTTTTTTGAAGAATTTGTATTTAATTGAATTAATACAAAATAAGATATTTTCCTATGAAACTATGTATGAAGCAAGATAAATGACAATGACGATAGTTTGAATATTTAAGTAAATAGAGTATTTGAATCCGTAGTAACATTCCGACGACATAGTCCAGTGGGTGGACATATGATTATCGGATCGAACACAACGATGATAATTGGCTAAGATGTAAGAACGAGAGTGATGATGACATAAGGATTAATATTAACGGCTATCGATAAGTAAAAATAAAATAACAACCTGATTACATCTTTCAAATAAGAACATTTCAATTGTGTTCTATGTTCAAAAATGTACAAGTGTTCTTTTCTACTATTCGTTATTAGTTTATGTTGTTTAGCGATTGTTGATGCCAAACGACGAGGTTTGTTATTAAATATTATAATTAGATTAAATCCACTAAAGAATCTTATTGATTCTAGCTACAGGTCAATCGCAACATAATTTGGGTGACTTTTGTATGCCAGGTACATGCGCTAGTTTAAATTCGAATTGTAAACGTATCGGTGGCAATGCCTTTCGATGTGTTTGTAAAGAACAGTATATGGCTATAAATAAAACTCATTGTGGTTTGTGAAAATAATCTTTTTCGATTTTTTTTTCAATTGTAAATAAGAAAAGCAATTTTCTAGTAAAAGTAATCAATGCATCAGTTGATGATGCATGTGGGTCATGCATTAAACGTAATGGTATTTGTTTGGATGAAAATTCTAATGATCGTATGGATAAATGCTTTTGTCCTACTGAAAATGATCTATGCAATGATCGAACAACATCATTTTTTGAACAAGCTACGCAACCGATAAGAAAAAAGTAATATTGTAAAATAAAAGTTTAACCATAAATTTAAGAGAATTTCTTTCTTTTTCTCTTTTCTTTTAGAGTAGTGGCTGTAACGCAGTTAATACCCAGTCGAAATGTTAATCAAGGTGATCTTGTACTTGGCTTATATGATGTCAATCAGCAACGACTGGTCGACAATGGAGGTTCAGTTATTATTGGTGATCGTCTATTTATTGAGATAAAATATCGAACAAGTGTGTTGTTAAATGCTGTGTTTGATTTGTTTAATATTGATTTGTTTGTTTAAAGATATTCAAAATTCTGATCGACATCAAATAATTGCAGAAAATTGTTCAATTGCTTCAAGTGTTTCTGATAATGAAATCAAATTAGAAAAATTACAATTATTAACGAATCGTTGTCCATCAGCAGATTCTCGTTCACCAGTACGTTTTCAACGTATTGATCCGTATCATATAAAAAGTACTGTTTTTCAAATGAATAAATTTCAAACAACGTCCGTTGTTTATTTGCGATGTTCAATTGCAATTTGTTCTGGTCGAATAGAAAATTGTCAAGAAGTATATGAATTTTTTTCCTCATTTCTTTTTTGTCTCTATGAAATCTTTTCTTTCGTTCTCGTATAGCGTCTATGTCCAGATATTCGACGACCGTCTTCGAATCGAGCAAACAATACCGTATCGATAGATTCAACTTCGTTTGATTACGTTGATGAAGATAGTGCGAGTGTCTTAGCGTTGAAAAGACGACAAACCAATAATTATGATGAAGAACAACAGCAGAAATTTACAAAATTAATAACAGATTTATCGAAATCATTTGAATCTGCCAATAATTATTATGAAATAAGACAACTACAACAACAATTTACCATTGAAATGCCATTAGCACAACCAGCACACAAACGGAAATTAGCCTATGGTAAGTTGTTTTTGTGGATTTTACAATATACTCTTTAAAGAAGACTATACAGAATTTAAGCTTCAATATGAGATTTTGTGGATTCCTCTTCTATTTCAGTATCCGTTTAATTACTAGCAACTCACGATGAAATCTTTCAATCTGTTTACATAGGGCGTCAAAACTTTTCCCTGGATTTCCTTAAGAAGATAACAAACATTTAACAACACTAACACAATGACTGCAAGTTTCATAGTACATGTCACGGTGTCCTTCGAAATTAATTTTAATCTTTCCGAGCTAATTCAGATATAGTAGGATGCGTTGACATTTATCGTATGGATGTAAATTTAGCTGAGAGATATCTTTTTTCTCCCGATGACTGAATATATATATGTATATATATATGAAAAACGAGTATAGATTCTCAGTACATATCAAACTTGAAACTTGAATTCAAGTTTGACACTACTGAGATTCTCAAAGATATTTCGCTAGAGATCTGCTTCATTAGTATAATGAGACTAAAAAATACACGTTAGTTCTACAGTTCAATCCCAAAAATGATTATGATGATCTACTTTAAAAGAATGATTCACTTCTATCTCCATATAGACACACTTTACGGTCGCACATCATTAGCAGCACAAGGTGCAGTTGAAAGATCAACTATAATTGCTGCCATATCGATTATATTTATTATTGGTATCTCTGTATCGCTATTTGTTATTTATCGAACATGTTACTTTGAATACGTTCAACGAGTCTATGGTGCAACATCAACGGCTGGTTTTATGAATGGTGCCGAATCGGTTGATGGAGGATTAAGAAGTACATCGCAAGTCTGTCGTTATGATATGGGACGTCGATCAGCCCAACGGTTCGATGAAAGTTTCTTTGCTAATAATGTTGAACCATTAGGAGCGTATCGAAGACAATATTAAAGCGATTAATTTGTTTATCGAATGGATATGGAAAATAAAATAGAATGACGTTTAATTAAGAAGCTTAAAATGAATATATATATATATATGCGTGTGTTAATTTATTGATTGAAATCTGATATTTCTAAGTACAATTTGATGAATCTTCTTATCTGAGAATGATTTTATATTTATTTTCTTTGAAATGTTTTTCTTCATCACTTGATTGTTTTTATTCGTTTTTCGTTAAGTATACATCTGTTGCTTCTTCACCCTTAAATTAAAATACAAAGTAAAAATTCATATGATAAGGAAAAAAATTACCTTTTCATTTTTTCCTATTCGAAATTGTATCTGTTGACCAATTTCTAATGATTGAACACCGTCTTTCAATGATTTTACATGAACAAACAAATCCGTCCCATTGACTTTTCGACGAATGAAACCAAATCCACGTTCTTTCTTTAGAAGACAAATATTTCATTTTAATAGTTTTAGTTAACGCACATAACTTACATTCCATTGTTTAACAATTCCTGTTTCTTGTTCATTGATATTAGCATCTGATAATTCTTTTTTCTGATTGTCTATTAGCACAAACTCTTAGTATAACATTATCCATTGAAGATTTTCTATCGTACTCGTGATTTTGATTGAATCTAATCTATTAATAATTCGAAGATCTTTCGCTTCCGCACCACGATTACTTTGAACAGCAAGAAACTCGACTTCCATTCCTTCTTGTAAAGATTCCAAACCAGCATGACGAATTGACCGAGAATGTACAAACAAATCTGCACCGTCACTTTTTCTTGTAATAAAACCAAATCCACGATTTTTACTATTCAGAAGAAAGAAGACTAAGTTTTCGAACAGTTTTTATGTTCAACCTACACATATTTTCGAACAATACCAATATGTCGATCGTTAGTAAGTGTTTCTGATGCTTTAGATTGATTGTCATTCGTATTAGATATTTGATCATTCACAAGGACATCCAATAAAATAAAAAAAGACACAAAATAGCAACAAAAACATAATAATTCTAGAAAATTTACTCGTGCTTCAAGTCCTTTCATGCCTTGAAATACTTTAAATTGAACATTTTGTCCTGCCTAAAACTAAATTCTTTAGAATACATCATAAAAATGTGTTGTTTTGTTTCTCTGTCACTTGAAGTGTTTTGAATCCAGTACCAAGAATTGATTGAAAATGTACAAATATATCGTCTCCATTACTATTTCGTGTAATGAAACCAAAACCTTTATCTTGTGAAAATCGCTTCACTATTCCTGTGTCTTGACTATCATTCACAGCATCTTGTATTGAAGATAAAGATCTTACTTGTAATCGAAAAACTCTTTGTTGTTGAATGATTAAACTTTTCAATAGATTTAAAAACATCTGAAAATATGATTTTTATTATCGATTTAAAAAATATGATACGAGAACAGATATAAAACTAGCGGAAACTAAGAGAAAACCAGTATGATAAATTATTTTTGATTGAATACGTTGTTCACTTTGTTCATTTAACAGTAGAACATTTTCATATGGATCTTTTGAAGATAAATCTACTAAATCGTTTTTTAATTGATTGATCGATTGCTCTTGTTTAACAATTAAATCTTGATAGAGTTGTTGGGACTCATTTGTTAAATTGCGAAACTCTTGCATGCGATAACGATTCGATAATGTAGCACCTGTATAAGAAAATTTCTATCTTTGACATTGAACAAACACATGCGATGCTTACCGACGATTCCAGCTAGTGCGCCAACAACAGAACCAATAATCGACCAATATTTTGTTCTCTCAATCCGCATCTTTTCTTTCTCTTGACTTTCACGTAATGCTAATTGAAGTGAAGAAAATAGTTGTCGTTCAATATCATCTTGCTTTTTTAAGTCTAATTGAGCCGATTTTTCTTTTTTAAATAGGTCATGTTCATTTTTAAAAAATTCTAAATAAGCATCATCACTACGTGATAGCTTTTCCATTGCTAATCGAACACGAACTAATTCAGTTTGAAGTTTTATCAATTCATTGGAATATGATCGGCGTTCTTTTTGTGATGCTATAAATGCCCGTTCGGCCTATATAGAAAGAATCATAGATAGATGGGCCATATTGAAATATAACTGTCTCACTATCGTTTATATTACATCATTGACAGCACTTTGAGCTTTTTTGACTTCTTTAAGACCAACAAAATCTTCATAGACATCAAGCCAGCGATAGAGCCATGATAGACGACTAGTAGAAGTCATCTTAACATTATTTATTGAAAATTGACGAATAGTTAATCGTGTTAACATCGATGAACTTCAATAATAAATTGGCTAGTTTGAAAGTATGCGCACCAGTAAGATACAAGCTAGGCTGGCTATGAATCACTTGAAAATTCAAATATCCAATAGAATACTATATTTAATGTACTTGAAAATGATAGATGGTGTCTGATCTGGAATTGTTATCTTGCGTATTCGAAAACGTTAGACATGATATGATGATATACTGTTGTTTCTTATCTATTGGAGAAGTGTTCAGATTTTTATTAATTTTCTATTGTTGAAAATAGACCAGCTAGTAAAATTGAATACTTCAATTCAAGATAGATAACAATAACACAATTCCTTTTTCTGCTATTTTCCACAGTAGCCAAGTTCATGAACAATATATTTCTGATTGTAACCCAGCGAAATTTATTGACTTTGACAAAGTAAAATTCTAGACAATCAAGTAGCGTAGGCTTGTTCGACATTGAGAGAAAAAGAATTTGAAATAACTATAAACTTCTGTAACGAAATTTGATATGAAGATTTGATATTGAGAACTTTCAGACATTAACATATCGCATAAATCACAAAGTTAAGAATAGATGACTATTTGTTATGTCATTTTTCTATGTAAATTTGACTATGCGTTCGAGTCCTTTGAATATTTTTTGTCTGGTTAAAAATTCAAAAGACATCCAACGGTCAGGGATATTCTTCCCACTTGAATTGAATTTCATCCTCATCTAGTTCGTTCTCAACGAACATAGGAGATCGATTAATTTTATTAGTCTATAAAATTTCTGTAAGATAAAAACATGCAACATAATAAAATGAATTTTTATTGCGAACGACATTGAATATTAGCAAGTTTTACTTTGGTAGTTTTAGTGGACTGGTCATCGATCTTAACTTTCTATTTATTGAAAGTGATATCGATTAAAAAATGGCTTGTAGAAAAAGAATTAGAATAAATTAACTAGTAAATATTCATACGTGTAGTGGTGTCGACTGCGTTTGATTAAATCGAAATACTTTTAATTCTGTGATGAAATACAAATATTGATTTTCTTTTTCTTGCGAGCTATTTTTTACAGATTCTTTTTTTGCTTTTTCGTGTTATTTTCTTTTTTTACTACATATTTCTTTTTAGTGCGTGAAATTTAAGAAGATCAAACAAACTGCATCTATAACGTACGAGTCTCAGAAGTAAAACAAAACAAAAGAATTCATGTCGAATACTCGCCAGTTTTTAGTTCCAATTAATTATGATATTAAAAAGCAAGTGTATCAAGATGAGGAAGTCGTTCAAAAACGGACATATCATATGGATGATCTTATGTCAGCCAAAGGATATCATAAAACATATGTCAATGCACTTGGTAAAGGACTCAGCGTTGGATCTTACACCTATGCCAACAAACTATATCTAAAATCGAAATTCCGTTAACACCTCTTCATTTTTTTCTTCTTCCTTTGCTCTCATATATTTCTCTTTATTCACTTATCTTTTGCTACTTTCTAATAAACGAAAACAAAAAGACTGAACAACACAAAAAAGATATTTACTTATTTATCATTGTCACAGTGAGTAATCTTTAGTCAAATACTGATCTATCCAATGTTGATTTTTTAAATACAACTGGCAAATCAACAAATATTGAGCAAATTTATGTAGGAAAGATATGTTCTTCTACGACAGAATAACCATCCGTGGCACTGAAAATAGCAACACTATCGAATTTAAGTAATTCTATAGAACCACTAGTTGATCGTAATTTTTTCTGCCAAGCTAAATGATGAATATTTTATTTCAGATATATACAGATGATTTGAAGCTAGAATTATACACAGCTATATAAAATTTTCATCACAATGCATGTTTTCCACGGGTTCTAAAATAGTCAAATATTAGAAAAAAAAGACAGTACAGGTGTTACATAAGAGAAAACTCGCACACACCATCTTCTCTTTTGTCATCAGAGACTGATTTATTCGACATTAGCAAAGCTATTTTGTGAGTGTTGGTTACAATATGTATCTGAAACAAAACTTTTTATTACAAGTAAATTGATCATAAATATCACAGCAAAATTTCTACATTGAGAAACGTTTTTGCAATTTATTAATTAATTCATAGAACGAATTGAATAATACCAAATGTATTCAGCATTGCCATGACAAATGTCAAACATTAAATCAACAATAAAATATGCGCAACAGTGATGAAATATATCATTTTTACTGATTATATGTCAATGATCACGATCTTCTGGTGGCCGATAAGGTAAATTAAGGTATTGAAAAATTGACTCTTCAGTTGGTGTATGCAATGCTTGACCTGTATGTATTTTCTCAACACCCTAAATAAATCTATATAGATTCTTTTATAATGAGATCTTGGCATACTTTTCGTACGACACCATTATAAAGTCCATGTTGAGAAAGTGACATATTTAAACGACGTGCTAAACGACGCATAGATCGATTAAACATCGCCGATCCAGTAAAATAAAGTAACGAACAAGCCCATTCATTTGCTGGTATAAATATTAGATCGATGCGACGATGCTGATTAAACAAAAATGAAAGTAAATTAAAGGAAAACATCTTGACTTACCAGTGAGCCCGGCTCAAGTAAACGGCATACACCAAAATACGTCATTTGTTCTGAAGTATTGCCTGTTGATGATGATGTTTCAGAATGATTAATTAAGTCATCAGTAAGAAATTCTTTAACAAAAATAAAGAACAGAATATTCTTAGTCTATAGAAGTGTTGGCAATGTTATAAATACCTATTGCTTTTAATTTATCAATTAATGGTGAAAGTACACTTTCGTGTAGATGTCTTTTACCATCTTTAAATGTTATTAATATATCAATATCACCACATGATGGTTTTAATCGGCGATAACTTCCGCACGTTTCCATCACGAGACCTGGCACAACTTCATTAGCTGTTTGTTTAACCTTAATCAAAGGAAATTTCTTTTCTTTTCTTTAGCTAAAATAATATTTCTATTTTTACAATTGTTTCAATACGTGTAACTTCATCACGTGGAATACGTGCATTAAAATCATCATAATATTTTAAACCAATTTGTTGTGTACGTGTAAGACGCGCTCGGTTTCGTAAATCGTCAAGCGTACGAAAACCTTGTGCAAACCACTGTTTTGTTGTTTCAGTACCAGCACCCCACACACCAGCAAATAAACCCACTAGAAATGTACAATAAAGAAAACGTTTTATCGCCATTCAGATCAGATGGAAATTAGAAATATAATGGGAATATCGTTGTATTCTTTCTATTGTCGGATACACTTCTTCAGTATTGTTTTACTTAAAATCGAATAAGTTAGTAGTGTATATGTTATAACGAGACTTTACTAAGAGTGTCAACTTTTGAAAATGTGGATCATAACTCGCGAAAGAAGCCGAGCTTTTACTAGTATACTTAAACGCTCTTCATAGATCATATCTATTTCAAAAAAAGACGTTAAGACTCGAGTGTTGTCTTACGTGTAGCAACATCATCACGTGATTGAAATGCAGATAATTTTACAAGTCCATTGGTGCGAATGATTTCCCAAATTTTATCAGCTAAAGATTGTTTTACATATGGTAAAGCTTTGATTTCCTGACATAGAAAAAATAATAATAGATGAATCAAAGGAAGAAAATGGCAATACTTCGTAGCTTCGAATTGGATGTGTACAGCGTTTAAGTGCTTCGATAGCTTTTTGATAGGCAATACTGCGACCTTTATCATTAGTTATTAGATATAATTTTGACATTTCCTAAACATAGTAAAATAAATGAAAATAATTGTGACGCTACTTGTATTTACTTTTAATTTTTCAATGATTTTTTCATTTGGATTTCCATTAATCGAAGTCGATGAAGAAGCTTCCGAACATAGCCAGATCCCAGTCTAAAAAAATCGTTACGTAATAAATACAAAAGAAAAGACATGCCTTCTCATACCGTTTTTGGTAAATCACCTGGTTGAATCGGTTGAATCTCGATATTACGCTAATAGATAAATAAAAATGAACAAGAAATTCATTGAATAAAAAGAATACTTTTTTTGAATTAGATTCTTCATCAGTGTCGGATGCTGATGATGATATTGAACGTTCTCGTTTTATCGATGATCCTTGTGTTATGGTTTCATTTCTATTTGAAGAATTACATGTTTCTGTTACTGATGATACTGATTGAGGAAGATTAGCATGAAGTATGTAAGAGTGATGTGGTAAAAGTTTATTCTGTTTAATTGAATCACTTAACCATTGTGTTCGAATAAGTATTGGCGATGACGAGAACGACGAGCTTTTTAATGCTTTACTTGCTGAAATAAAATCGAGTTCATCATCAATTAAAATAAACGAATTGTGGCTAGTATGGTTGACAACACTAAGACCAAATCTGATGCAGGCTTTTTGAAAGATTTCTAAACGACGTTTACCAACTCTTAAAAATGAGACAGTTGTTGGAAGAGAAATATCATCTGTCATTCGTGCATGCAATTACATTAAAAATGCATTTGATTATATTTATCAATCAATTACCCAAAATGTTTCGGTTATCATTGGTCACTGACCAATGTCCAATGGTGTCGCTCATGTCTTGGTTGAACAAATCTGATAGACTTACTAGACGTATTATCGTTACAAAACTTTCTCGGAAGACATTGAAAGAACGTAAACTTGCATAAGCATAATGTCAGTTTATGATTCATCTTCCGGAATATGTTTAAAACAAACATGTCAAACTGAGTTCAGCCATTTTCAGTGAATAAACAAAAGAGATCAATGATAGGAGTCGGAAAAACCAAGAATTTTCTTGTCGATTATAGAAAGTCTACACGTAATTCAAAGCTGATTATCGCAATTTTTTTCACTTAGGTACATAATGCATATGATCAAATGTAGTGAATGAAATCAAGAGTCATCAGTGCGATCCTACTCACTCTTTCTTGATGGATAAAAAATTTCGAATTTTCTACTGTAATAACTGGAGATTCATTCATTTAGAAAAAGCTCACTACTTGTTAGTGGATTTTTTTTTTGGTAATATTTTAATATAGATACTAAATGAAGAGGAAGCCTCCTTTGATGTCCTCTATGATTTTAATGAGTTTCACGATTAAGATGTACTTAAATGAACTAATGTACATTTAATTGTATACTTTCTAAATACCCCAGACTTTTGGCGATTATCATATTTTCAAATTCTGATCTTACACTTCTTGCATAAAGAAACTTCACCTAGCTTCGATCAGTATAAATATATTAGAATTTCATCAAATAAACTATTTTCCATTGATTTGAAAAAAACCCTATTTCAAAAAGATTATCTTCAAAACATGTGAATCTTTTTTATAGAGACGGAATCGATATTAAGGCAGTGATAGCTGACTAAAATCTCAACAGAAAAAAACTCCTTGCCGATCTTTTATTAGAACAAAATATTTATGCAAGTCAGAAGAAGACATACGAGATTGTTTCCTTCTAAAGAGTCACAATAAGAATTCACGAATGGATTATCTAACTGTGCGTAGTGACTGTATTCACAACATTATTATACAATGTATTACAATATCTAATAAGAAAACGAACAGGCCAATTCGTAAAAATAGAACGTCACTATGACGTGCACTGAGAAATCAATAGATACATTTAAGCGTTAACGTCGAAGAAAAAAAACACTCGCAACTACACCCATAGTAATTCAATTAATCACATGTGAATATTTCATTAGTTATATTTATTAGACTCATTTCATACAGTTATTCATTATCACATAGAAGGTACTATTGACACTTTTTTTGAGTACGTGCTGGTCATAATCTGTTTCGCAAATTAAAAAAAAAAGAATAGTTATACAATTAGCATGTACATAATAAAGGAAATGCAACAAAAAAAACGGATTTCTATTGCAAAAACATAGCAACACCTGAAACATTTAAATGATTAAGTTACGTATAAAAGATATACAGAAGAAAACATGTACATTTATACAAAGCATCCAATATAAAAGCTTGGCACCATCCGTAGTCTTCATCGTTTTGTTTTACTCGATTGGTATTGAAACAAAAATTGTTCAACAATAGGATAAGTATATTTTATTGATCTGCGAGTGAATTATCTTCATAAAATTTCAATGAAAATATTAGACCAGAGTATCTATTGTATACATCTTGACCAAGTTCGGCAATCATTTCGGGCTGAAATAAAATAATACATTTAATAAATGATTCACTTCAGTCTAGATTCATTAACTAACTATCATCTGTGGTTCACTAACGTTTTCAATGATTTTGAAAACACGTCGGAATCTATTAGGACTAATTTCACGTAAACATTGTCTAAAATGCAAAAGAAATTATAGTTAAACAAATTCATCTGTCTTTAATAGGATAAATTTACTGTCGAATTTGTTGATAACGTTGTTGAATACGGCTTGTTTCATTTAATCGGCCAGACATTGTTCTATCTTTATCATTACCACTAAATGCTAACTGATCTGAACGACGAGCATTTACTGTTGGTAATTGTAAGGTAGAAGTTAACATTAAAACGAAATCATTTATATCATTTTCGCTAAAATTCAAAACGAAAAATAAGATGTAATTTTTTTAAGGCCATTCTTACCCTTCTTGTTTTTGTTCATTTTCATCGAAGAAATTATTTAGTAATGTCGGTGTTGATAATTCATTTGTTAACGTTATTGTTGGTGTTTGACTCGGTGAATCAAATGATATTGAATATTCAGATGATGATGATTGTGTTTTGAATTCGCGACGTCGTTGACGTGCTGTAGAAACAGATCCCTTACGGAATATCAACAAAAATTAATAATAAAATCACTAGAAAGGATTTGATTTTTACCTGATTTAAATCGTATGATTTTGTTATGCGTGGTTGTGGCTGAGATGATGAAGGACGAGAAGAGTTCTTTCTTAATTCAACTGAACTTGGTCTCATTTCTCGTTGTGGTGATTCGACACTCTAATCAAATCAATAAAAATGATTGAGAAAGTTTGTTTTCTTTTTACATTTACAAATACGTCTCGGAGCTTAATGATCTATCTTTTTTTTTAGAATGTAGCTCCTAATAGATGAATGCCACAAATTGTAAATTTCGAAATCCTGAATATCTTAGTAATTAAATGATGTTTAAAGATTGACGCCTAATTTATGTTGGAAATAATTAGATATATGAATCAGAGACGTGTACAGGGCAGGACGGCCCTGTTGCCCTGTCCTTTAGAACAGGATGAGATTCAGATATTTGTCCTGTCCTGCCGTCCGCCATGACGAAGATTATCAACAGGGCAAACACGCACAGGATAATGTTTCTATGGCGCAGAAGTCGTAAACAAAAATTTTGATTCTCTGACGCATAACAATATTATTGTTATATGATTTATGAAAAAGTAACAAGATATTTACTCTGGTTGATTGAGTAATATCATTATTATATTGCCGAACAAGCGATGGATCATGATCATCATCAGATGATAGTTGTTGATTTTGTTTTACATGTTCTTTTAATTTGTGATCGCGCCTTGCGCGATCTAATGTATAATTGGGATTAATTTTTGATATTAATCTGAGATCTTTATCTTGGCCATTAGCTGGCAGTGGTTGATTAGTTCGACGTGATTGGCGACGACGAGCTCTTGAATCGTTCGCACTCGGTTCACTCGGTGGTAAAAAATCTGCAACTGGTGACGATCGGTTAGCGTCAACTCCTGATGTTGGTCGAGAATATGACGGCGGCAATGGTGGATGAGAAGGAAGTATTGGCGTGGGATTACTATCATTGGAAAAAAGAATCCTTGACGGCGACGTCTTAGCAGAACTGTTTGGACGTGAAGGCGAAGATACAGGCGAACTACTTAGTTTCGATCGAGTTTTTGCATTGACTGGATTGGGACATCTAATCAAGATGCATATTTTTTTTTAAATTTATTCCACAAAATTTATTTACTTGATTTTTGTTTTCTCCAACAATCTTAGAATGTGTTGTTTGATATAAGAATTTTGTAAAATTTGTTTTGCTGTTGGTCGATCATCTGGATTTTTTTTCAACATCGATTTTATAATATCTATTAGCGGTTCACTGTATTTTTTTGACATTTGTGGCGTCTAAATAAAAGGAAGAATTTGCTTTTCAGAATTGAATTTCAATTAGAAAATCAAACCTGTTCACGAAGTATTTTTATCACCAACGCATTTATATCTTTAGCATTGAACGCGTGTTCAAGTGTTGTCATTTCATAAACACAACATCCAAGTGCCCATATATCTGACTAAAAATATTCTAAGGTAAAATTGGTTCATTTATTTTTGAGCTTATTACACACTTTTTGTCCGTAAGGTCTTTGAGAAAATATCTCTGGACTCATATAATATGGCGTTCCAACAATTGTCGTTGCAAATTCACTTGCCGATTCAAGTGCTCTTGCAATACCTAGATCACCGACTTTGACAATATCGTGTTTTGTTAAAAATATATTTTGTGTTTTTAGATCACGATGAAGAATATTTTTCTCGTGAATATACTAAAGTAACAAAAATATACGTGTATATGCAGATACGAAATTCAAAAAACAGCCAAATGACGAGACAAGGCGTCACAAATATTTTAGACGTGAGTAAGAATCATTTAGTTTCATCCTTAGCAATATCCTAGCGTGAACAATCGTCGACCTTCGATGAACTTTTCGGATACTTGAAAACTAGTATATTGTGCATTTTGTACTAAAGAAAACTTTTTCTGAATTTTCTATCCTAGTTTTTAGCTGAAATATATTGATGGGAGTTCAAAACTGCAATAATCGTGCATTTTTATTTTGAAGGTTTCGAATTTCAAAACTACTCCTATGCATTTTTTTTTCGTCTGGTATCACTATTTCGATTCTTTTTCTTAGTAAAAGAAAGATTGTAGAAAATATTCAAAAATAAACTTCGTTAAACAATATTCCTCTTGATTGTATAATTAAACATAATTCAACGGAAAATATGTAATTTATTTACCTGTAAAGCCATACATATTTGAATAAACCATTCAATGAGTTGATCTTCTGCTAATGACTCTTTCTTTGCTTTTTTTTCTTTCAGTTTGGTATATAAATCTCCACCTTCACAATATGCCATGACTATGTTAAGACATCCATCATTTGAACAAAACGATTCAATATAAGCAACGATATTTGGATGTTTCAATGTCGATAATAATTTTGCTTCTCGTTCAGCACTTTCAATATCATTTTGTGATGGGCTATTGGCTGATGGACGCAGATCTAATCGTTTAAGAACAAGTTGTTTTGATTGAGATCTTATTGATAAAGGACTATTCGGTAAAACGAGCCAAACTTCACCATAACTTCCCTTACCAATCTTTTTCAGGAACGTGTATTTTTCATTAACATCGATATCATTATCAGGTGCTGGTGAATCTAATGCATTTTTCTTGCTTAACATAATTTTCAGTTTGATTAAATTCAATAAAATAAAAGAAGCAAAATTTTATTGTGAAGATTCTTATGGTGTATGGACATGCGGGGGTGAACTTCATTTATGGCACTCGATGAAAGTGTTGTCGTAGTTACTGAGTCAAAATGATTCATAAAAGCGAACAAAAAATAGGAAGAGAGAAGAATATGACACTTTCTTTACCGATTTCTCTTTTAGATTGATCCGAAATATCGAACCTGGCTATATTTAGCTTTCACAATAGACCGAGTACAATATGAATAGATGTCAGAAGTTACTTCAAGATAGATTATATTTTTTACATTATTCCTAAAAAATTGCGCAAAAGTGATACATTTATTACCAAGAATAAATAGTTTAAAATATAAGCATGTGACTTGATGGTAAACATTCTCTAGGAACACAATAGTAAAAGCATTCTTTTGATTTACGTTCTTCGAATGTTGAAAAGCTTAAATCACATGATATTTGTAAATGTCCTTATTTGGTGCAGTTGAAATGAATTTGTATTCATTCATGTGATCATCAACAAGAAAAGTTCGTTTTCATATTAACTAGTGTTCACATCGGTCGTTCGAAATGTGTTCAGTCTCGTTTTTGTTTATATATGTATGCATATAAGAAGGATACTTGTATTGAATACTAAATAATGTTCATTTTTTGCAGAAAAGTAAGGACTGGCAGTGAAAGATTCATAAATACAATGTGTTTTGTTATGCAACCAATCAAATTAGTGCTATTTTTAGCATTCCATGATATTCAAATGTACATATTCATGTCGTGTATGACAAGCGTTGGTGGTGTAACGGTTAGCATGGTTGCCTTCCAAGCAGCCGACCCGGGTTCGACTCCCGGCTAACGCACGTTTCTCTTTTTGTTTTTGACTACACGCTCGATGATAAGTAAACTAGATTCATTGACCAAGTATCTAAGTATATGTATATAATTAAAAGTAAAAAATATAGCTTTCATTAGCAGATGGCTTCTACTGGTAGAGAATAGAATATGGTTTTGAATGGATTTTCCTTTTATTCACGGCTAAACTCGAGTACCCTTATGACCATTACGCCTACATTGAGTTTTATAAATGGTAGGTTCAAGGGGGAAAGACGGATTTGGGATTTTGAAAATCCCAAAATCCAAAACGTGAATGATGGAATTTCCATCTGAATTTTTCCCATACGTAAGTCTCATGATTCTTAGAATATTCTAAAATTTTCAGCGCTAACAGACGTTTCCTTCTCAAGATAATGAATGCGCAAGAAATACTCATTTCACGGCACGGTCAGAAAATCAAGTTTTTTTGAAAATTCAATATTTTACGAAGGAAACATTTATTCGAGTTGAAACTTTTAGGATCTTTTATGAGCCATGAAACGTATATATGGCAAGAATTTCAGGTTGAAACTACGTCATTCGTAGCGGGGAAAATGCTTTTCAATTTATGGGATTTTCAAAATCCCAAAAATCCGCTTTTTCCCCCCTTGGGTAGGTTCCTTTTCTTGAATTTCTAGGACTGTTTGTTCATTCATTTTGAATTGCTAACCTCTTGATATTCAAAAGAAAAATTTTGAAATTATCAGAGGAAGTGCACCTCGATGTGTAGACAATGTTTCGAGATGCTGTCTTGTCGAAGATAGTGAAGCCATGATGGCAAATAAATTGATCCAAATTTTGTCTTTGTTGTTTTGAGACGCTTGATCAAGCTTTTTAAAATTAGCTACTAGAAATTGCTTGGAACAATCGTCTTTTTCTTTTTGTCCTTTCAAATAACAGTGCCTTACTATTGAAATCAATGTAGAATATGCCAGCTTTTTTTTAAATTTCTTTGTTTTGTAAGAACTATTCTCTTGAATATGAAAAAATACCCATTTCAAACATTATAAAATATGTATAAGCAAAGTTTTAGACTAGTTCCGAGAAACAGTTATGCTTCTTCATAAAAGTATTGATCTGCAGACGAGCATGTAGTTATTCGATAGAGGACTACCCTGGACTAAATTGACGGTCAGAAGAAAAAATTAATTTTTAGCTCATGCAAAAGAGGTACCATTAACTAGTTGTTATTAAACTTGATTAGCTAATGTTTTAGTTTGTTAGTAATGATGATTCATCACACATCAGCTATTTTATCTATTTGGCTGATCAAATAATTTTCCTCGATATTTATTTTAATCGCTCATATTTGCATACAAAAAAATAAAGTTTATCGCGCTTGTAATTCATTACTCCAATTAGCTGAATTATTTTCATACTGAGCATTACGTTGAAGTGCTTGCCATTGTTGTTTACTTTGTTGTAAGGCCATCTAAAATATATCGTTCGATGAGTTCAATCGTCAATAGCAAAACATAGAAAGTACACTTACTGCTGCAATTTCAACTTTTCTTTCCCAGACTTCACAATCACGTTCAAGGTTATAAAGTAATGCTTTCTTTTTAACATAATCTAATACATCTGGTACTTCGTATTCTTCTGTTTGTTCAGCAAGATGACTATGTATTTTAGCAACACGTGATTGTTCTTGAGTGGCATCGATCATTTCTTGTTCAGCACGACCATGTAAATTATTTTGTTTACTAATACGTTGTTCAATATCAAGCAAATCTTTAATTTGCCTATTTAAATCATCTTTGAAACGATTCAATGATTGAGTTGCTTTGCCAACTTGTCTCTTAAGAAGAATAAGTTCAACATTTTTCTCATCAATTTTATCTAAATATTGTTTATTTTCGATTTGCAATTGATGAAAATCAACTTCATGTAAGGTTTCGCCCATTTCCTCTTTTTGTCTTAATTGTGTTTCTAAACGTACGATTTGTCTTTTCAAACCTGACGAACGATCACGTAATTTATTTATTAATGATTCACGTGTTTTAATACGTTCAACGAAGTAACGATCGATTTTTTCACCAACTACTTTATGTGTACGTTTATCAATTGAAGATTCTTGTGTCTTATGAAATTCAGCTATGGCTGCTTCGAAATCTTTTATTTCTATATCAATCCATTCAGCATCGGACTAAAATGAAAGAAAAACTATTAGATTTATTTTCGATTTATTTTTAGAAATAAAAACCTCGAGTTGATCCATTTTTTTTTCATTTGCTGTTTCACGACGAGATTTTTCATTTCTCATTTGTTCGTATTCAGTTGTAATGATATCAATTTTCTGTTCAAGTGATAATTGTATACGAAAATCACCTTGTGTACTTCGCGATTTTGATCGTTTACGTGCAAAACGATCATTTCGACTTGTACCGCCGACAGTTGTTAAATCTTGAGATGAACTTGTTGGTGTTGTTGCTTGTGAAGCATTAGCTGCGGGTGCCGCTGGTGCAGCTGTTATTGGTTCAGATTTTTTTCTTTCCAAATTTATTTCAAAAATATTGTTTTCAAATGTTAAATCAACTATTTCACGTCTAAGCGAGATATCAATATTTTATTTCGAATAACAAAAGAGTAAAAAAAACAATCAACTTGTTCTCTCAATGAACTAAAGCAGAGCAGCGCTTATTAAATGAGCACTTACGATAGATCTTTTTTTTTCTAAAGTTTTTTATCTTATCAAACAAAAGTCAATAAGAAATATAGATAATTAAATATATTTACTCAAGTTTTTCTAATCGTTGTTGAAGTTCAATATCATCAGCATCATCGTTGGCAGTAGTACCAAGATGATCAGCTGATGATGATCCACTAAAGCTTGATCGTGCTTCAGCCATTATCAGTTGATTCTATTTTATTTTTAAAATCACTCAAGATCTTATTTAAAAGGGGAATGCGTGATCAATCAAGCCATTCACGCAAATATGTTACTATCGGTGATGGCCTCTCTTAAAAAAATAACAGTTTTGAAGAGCAGACAGATGTCGTCTTTCGACATATGTAAGAAAAGAACAATTTGTTTCAATATTAGTTAAAAGACTGATAGTAGCAACAACAAATGTATATATAAATCGTTGAAAAAAGGTTCAGTTGCCTTCTTTATATGATCCATGATAATTGTACATCGTAGTAGTTTTTGAGCGTACCCAGGTTGAATGATACATAATTCGGTCACGGCCAGTATACAGCATGTAAACAGTTGGATTCGACAATGTTTTGTCAAAGCTACGGATAGCTGTAATCCAGGGGCGGCGGAGCGTCATTAAGTTAGATGAGGCTCATCATATTTTTTTGCTACCGTGGAATTTTATGAAACATCAAGTAGTAAATAAGTCTTCTTTTTATTGAACTTCAGTAAAAATAAAAATGGTCAGTATAAGAAAGAAGATTGGAAAATACCGAAAACTACTTTTCTTTGCTCCTTCTCTGATACAAGAACAAAAAATAGCAATATTCAGTACAAAAGCAAATGAGGCTGAGTCTCATATTGCGAAATCTAGGTGAGGTTGAGCCTCATCTGCTGAAAACTAGGTGAGGCTCAAGCCTCACCTGTCTCAATGGCTCCGCCGCCACTGCTGTAATCATCAACTGATTATATGCTTCATAATTGTTTTTTTTTATATTTAGATAACTGACGAGAAGAGTAGAGCAATCAGTATTGCCCATATGTGTATAAAACAGAAACAAACGAATTTCAACTACGGCACGGTATGGCATACCGGAATGATGTTTCATAATGTTTAGCAGACATTTTTCTTTTTCTTAATAAACCCAATAGACATCGATATGCATCTTGCTTTTCATAGTTATTTATAACCACTCCTTTTTGTAAGGGTATCAAGCCTCTTCAAAAAGACGGAATGAAGTGAGGATCAACTTCTGAAAGAAAGTTTCTCCGGTGTTTTACGGATGAAACCTATTTTAATAAATAAGTAGATGTATGAATCAAAGAGATCCATTAGAATAACTAGCATTACCTATATTGTGAGAGTGTTTTCACTTTTCCAATAATATATGTGAACGCGCTCATATCGAGGATCATAAATTCTTGGAGGCGTATTTTTACACTAGCAGTCTACTTAAAATGTATTTTAATTATAAGTCAATATTGTTTCCAAATATATCAATAGGAAGCAGTAGAAAAAACTATACAATGTGTAAAATAATCACATATATAATAATCATATCCAGAAAGATGTCAGCACAAATCGGTGTAGAGTTTCAGTCGAATAGATCAGTTACTTACTATTGATTTTCTATTTATTTTATTTCCTCAAATATTTTATTATAAAAATAAAAATAAAAATTCTGAAATGAAATTTTTCGAGAAGGCTGATCAGTGTCATCTTTCCTTCATTTGTTGTGATTTATCACCAATAGATTTATTCGTATTCAGCTCGTATACTTCTTGCATTTCTTTTTCTTTACTTGTTTTGTTTTGTTTACTAAATTTTTTTATGCAACGAAATTTCGATCCTTGATTTGAAAATAGATTTTTATGTTTTCAGATTAGCAACAAGACCATTAAAACATGGCCACAACAGCTAACATCACAAAAAAACGCAAAGTAAACTAGCCTATGCAAACATGTGTTTTTTTTAATCGTCTTTTTTTGATGTTGTAGTTTATTCGTGAAGGTGTTTTCCATGCTGAACTCAACGAATTTTTCACCCGCGAATTAGCCGAAGATGGTTATTCCGGTCTTGAAGTTCGTGTCACACCACAAAGAACCGAAATCATTATCATGGCAACAAAAACTCAACAAGTACTTGGTGAAAAAGGTCGTCGTATTCGTGAATTAACATCAGTTATTCAAAAACGTTTCGGTTATCCCGATAATTCAATTGAATTATTCGCTCAAAAGGTTGTTTCACGTGGTTTATGTGCTATCGCACAAGCTGAATCATTACGTTACAAACTTATGGGTGGTCTCCCAGTACGACGGTAAGATTAAAAGAAGGACAATATTTTCTCACACTTGTTGTTGCCATTTTTTCAGAGCCTGTTATGGTGTTTTACGTTTCATCATGGAATCAGGTGCTCAAGGCTGTGAAATCATCGTATCAGGTAAATTACGTGGTCAACGTGCCAAAGCTATGAAATTCATTGATGGTTTAATGATTCATTCGGGTGACCCCGTTAATGATTATGTGCAATTTGCTGTACGACATGTACTCTTACGTCAAGGTGTACTTGGTATTAAAGTTAAAATTATGTTACCATATGGTAACAAAGAAGGCACAGGAGCTAAAAAGCCATTGCCTGATCATATTTCAATCGTACAACCTAAAGATGAAACACCAATCGTTAATCCATATTCTGAAGTGAAAGAACGAAAAGTTGAACCAGTAATATCAGTTCTATTAACTTGTACTATTTGATTTAAGTTTTCTAATTTTTCTAATAGTTATCGCAACAAATGGGTCATCCACAACAATTACCACCCCAACAACAACAGCCACCAATTCAACCTGGAGCACCAGCCAATTTCGGTTATTAGAACAACATAATATCGAAACAAAAAATGTTTATACACAGAAGAAAATAATAGCGTAACATCATCGGTTGTTTGTTGTTGCTTTTGAATTGAATCGTGTTCTAAGCAGCGAATAAAAGAAAAACAAAAATCTGAAAACAATCATAGAATATGTTTAAATACTTCTAATTCATATACTACGATTTTTTAAACATAATATTAATTTCTAGGGCGGATTTCTGCGATCGAATCGATTTAAGTAATAGTCACGAGCCTATGTTGCAAAATCAGATCTGATATCGAAAGAAAAGTTTTTCATACTCCTTTGATGTATTTTCTATGAAATTCAAAACATTTTCTAGAGAGCAATCTAAAGTGTGAGTTTGAAGTCAAGATTTCGAAGGTCTAAAGCTCTTTCTTAACAACAAGAAAAAAAAATGAACATTGATTGCGTACGTCACCAAAGTTACCAAGGCGAACATATTCACAACACGTTTTCCACTGAACGCCTCTTGAATCAGTATCTGAACTGTTCTAGTTGGTTTACTACTGTGGTCATACAATGGAAAGTAACTCTAGCCTTCGGAAGATCTTAATATATTCTATATAAATATAATGAGAGAGGAGAACGAATTTATCTGGTCGATACTTTACTTACAAAACGATTGTTCATGCAATCGTTTTAGATAAAATAATCTAGGATAGCATAATCATCTGGAATTCTTCAATTAAACCAATATTTCTGTCAATAAAAATGAATACAATGAAGTTAAAATACTTATTTTATCATCAAAACAATTTTTATTCAATGTTGCTTCTGGAAGAAACAGTTTGATTAGACAACAATGAGATTATTAGAAATCTTACGGTTAAAATAATATATACTTCATAATCTGGAAAAAAATGATCTAGATAATATGTTCATAAGTAGACGTAGCTACCGCTGATTCAATAAGATACATCTATCTCTTTGTACAAAATATTATCTTAAAATTCTTGTAATGTGACCAGCGACTAAACAGCGAAATTATACTACTTGTTAGTACCGTGCCAATATGAATATAATCATAAAATTGTAATCTATATGCTTCATTGTTAGGATTTCATTCATTGGATGGATTATCTCAAGCCTATTCGTGATGACCAATGAATATAATAGATGTTATCATGATGAATACCATTATGAATTGGGATTTCAAACTTTCTCTCTAAAAAAAAATCTCAAACAGAGTGGATAGAAAAGCGCCTTAATTGTGAACCAAATGTTTGCGAGATATGAAACTTTCAAGGCATGAATTCTTGTTGATGTATTGTTGATATATTATTGGTATTTTGATTTTTGGTAGCATAGTAACTCGAAGAAGTTTCATTGAAGACTTCTGAATTTTTCGTTAAAACCTATTTAAAATTTCTTTATGTACAAAGATTAAGTTCCAAATTCGAAAATGATAGATTTTCGAATCGATCGAATGATATCTGAGACAGCTGTCCTTGTCGTCACTTCAGAAGAGATCATTCCTCGAAGGATGAAATTTATATTTTATTGAATAAAATAAATCTAGTTTCTTTTCGATGAGTTCAAATTAAGAAAATATTCGATATTCGTGTAGTGTTCATTAGCTTTCATCTATGAATAATGAATAGTGAGTCAGATCATGAGCGACGAACGATGTTTATGTAAATAAACCTTTTGTCTAATCATAAATCAATTGATTTTGTCTGAAATTTGTATTAACATGAAGTGGCAGAAGTACGTGGTTCATTGGTAACGGCACTAACGCGTTCGATATTAATCGCTAATTTTTTATATTTGTGCAGTTCATTTTCTTTCGAATAATATTGCTGTAATATTTGACATCCAAATTCAATTGATTTAACAGTCGGTAAAGCATTTGAAATGTGTTTTTCTAATAATAATTCAAATGTATCAAACTGTTCAATTGATATCACTTTAATACAAAACTTTCGACGCATATTGAAACCTAATTCATCATTAAAAAATTCAACTAAACAACAGAAGAATTCAGACAAAACAAAAGGTAATTTATGATAAAAATAATTTCACTACTTGTATCCTGTGGTTTTAAGTCATGAAAATGACCTTTATCAAGACGAACTTCAATTGTCTTTTTTCCACAATATATTAAAGAAAACCAAGGTTCAGATAAATGTTTGACCAGCATTTATTTCTACGGTCGAATAGTTAATTGTAACCGGGTAGTGACATTAACAGTCAAGATTGCTACTTTTGAAACAGGACGTAGTAAACAGCATGACTAATCTTGCTAAGCTAAAGCCAACAAGAAGAAAAGGTTAACAAATAAAAAGAAAAAAAAAATAATATAATTCTGTCATTCATTAGTTATTCACTGTGTGTGCATCTCAACAGAGGGCAACACTGAACAATACTGTTGCCATGAGAAGAAAAACGAGAAAACTAAAAGAAAAAAAAGGAAACCGTTTTATAAAGAGGACAAGAAGAGCAAATATTGGTTGACTTCTTTGTATCGTTTAAGTCATCTATTCTGCGAGAAGGCTATATTAATAAAATATCATAAGTTTCATTCAAGCTGAGATCTTAGCATTTTAGTAACACAAAAAATAAATTATACATTTTTACTTTCTTCGTTTGACTTCATGTTATACGTCGAAAAACGCATTTTTTATGATGCAGAGTGCTTTTGACATATGATGTTTGTTCGGAAAAAAAACAGATGGCTACTCTATAACCATCGAATACATTATCTAGATATGATTGTATATTTTTCTTGTAACTAAAAATTGTTTTCGATATACTGTGTTAGAACTGTCTTGTATGTAAATTACCAACGAGAAGAATAAATTTGTCTAATAAATTCACTGAGTAGGTAATCTCTCCAATATGTTTTATTTTATATGCGATGAAGAACTGTAAAACTTCTCACGACTTAGCGAGTTTTATCATACGTATGATTGATATAATTCAGAAGATCACCAATCAATAATTCTGTATCATCTACTACAGCTAATAACGAATTGATCAATTACACGAAACAACTGTAGTTTTAAATTGCTGGAATATATAACATTTTACCTTCTTGTCATGATATATGTCATTCTAATCAGTTGGCAAGTGTTTTCTGGGCGTATTATAATAAATACATATTCTTACATGACGAGTTTGTTTTCTCGTTCGATATTGATTCTGACAGATATTTTTCAGCTACACGCTTTTGCAAATATCTCAAATACATTTTGTTATGTTACATATAAGGAATTTGGTGGCTACAAAAAAACAACACAAAAAGAAGAAATCATCATCTATTCTTGTTGATAGGATAGAAGTACTGTTGTTTGTCTCCCTTCTGACATGTTCATAGTCACTAGAATATTAAAGTATTCTTTGTAATTACGTAAGTTAATTTAAAATGGTTAGAACTTGTCACTTGTCAACTTTTCTTTTTTATTCCATAATAAAACATGCGCTAGAATAAAGTGAAAACAAAATGAGCTGAGTGACGTTACATCGTAGGAACTCTACTAAATGAATAAAAAAGAAAGCATATTTATGTTTTGCGTCAAGAATAAAATGATTCAATTAAACATTTTGTATTTGTAATTTCTTCCATTATTCGCATCGTCTTGTTGAAGTAATCCAAGTAATTCACATTCATCACGACACATTTTTAATGTATCTCGATTACGGTCAAGTCGTGATTCTAAAAGACAACGTGTTTGGCAATCAACATAAAATTCATATGATTGTTCGATCAGTAGGAACATCACTATCATTATTGTTAAATATGCTAAAGAAAAAAGAATTTTCATAGTTTAAAACAAGCAAACAAAATATTCTTACTAAGAAATCGACTCGTTGCCATTATATATGTTACAAGTTGTTGCTTGATACAATCGAAGGCGAAGCTATATGAATAGCATTTTGCATTTACATGCCTATTTATTTGTCGTGTACTAACACGATTATCTATTTTTTCCTACTCTCATTCGCCCCTCTCCACTTAGAACCTCTTATCTTAGAGACACGTTCGCCTACTCCACCAAGTATCAATCAACAAAATAAAACAGCTTCTTTGATTCATCTTTTAATCGATAAATATCACTTGACGGACAAATTTCGTTTGATGTTTTTTTTTTATACTTCAAGTACCAAATTTGCTATTTGATTGCATACATGACATAACAGTTTTTTATAAGGCATTTTAATAAATTAAAAGAAATAATATAAATAGATGAAGAAGAAAAAATGCAAATAAAAGAAAAATCATTTATTTTGAAGGTATTCAAATCACTGTAAATAGAAAAAGAGGAAAAAAGCGGACTTTATTTGCTTGTATGTCAATACGTTAAGTTGTCAAGAAGAAAAGAAACATCGCAATCATTTCCAATTCAATAACAAGAAAATTTTCAAAACGAGAAAAAGAAAAGTTGAAGCCGATGATCACGCGATCCAATATTAATATTTTGTTCGTCTATAATTGAGATCTCACAATTGGATAGTAAGAAAAACAAACGGCAATGCTTCAAACATATTTTGAAAACGAACAACTCAATTCGTTACCGAAAACTTTAATAAGCAATCGATCCCGAAATGGTTTCATTGCTACCAATCGTCCAGATTCCGCAGAAGTATACTAGAAATTTTATTTTTCTCGATGCATTTTGTTTTTACACAAATAGTTAGTTGATTTGCATATATTTATTATTCCGAAATCGGTATGGAAAAATGTACAACATTTAGCACAAAATGGAGCGATGGATGATGCTATATCAGTTGGTTTTGTTCGGTAATGACACGTGAATCTGTTTTTTTTTCTTAATTTATTTTTTATTCTAAATTTAGAGTACCACCTGATATAAAGCTACATCAATTGCGTCAGTCGATCGAACGACTATGTGGAACAGAAAATAATTTTCCACGAGATTTTATTTTTCTTCGATCTGTTGGAAGATGTTTTACAAGAGTTAAACCTACACAAGAAAATGAATTAAAAGTTAAACACTATCGACCACCACTGGTTAGATTTCGATTTGTTTTTCTACATATAAAAAATAACTCGATATCTTTTTTTCTTAGACATTTGCGCCAGAGGTACAAGTTTTCTGTTTAAAATAGAAGAGAAAAAGAATAATATAACTATGTTTGGTTTGATTAGATTTATCTTCTCGAAGGTCGACATGAAGATTATGCATATACGCCTTCTACGACTCCAACAATGTATACTGCTAATTATTTATTTGGTAGTCGATATCAATATCGTTTGAATCTTGATGAGTTTAATACATCGACATCATCAGTTTCTTGTAATTATCAACCGAAATTATTAACTGATGTGAGACAGCAAATACCAATAGCGAACTCATTTACATTGATACCTAACGGTTCATCACCAACTAAATTAGATTGGACAAAATTTACTCGAATTGATTTAGGTGATTATCATTGAAGGTTTATTCTATACTTAATAAAAGTTTCGATTTCTCTTTTACTATCTAGACGAATCGACACCAAAGTAAGCGAAGGAGAACATATACTAAAAATATGCCATTTTTAGTTTTTGAAATGAAACAAAACAAACAAACAAATAAATAAACTATCCTTTGTCTTCTAGCCTATCCGGTGCAACAACTCTTAGATCAAGGTATGAGTATGTTCTTTTTCTCCTTTTGTACAGTAATTAAAATAACAAGATAGTGTGATATATTTTTCTTAAATTTTTTTCTTTTTTTATTTGCATGTTATTGAAGAAAAACACCATCATTATATCGGGAATTAATCAAATTACAGGAAGAACAAGAACGTCTTCGTCAACGTCAAGATGAACTTGAACGTATACGGCGAGATGTTGAAGAAAAAAAAGTAAACTCGGATCGTGACGAAGAAAATAATCGTCGTCGTCATCGTCAAGAGAAAGCCGAAGCTGAGCACCGCCGTCGCTTGGAACAAGAGACGCGAGCTGCTACAACAATTCAAGCATCATACCGTGGCTTTAAAGATCGTAAAGTATTTCAAACAATTAAACAAAGGTAAATATTTGTTTGATTATTGAGAATATTTTATTCGAAATCATCTTGATATATATATTCAGTATTGCGAAGAATAAATCTCGAATATCATTATCAGAAACTGATGCATCCAGTAAACAATCAATAGGCGATGAGGAAAATTCCGATAATTCGGACGATGATGAATTCTCTGATGGGTTTGTTTTGTATTGTAATCCTCCATATATCTCACTACTGCACAGATCTGTTTATCCGAAAGTAATCGGCATAAACTTTGCGCACATTATTCTCTTAAACTTTCGTATAGGCTTGATTGCGCACATTTTTTCTTTAATTGGAAGAAATATAGAATGTTCGCAAAACATAATCTAGTCGGAGAAACAACAATGTCCGCAACATAATTAGAAGCAAGTGAAGACACCTAGATTGCGGGTGTAGATGCGATAAACACTCATATCCTCAAAATGGAAATCATTGATAAATGACAGCATGGGAATTCAAATACAGTAGAATTGCTTCGATAATGTCGTGTTTTCTTCTGTTGCATAAATGAAGTTTCCTTTTAACAAGTTGAATTCGATACTATGAACATTTTTGCCATCTTTGTTTTCTCGATTATGTTTTGCGAATATTCAACCTCTGCTAATAGAAAAATGTATCAGCAATCTAGAGCCAACCAAAAATTAATTTTTCTTTTTCTATTCTTATCGTTTAGTAGTCAAATTCTATCCATATCATCATCAATTAAATCAGCATCAGATATCGATTCGAATCTATACAAAACAGAAACTAATACAATAAAAAATCAAAACTCAGACAGCACTGATTCTAATTCATTTTCAACAGAATCAGAATCAGAATCATTAACATTTAAAACTGAAAGAAAAATTCAATCCGATAAAGTACCTTACTCAAAAAATAAAGCTACCAATGATATTGATACTGAGATTACACGGAGTGCAACAGTTACTAAAGTACGTTATTTAGAACACGAGTTTTTATCAGTATCAAGACCAAATATTACTGACGATACGTAAGTATTAGAATACATCAATGTATTGAATATACGCAATTGTATAAGTGGTTTCGTTCGTTTTGCTTTTTACTATCAATAATGAATTTGGTTGATAGCTAATAGGTTAACTTTTTTTCTCCATTTCATCCAAAGATACGACGTAGCACGACAAGAAGCAGAAGCCAAACGGCGTCGGCAGTTAGATGAAGAAAAACGAAAACTAAAAGAGTTAGAAGAAAAACGAAGACGAAAAAAAATTCAACCACAAGCAAATGATGATGGTAAGTTTATCTTTTCATTTTTTTTAGTAGTTGAAATTATTTAAAAGAAAAACTAATGACTGTTTGAAATTTTATATATTTCTATATTGAATCATTGCTCTTATGGTCAATGCAGGACAGAATCGTGTAATGTCAGATTCTTAATATATTAGCTGCTCGAAAAGTACGAAACCATTTTGTTTTTCTATCACCCATCGAAATAGTTTTATGACAGACTATTATTTTTTTTGTATTTTTCATTGAAAAGACCACGTGAACATGTAAGATTTGACAGAGTATGTTTCTTAAACTAAGAGCTATGACTATCTTATACAAGAACGGTTCTATGTTTAGACCAGCTATATTAGAATCCTTCATTTTCTTCACTTAGCGATGCAAAAATATTGAAGTGTCTCGATATATTCTTGAAACAATCAAAAACTAGCTGTAGAATTTCGAAGACCTACGAAAAAATTTTACTTTGCTAAATCATTACATTCACTCTTATTTGATGAATATTTCTCTTCAACTTGATGGCATTGTCTTGAAAATAATTACATCCATTTGTTATTTGCAAACTGCTGTTTACCGTAGTAAACTATTCTGCCAGTTAACCAAATGATTTATCTTTGATTTTCAGCTAAAAAATGAATCGATTTTTGCTGAATTTTATTTTGATTCATCATCGTTGTCGTCAAGAACAATCGTATAAATTCTCGATCGTTCCAAGTAGCCTGTCATGCATCTCAAATAGAATGCATTCTATATCAGTTCGAACGCCTATTGCCGAAACTTGATCATTTAAAAGCAATTATTAAGTCTATTTAATGTTTAAACAGTTGTTCCTATCCGAAATTTATTACACTTCGCCATAGTTTTCATATTGAAATTCGTTTTATCCTTCTAAAGCACATGCACCCATACAAGATCTGTTTTTTGAGTTATTTTATGGCTCATTACTTTATACTAAAATCATTGATGAATTGATTTTTTTCTAGCTGAATCTCTTCGTATTCATCTTCAAGAACTAGGAACTGAACGTATGGATCTTGAAAAAACGCAGAATGACGTGATCAGAAAATTAAAACATATCCATAGTCGAATAACATTGCGACGACGAGAGGGTTTGATTGATTCGATTTTTAATCGCAGGCATAATTCAATTAATTTCATTTTCAGCGCGTGATATGTGGAAGAAAAAATATTACCGGGAAAGAAAGAAGACCGTACCATTGGAAGAAATTTCAGCAAAATTAAAACGTGATTTAGATCAAATAAATACGAAAATAGTACAATCTATTGATAGTGAATCAAAACAAACAGCACACGCGGGTAATGCAAAACTAGCAGAAATGGGAGTAAGAAAAAGCAAAGATTTCTTATTGGATTTGTTGGAATATGAATTTTTTTGTGTTCCAGAGTCTCGTTTCGCAAATTACACGTTTTCAAAATGAAATTCAAAATACTCGTAATAAAATTGATCTGGCAAAGTTACGCCTAACAACTGATATCAAAGTAATTATTGTAAAAGAAACACCATATGAGTATTTTTTGTCTATCCATTTATTATTTTAGTTACGAAATCAAGCTGAAAATGAGTGTCGAACATTAAAAGCAGAACTTAGTCAAGCTAAAATGAATCTTCATCATATAAAAGATCGGATAATAACCTAAAATATATTCTTTGCTTAAATATATAAATTATATTTGTTCAATTAGAAAGTTCCTTTTTTTTTAAATTTTAACGATCAGCTGTACGATAAGATTTTAATATTGCTCCATGACTCGAAAAAGCAGCAAGAATTCGTTGTTCGCTTGCATGTAATTGTTCTTTGAATAAATCGATAATATTATGAACGTCAACAGAAATTGTTGCATCATGTTCATGATGAGATTGATGTTCATGATCAAAGTTTTTCTTTTTACCATCATGTTGTTCTATAACATAGAAAATATCAACTATAAATGAATAGAGAAAGACCGGAATTGTTTACCTGAACTATGATCCTGATCCTTCGAGTCAATCTCTATTGCTAAAAAACAAGAAAGAATATATAGCCATTTAATTTTGCTCTCTTTTGAAAATCTTACCTGTTGTATCATCACTTGTTTGTGTTGCTGTGTCACTCAGAACAACTGCAAGCGTTGGATGATCTGGGTATTGTGCTTGAATTGCTAGAATATATTAGAGATCTATAAATATATATCTTCTTTTGGTTTAAAATCTATCTCGTAGTTAAAAGTTTCTTTCTTTATTCTAACGGAATTCAATCGACATGATTCAAATAAAAAAGAATCGTTGAATTTAGTTCTTAAAATATTCAGTACCAATGGTAATTTCTTGAGTTTTACTTCTGGTTAGATTCTTTCAGTCAACAATTCAATTAAAACTAACCTGCAATACAGATTACAAATATTGAGCATAAAATTAGATGCATTATAATCGTAAGACCAATCGATATCAATAAGTGTAGAATATGAGAGTATACTGAGCTGTCGTGTTCTACTTGTCTCGTTATATGTATATATATATATTGGCTATAGAGAGAGAGAGAGAGAAAAACAAACGGAAAACACCATTCGCCAGACATTTTTCTCTGGTAAACTGAGAAAAGAACTGTTATTTCGACCACTCCATAAATTACAAGGTCATCTTGCTATTTCATACGTCAGAATATAAAGTCAAAGGCCATTGAGTAACATCCGAAAAATAACAGCTGTTTTTATATACAAGATTTGCTGATTAAATAAATAGATGATTTGTTGTACAGGTCATCAATGGCGAATTGGCATATGTCCGAAACGTACGACCATTTTCTCTACTTACTCTATGTAACATTGTCAAGGTGATTAATGAGTAAGACATCAACTATGATATGCTATCTAATCAATAGAAGTATGTTCACTTTGACGTTTACAAGAAAGAGCAATCGAGACAGTAAAACATAATATCAAACAATTGCTATTAGCTGTGATGTAAACATGGTCTATGGTTTATTTAGATCGCAAAAGAGCTAATTATTTTACATCTATTACTTGAAAATACGTACGGAATGACTTGAAAACTGCCAATTGCCTATATCGAGTAAACAATATTCCATACCATGGCACTTGTTCATTGATATGCGCAAGTTTACGATGTCAACAAGTCGATGGTACTAATTTCCTCCATCAACATACGATAAAATACTAAATGTTTCCTACGAGTTAACGGCATAAGTGAAAAATATCTCTAGATTATTTTCTGCAAAATAGCACTACAATAATTTGTACAAACATAGAACAAAATCTACAGTCGACATTTTTATCGATCAATCAAATAACACTGCAGTATATCTTTGTTGTTTCTAACAACAATGGTAAAGATATTGGAATACCAAATCGTCTTGTGAAAATACATATTATATCGACTTTAAGAGCATTGTGTAAAAACTGTATTGCAAATGCTCTTATGAGAAAATATATACAAATGTTTGAAGTGGCTCGAGTTTTTCTCGTAACTGTGATTAAATCTCATTAAAATTTAGTCAAACTTGAAAAGACTCAATTTCATGACCTAATGATAAAGGTTTATGACTATTTATTTAAGTAGAATTTTTACTGTGAGAAAGACTTTTCCAAAGCGAAACAGTCGAATTGCGCTTGTAATCGCGTTCATCTTCGTTGGAACCTTCAAAAATATATAAGTAGTATCAAACATGCCACTATTAAAAAATCTTCTTCAAGTAACCATAACATTTTATTAGTAGAGTTTGAATCTAAATATGAAAGGCGTCCATGATAGTTAGATATATTTCGTGATTAGATCAAGATAAATTTATCTATCTAATTTAACAGTGACCAACGCAGTTTTCAGTTAGCTAATTACCTCTACAAAATAATCATCACATATTTAAAATTAATATGTTTCGAGAAATAAAATTCTATGATTGTTAAAAAATATTTCGTAGCCGTTACTCTTTACAATATTGGTGGCACAACAAATGAAAGCATCATTCTTTTATCTCTAAACTGAAAAAAAGAATCCTTTCTCGACATAAAATAGACGTTCTTTGATTTGTTTATATCATGAATAGTTTGACTATCGTAAACGTAAACGATTTCTGCCTCTAACGATCCACTAATATACTATTAGTTGCTTTTGTACCATATCTGTATATATATATATGAATGAATGTAATCAATAAAAACAAAATTTGATCATAGAGAAAATAACATTTTCAATTCATTTATGAACTAAACCAAACAATCCTATATTTTAATTTCTAATCTATTTCAACACGAACAATAATAATAATAATAATAATAATAATTACACTTCAAATAAAACAAAAGAAAAAAAAGCACAAGATAAGAAACGAAATTGGCAAAAATGTCAAACTAAGTTCATTTACTAATCTAGTCATACATCGATTCAGATAAAATGCATTCATGATTGATACCATAGAAATACATAGGATATATAAGATATCCTCGATAGGATTCGATGTATCTTGATTTGTCATTCTTCAATAGTGTAAATAAACGAGCTGGCACTTGTGTCTTGTACATGCTTTTTTTTCTTTATTATGCAGGAGAATATTTGCAGTTGTATGAGATTAATATTCATATATTAATGATTACATCCAAATTATGGAATGGATAATTGGAATGAAAGAAATAATCCATTAGCAGACATTATTTTCTATGTGTAAAAAATAGTCTAGTTTTTCTCCGAGTATTCCTAATATCAATAAACTGGATATGATGGCATTCGATGAGCAGGAATGCTATTGTTTTTGTTATTATTATTATTTAGAATCGGTGTTGGTCGATAGAATTGTTGATGCAAACGATCTATTAATGTCGATGATTTTTGATTAACTGACTCAAGACGTGAACGTCTTTGTTGTGGTTGATGAGAATTATTGAGAAAATCGCTTGTTAATTTGGTTGATGTTAATAAAACCGATAGAGGTGACAAATGATTTTCACGATAGCGTTCTGAATTTGGAACAGAATGCTGCAATGAAATATCACGTCGATGTGGACGTCTTGTTCGTTGTTTTTGAGATGATGATAATGATGAAATAAAGTCAATATCATGAGAATTTCTGTTACCTTGATAACGAGGATCAGTACTACATGAACGTTTTGAAACTATTGGTTTTTTATCCGTAATCATTTCTTTTCGTTCGTTCGAAGATGAACTCGATCGAATCGTCGTTGCTGATAGAACTTGTTTACGAGCACGACGACGACGTTTACGATTTGTACTTGATGATGATATATTAATAGCATCATCGTCACTTGATTGACAGTTTGTTGGAGGTGATGTCAACGGTGGTGGCGGTGGTGGTGATGGTGGCGGCAACAGTGGTGTTGGTGCTACTGAAACTAATGTTGTTGTAGTACAAAGAGGTTTGACAGGAGATATTAATTGTGGCGAAGATACCTTTGATGTGATGGTTATTGAAACAACGTGTCGTTTTATTGGACTCATAACTGCAATACTTGTTTTGAGCGGTGAAACATTATTTGTTGTTAGTTGTGAAGATTTTGATGAATGCAAATTTTCGTAATCATCATCGTTAGACTCAACAGATACTTGTATTTTTGATGAAGGCTGAACAGTCATTTGAGTAGATTTTTTATTCTGTTGTGAAGATGTAGCAGCTAAATATTGTTCACATTCAAGTGTTAATGCACGAAATAAATCATCTAACGTTGACGAATTTAGAAGTGGTTGATGTTGTTGTTCTTTGTCAGCTTGATCAATATGATGATGTTGGCGACGACGATGATGATGATGATGATGTTTCAATGATGAAGAATTACGACGTGGTGGCAATGGTACTGTTGTTACCATGCCTGAAGGCAATACTGATGAAGGATATGGATCGCATTGTGGAAATGTCAATTTGGATAATGGTTGTATTGAAGTTTCTTGATTAATTCCATTAGTCGACGTTGATGGTTCATTTTTAACAATATCCGATAAAAGTACATCAAGTCGATTAATTGCATTCATTTTTACGATTGAAGTCTAAAACATATGGATGCATTTGCCATATTCATTATTTATTGGTCTTGTCTTTTTTTACACATGAATAGCGTTTTGTTTGCAAACTATTCTTATCATGATAATTTTACTTATCTTACAATCATATGTATCAGTAGTGTTATCAAATAAAAATGATAGAATTATTCTAAATTTCGATACATACTCACCATTATTAATTCGATTATTGATAATATCTATGAAAAATTATATTTATTGCAACCTAAACTATGTACTATTCATTCATACTAGTTGAGCCAATAGTAATAACAACGCAAGACTACTAGATAAATATCATCCAGAGAAGAAAAGCTAGTATAGGTTTTTTTCTTCTACTTGTCAATGAAAAAACCTCTAAGAAGAAAAGGAAGGTCACATAGATTAACGTTTTCTGATGGAATAATCAAGGATGATAACTCATATTTCTTTCTATGGCATACAGGCCATGAGTCCTAGTAAAATGCGCACAGATGAGAAAAAGAAGAAGACAACGTGTAAGCAAGAGAGAGAGAGAGAGCACGATGATTATCACCATTTGTGTCTGTCATTCGAGTCTCTGTGCAGTGACGCCATCGAACATCAACAATGACCACATACCCATCTTTTAACATATGAGACGCTTCCGGCGACTGATGAACATTGTTGCTATTTTTTTTTGTAATGTAGAAAGCGAAGAATATGGCATTACTAATTTATTCGTTTCTTCTTTATTGTATATATGTATAGATTGCTGACATGAGAAGCAGCACACTCAAGATATATTAAGGAAAGATTTCATCATCACTTCCTATTCTTTCTTTGCCGATGCCCTATTGAATATAGTAACATCTTCGATGTATACGCATGTACATATAATTGTGCTATGACTGCCGTCTCAATCTTTTCTTTCTCTGTCATTTTCTATTCAATGTCAATAGGATTGTTTGGCATACAATAAATGTTCAAGAATCTTCCCACTATTAACTATAGTTATAGATCAGGGATATATATAGATAGATAGAGAGAGAATATCTTATATAATAATTAATTGAGAAGTATGAGAAATATCTTGTATTCTATGCCATATGTTCAATACATTAGTAGATTTTTAAAAAAATTTGATTACAATATTTTATTTAACCAAATCCCAATAATTATCTTAATTAAAATGAAAACAAACTAAAATAAATATCACAATAAAAAAATTTTGAAATTTAATGAATTATTTTTGAACTGTTTTTTCACTCCATGTTATTCCTTCACGTTGAAGTTCATTTAAAATTGGTTTATAAATTGTACGCTTAACTGGCACAACGACACCACGCTCATAAATTTCATCTTAAGAGAAAATTTTTATCTCAAAAATTTTCTTAAAAACTAAATTTCAAACATACTTTCAAGAAGCATTCGAGTAGCGATAGCAGCTGGTAAACCAACTGTTTTTGACATAGCCGAATGTTTCTGATCACCATAAATAACCATATCGATGGTTTTCAATTCATTTTCCGTTTGTGATACGGATGGCCATGTAACACCAACTTGATGGTGAAGAATAACCAGATCACGCTCATTTTGTCCGTAGGTTAAACGTTTCGCTAACCAATTACTCAATGTATCCAATGGATTGGAACGTTTTTCAATAAGAACATCTTCTGAGAGAATGCCGAGTCTAAATGAAAAACCGGAGAACACGAATTTTATTTTTAAAGTGAAATCAGATTTCTTCTATATTACTGTTCGATAGTTTGTAATTGATTATCATTCTGTAATTTTTGATGAATAACAGATCGAAGTGTATTCGTTGATGTATCCCGTTTTAAACTTAATAAATCGCACATAAATTCTTTCCATGTAAGATTATCGTTCGATTGTAAACTTGGATGTGGACTATCACTAAGTAGACCAAGTCGAATTAAGCCAAGTACATTTTGACAAAAGCCCTTAAATAAAATGTTCAATTTGTTGTTGAAAATCTTTTAATTGCTTTGTGTTTTCTACTTTACTTTATATCTAAGAGTTCCTCGAAGTATGGTATGTACGGTATCAAGTTGCAATGAATCAATATATGTTGTACTATCTCGATTTGGATAACATTCAAGATTAAAACCTGGAAGAAAATTCGCTGCTGTACATCCATTTTCAATGACTCCACCGTTAGCTTCAAGTTGAACGATCTAATTTAACATAGTCATATAAAGAATTATTTTATCATGTTGCTTTTCTTACTTTGCTTTTTAGTAAATATTTGGCTGGATTAAGTAATGCTGTAAGAACACCACGAGGTGACCAACTAGAGTAAAAGAAAAACAGTGAATTTTTATAACAATTAGAATACAAATTTCGTTTTACCTAAATTTATATCGTAGAGGATTATCAGCATATTCTGGCGCTGGTAAACCACCACAATAGGACACGTAGGAATCGATACGACCACCATCATCACGAATTATTTCAAATAATTCCATGGCAAGCATATGATCAATGCCAGGATCTAATCCAACTTCGTTTAATAAAGTTACACCAGCTGCTAAAGCTCTAAAATAAAATATTTCGTCCAAAACAAATTCGAGTTTTTGTTCTCTTGACATACTCGTCGTGTAAACTTTTCATTTTCGGTGATACGTAACTTGTTGTTACCATATGACGACGATGTTTTATACATAGTGCAGCAATATTAGGATGAAGTCCAAATGGTAATAGTGAAACAACACAGTCATGCTCTTTCACTAGTTTATCAAGTTCACTTTCACTACGTGTTACATCAAGTAGTACTGGTGTTACTCGAGGATTTGTTGCTGCAAGTCGATCAGCTTCTTGTTTGATGGCGCTAACAACAGTAACATTGATCTGTTCATTACGTGTTAAATATTCAACGACAGGACCGCTGACAAAGCCAGCGCCTAATACAAGTATACGTTTTTCAACGGAGAACTTCATTGCTTTTGATCTGAAGAAGAAAAGAAAAGAAAATAAGACGAATATATAGATGGTTCGATTCAATGTCAAGTTTTTGTTTTTTGCACCTTCGTTGTTCTCGAAGTTGTGTTATATAAGAATATTTTGGTGTCAATTGACCATTTGCTGTCAAAGTTGCCTACGTACAGTTGGAAGAAAAAATTATTCTTTATGTACAAGTCTAATAAAGACAACAAAAGATTATAGAGTGAGATTTTTCGAAGTGAATGTTCTATGGGTTCGATGTTCAATAGTTGGCAATTCTACAGGTATTATTGAATTTTACTAATCTATGAGAAATAGAGTTTTCTTTAATGAAAAGCATAAACTGAAACATCATTTCAATTTAAAAACTTCCAACTACTAAATACATACAACATGATTCGTCTATTTCTTTAATCAATTTTAGTAACATGCGAATGTCGATATAGACATTTGACGATCATAGAAATATTGATACATGTCTAATCTCGATAAATACAGTACAGATTATAAGTAAGCAACATTTCATTTTTTCTCCCGTATAAATTAGATTCTATCAGTTTGACTTACGTCTCGAATAACCCGAGGTACATTTGTTTGCATTTGAAAATTTTTTGTAGCATCTACTTCAAGTAGTTTTGGTATTAATGGAAGTAATTTTGAACCAAAATAAGTAGTTGCTTCTAATGGTAATTGTGTTGGCATGTTATCAATCGAACAAACTAATACACCAGGGCCGTCAAAGCTGTATTGAAAACTTTGTCTTTTTCTCTATTCTATTTGAATAATGTATTAATTACCTTTCCATAGATGTATTTGTTTTATGATTGTATAGTAGAAATGGATGATCAATAGTTGTTGTATGCTGAACTATTTCAATGCTACCACATTTATCAGCTGTTATATCGCAAATAGCTAAAAGTCGATGAGGTAATGTTGGACAACCAGATCTTAGATCACTTTGTGTCCATTCTGGTGGTGGAGTTAATAGTTGATTTGCATTACCAATACGAAGTAATTTTGGTTGAGTTGGTTCCCAATAAATTCCATTGATGATACATGAAGCGTATGGAGCGATCTATAGAAATTAATGCGTCTCAAAAAATCAATTAAAATAATTAAATCAATGAGACAAAAATCACAAAACTATATTTAGCAGCAGATTGATTTTCTGTGTACACATACATATATATATATATATATATATATATTTACCCTTATATATAATGCTTTAAATAACATTTCTATTTTATCATAAAAATAAGTTTCAATTCATTTGTCAATTCAAATAACTTACTTGTGTTTTGAATGTTGATGTATATCTATCAGGATATTTAAGATATTCTGCCTCGTTATATAATCCAGTTTCTTTATTAATTAAATGATCTTCACGTTGAACAACGCATCCATAAATTTTATTAGTCGCTTTGAAAAAACAATAGAACCAAACGATTCATAATTATCTAATAGAAAAGCAGAACTACTTACCACCATGTTTAGCAGCTTGTGAAAGAGCTTTTGGATCGACATATTCAACTGGTAATTCACGAAAAACTTCTTGAGCACCCTAAAACAAATTCGTTAAACGGCGTACACATTTGAGTGAATGCTACTTTTACCTGCGAAACATTTCCTGCTCCAGTAAAAACAACTGTCAGCGGCCCAATAGATTTCGGCATGAGACCAAGAGCAATTTCATAGCCAGCATCTCGAATAGCCATTCGAGCTTGTTCATTATTTCGATAATTATGTGCTGGGCCAATATGCTAAGGGTAAAAGAATATTAATTGTAATAAGAAGAATGGTATGGCTCGTATCAAATATTTACCATAAATGGTGTATGATGACCAAGTGCAAGAAATCTTAAACCAAGTCCATGTAAAATATTAATCATTCCAACAACTCCAGCATATTTTCCGAAGGCAACTAAACGAACACCTTCATCATCAACAATTTTTTCATAGTCAACTAATGTTACATTTTTTTCTAAACATGCATCTAATAATGCCATATTATCTTCTTGCGCCTTATGTGTATGTGAAAACATGACATAAACTTTATTTGGTAATAATGCATCGATAGGCACTTGTTTCACACCCATGATAACTGATGCTTCACTCAAATCTTCTTGAACAATAGCGCCTGCTTGAACATAGGATGAGATTGGAAAAGCACGACGATTAGACGGTTGAATAAGAACTTTTATTTTATGATTTTGTACAAGTTTTCGAACATGTTCCGGTGCTACTGGAGAACGACGTTCCCATGGTGATTGATCTTCACGACGAATAGCGATTACATGTTTAGAACGTGAAGGATAAGATGACGCGACTCGCAATAAACTATGTGATTTTAGACCTGATCGAAGAAACATCTGAAATAGACGTCTACTATATTAGTATGGTTATCGATCAAACAACAAAAGATGAAATCTTCAAAGAAGTAAATTATTCTGGCTGCTTTTTTTACTGTTTCTAACAATATCATCAGAATTGCAGTATTTTTCAAAGTCTCCGATCAATGAAAAAGCATTGAAAATATTTGAAACTCTTTCTTTGGGAACGAAGCTTTTTTTGGTACCTATTTACCAAAAATACTTGTGTAGCTACTGAGAAAAATTCTGGTAAAAAACTTGATTTTCCAAGTAAATATCCATAATATAAGACTAGTTTTCTCAATATTTGATTAAAGCAGAAAATATCACTCGCAATACTTTGATAACCACTTATTTACTCAAGAAAATAAATAATGCACTAAGAATGCGATTGGTACAATTAATTATGTTTCGTTTGATATCAGGCACATCTCTTTCTGCTTGCTAGTGTGTAAAACGTGCAAAAAAAAGCTCAAAACTAGTGTTTACACATTCTCAGATATTTATTTTTATGAATATAAAACCAATCATGTTTACAGTTGCAAAATATGAAAAGTAAACGGAAGATTTTATCTGACGCAATGAACAACGCATGTATATAATTACCTCCAAAAATCTAGGATACTGGTAAAACATAGCAACGAGTTGCTTAATTCATTTTTCTAATTGTACGCATATCAATTTTATTTTGTCTATGTAAACTTTTTTCTGACGTATTTATCTAATTTATGAAAGGTCCTGTCTCTGTCTTATTGTAAAAACTTTGTTTTTTCAAACGTCGTATTTTAGCGACAACTACTTCCTTTTATATTGCGGCAGCTGTTTTATATATGAATATATAGAACAAAAATAAATTATCCTCAAAATCAGACGAAAGAAAATCTATGCGAAACTATCAACACGTTCTAATTAAAATTCAAGGATGATTTTTATTACTGTATTAATATGAACTTTATTTTACAGTCTATATAAAGAAACGGCTGAAAAATAATCCTACACACAAGAATGTTTTCATTCAATCTATTCTGTTGGCTTATTCAATCGCGCATATAAATATCAATGTTTATTCACTCGAATACCTACTCATTCATTTCTACTCGTTTCGTTTTCGGTTCGTTCGGCGACGTGCATTTTTCTTGATCCTGTAAGATAAAAGGAAAGAATTCGCCTTGTTTTTAGTTTGAAACTATGAAGGCAGAAACAGTACCATGCAGCACTATACTACTTCTAATAACTCTTTATATCCTTCAAGGTGTGATTATTGGTTTCATATCAGCTATTCCATTATACTTAGATTCACGAGGTGCTAAATGGCAAGAACAAGGAACATTTAATTTCGTAGTTTATCCATTTAGTTTAAAACTTGCATGGGCACCTATCATTGACGCTGTCTATATAACACGTTTTGGTCGAAGAAAAACATGGCTTTTACCAATACAATATTTATTAGGAATCATACTTTTCACGCTCTCATTCTTTCTAACACAATTAATTGAAGAATTAAATATAAAATATTTAACGTGCATTTTTTTCCTTGTCTACGTTCTTCTTGCTAGTCAAGATATATGTGTTGATGGTTGGGCATTAACACTGTTAACGAATTATAATCTTCAATGGGCATCGACATGTCAGACAGTTGGACAAACCACGGGCCGTTTTATTGGTTATACAATTTTGATGACATTTGAATCAGCAAATTTCACGAATCGTTTTATTCGACAACCATTTTTATTAACAGAAAGATCCTATGGATTATTTACAATAGATCAATTTATACGATTGTGGGCCGTTGCTTTCATATTAGTTTCAACTATTATAGCTTTATGTAAAAGAGAAAAACAAGAAAATAATCATTTAAATATATGTCAAACTTATTTATCAATATTTAAATTATTTAAGAAAACATGTATTCGACAATTAACTTGTCTATTGCTTGTTAGTCCAATTGGTTATGCAGCAACTTATGCAATGACGAGTTTAGTTTTAAAAAAGTAAAATAATAGATTCAAACTTTAGTTGTTATTGCTGTTGAGCTATTTTAGATATGGCGTTTCAAAAGAAACTCTTGGTTTACTAGGCATTCCTTTAATTTTTGTAAAAATTCTTATACCATTTTGTGTAACAAAAACTAACCGTCCATTAACTTGGTATAATCGTGCATATTTACCTCGTCTTGTGATGTGTATACTCATTGCAATCTTTATTTGTTTTACACCGTATATATTATCTCAATGGTATTTTTATCCAATACTTATTTGTCTTTTGATATTAAACGAATCTCTTGTATATTTAATGCTTGTTTCTCGCGTTGGATTCTATGCACGAATAAGTGATCCATGCATCGGCGGAACATATATTACTTTATTGAGTATGCTCGGAAATCTTGGTGCTAGTCTATCGTCATCATCTGTTTTATATGCAGCTGCATGGATTAAATCAGATAAACTAGCATATCCTATTCTGGTTGGGATTTGCTTTTTATTTGGTTGTCTATGGCTTTTTGCACAATTTAGAACAATGGTGCGATTACAAGCATTACCAATAGAGAAATGGCATCTTCTATCGGTACCAATAGTGTTGGATAAAATAAGTAGTGAGACTCCAGAACTATATTCAAAAGAGCAAGAACAACAAAATATGATTAATGCAAGTGCGATTCATGATTAATCCAGGGAGTGACAGTTGTCTGATTGAAGTTTCTTGATGAATATCTTTGCATTCTACACGTGATTGGAACCTATTATTATTGAAATTGCAGGATAGATATAAGTATTATCAACGTAGAATTTAGATGCAATGGATGTAACAGTCTTAGCGGACTTTGTGAATATATACTGTTAAAAATTGGATCGAAAGAATGTACTACTTAGTGCTTGGTACAATCAATTGCATCGTAAGCAATGGATGATTGAAAAAATTGATGCGAATTTAAAAGTACTGAAAGAGCTTATATCTTTAGACTTCTTTTTTCAATAATAAAAGTTTTTATCTATGATTCAAAAGCAATAGATCAGTTGTTAGTCATGTTGTGTTCTTCAAGGCAATCGCCCTTTTGTCCAACCTAAATGCTTAAACTTACAAGTATTAAATCTAAGATAGTTTGCGAACCTGTTTGGTATGGTCAATAATAGTAGTTGACTGGAATTTTTCACACTTATCGGCAACGATTTTCGTTATTTTTCTTTATAATGGATAAATGATCAAGTCGTCCAAGAGTGCGATGTGAGGAAAATTACGCATCACTAAATTAAAAAAATTTGTGATTTCCATAGCATATCATAGTGAGATATAAAAATAAATTTTTCATAACATTTTTTAACATTACATACTAAACGTGGAATCACTTCAAGCCTGGTTCGCTTTCCTATTGCGTCATTTAGATTATAAATATATGCATGACTGATATCAGTATGTATGTTTTGTTTCTGCATCTGATATCTTATTTAGTCAATTTTATAGTGGACTGCTAATTACCGCCATCTGTTATGGGAAGTTTGAATTGGACAACATATCTTACTTTTTATCGTAACCTAAGTCGAGTAATTTATGTTCATTCATTGTCGTTTAGTACTTTTTTTCTCATTAAAAAATTATATTTCTTATGCAAATTATAGGCTAATAGTGATGTATACGAATCATTCTCTTGTTTCAATTCTTGATATGGGCCTAATCGATGCCTGTATTCATCTGAATGCTCAACTTCCTCGAATGACCGTACAGGAACTTCATGTTGAATTACCATATGTTATTCGTCGTATATTTGGTTTTGGCCGTTTTGATTGGTCACTACGTGATATAGGTAATGATCGAAGTAATCTATTTTCACTAGTTCAAGAATTCTTTTCACCATGGAATGGTGAATTATGGAAAGCATTAACTCGTTTACAAGATCATACACCACAATTTACATTTCAATTCAGTATAGCTGATTTACCAGCGCATTTACGTGCTAAACTTGCATCATTATGTTTACCGGATATTGTTCGCGGACGAACAACAACCACTGGACAACATTTAACATCATTAGCACTTGATCCAATTGAATATTTTCTATTCAATCTACTTTCTTATGTTGTTTCTGATCAACAAACACCGGTAAGTACAAAGCAAAGCTATGTATTTTATTCAATTTTATTTTTGAATAGGATCGTCCAATGCGAAGCGATTCAATATATTTAAACATTCTTGAAATGTATTTATGTCTATTTCTACCAAGTAATTAGTTTGTATTTATATCAACTTATTCTGAACTTTTTTTCTTCTTCCTAAAATAGTTGATGCCAGTGAATTTCGTTTACTCCTTACGCCAACAAGTAATTCTTCAAGTTCAAATGCTCTTTCAACTTCACATGCGCATGATCCACGCGTATTACCACCGGTGCCTGTTGAAACAACACCAAAGTAAAAAGAAATACATTTCAATGCTCATTTTTTATTTGTTTATTGATTTAGAAAAAGTCCTATTCGACAATCGTATCTATTTGGAAGTAATATAAAACAAAGAGGAGATGGACAAGAAAAACATATGAATTTAAATGCATCATCCACATCGTCATTACTTCCATCACCAACATCTGCAGTTCTATCCACAACAACAGCGGATACGAATGAGTTGATGAAGAAAATTGATTATTTTATTAAAGTAAAACAAAAAAGCTTACTTAAAAGTTAACATTAAATATATATATATATTCGGGTTTTAGTGCTATGTAGCATTTCTCATTGATGTATTTCAACCATCGAAATCTGTTTTCGGTACAAATAGTGGTTCAATTCTTGTTCAAGTAAAATCAAAATTTTACACTTATCAAACCAACTTGTATCATCCTAATTTCTCTTTCGTTAGGAATTTAATCTGTCCGATGTTCATTTATTGTGTATTCGTATGTTTATTAAACGTCTGCATTTATTTTGTTCTTATCAAATTGGTGTTGGCGGTAATAATGTTTTTCTTCTTAATACGGGCATGACATTACTTGAACAACGTAATCTACTGGTACCATTGCAAACACTTAAAAGGTTCGTTGAAAATTATATTCTCGTACTAATTTTTAGATTATTCACATTTCTAACAAACATATACTATGAAGTTGAAAGCAAAAAAGGGTTTTCCTTTAAGATGAGAATGTAAATATAAGAATTGTCTAACTTGCTCAAATATGAAGAAATGATGATTAAAAGAACTGTTTTTATAAGAAGAGCAAATGCTTTCAAGAAAACTCAGGAATGTGTTTTTCGATGAATCCTACTAAAAAAAAAAGTTCGTTTTCAATGCGTAAAATCAAAGACACTTTCGTTCTTTACAAAATAATATGAAAATCAAGAATTTTAGCAATGGTAAAGTTCACTACGTGAATTTGTTTTCCATAGAAAAAAGTTCAAAATTGATATAATTTTTCTAACTAAAATATTAGCTCAACTTGAATAAGAAATATAAACTCGTAGTCTCTAATTCGATGACAATCATTCTCACTAATTTAAATATCTATGTACTTTTCTCTTTAGAACATGCATCGAGACCTATGTCCGTCAACCTCTATATACTCTTCTTCAAGTTGGTATTGTTCGATGTCCACTCGATCAACGTTATAATACTCTTCTATTCATTTGGTATACATACATACGGCCGTGGCGTTTTAATCCTGAAACATCATCTAATGATCATAGAATAACAAATTTACTTGATACAACAACAATTGATCTCGATACCTCACGACAAGAACCATCGATTATCAATACAGAAACAATAAATTTCGTTGAACATAATCTCCCGTTTTATGGTCGTCTTTTTCAATGTGCTATTGATCGTTTACAAAAAACAGATTTAACAAACGTACTGATTGCACAACATGTCAATAAACTAGCCAACGTATGTTTTTATTTTCTTTCGACTAATTAAATACAACAAACAAAATACTTCGTTCTAGGTATTTTCTGCTAAAAATTTCTCTTCATTACTTCTCAAAGGTAATATTATAAATTAGAATGTTTTTGATTATTTGTTTTGTTCTATTTTCTAGCTGAACAAGTAGCGATGTATTCATTATCAACATCATATTCGCCTAACAAGCAACGCACTTCTCCGCCATCATCACCTGATGGTCCACGGCCATCTTATTCTATCTTATGCGATGAAACTCGTACACTAATGTTAGCGTTTCTACGTAAAATGTCAAGTGTTCTACAACGGAATGAGCGTTGTATCGAAGAACGCGATCTCTTAGTACAACGAGAAAAACAAAAAGCTCTACAAGCAGCAGAAAATATGTCAACAAATGCTTCTGATGTATTCAAGAGATTTTTTGTTAAATTTCTCTATATACAACCGCAAAAATCAACAACAGAAAATATTCAATTAAAACCACTCCTCTCCCCCGACATTATTCAACAATTAACAAATACAAAAACCAAATTCAGTGAACTTTTTCAAGTAAATTAAACAACGTTAAGATTAATTCATTCATAGGAATTTTTCTCTTAGATCGATGCGAATACATTTGATACAATAATCAGCGATGATGAACCATCCTTAGCACATTCACTGGATGCATCGTTTCAAGCAAATAAAGTAAAATAAATCCATGAGAGGAATTCTTTTTGGTTCATTTCTTTTAAATTTTTTTTAGTCTTTATCGACATCTCACACAGGATCACCACTAAATTCTTCTTATATTCCTTATGATTTTGATAATCCGATTTTATCTCAGCCAAATCCATTTGAAATTCCACCATTACTTTGGTTTAATCAACAACTTTCAGAAAATATTAATATTCGAGTAGGCACATTTTTCTTCTGGAGAACATAATGTAAATGAAACGTTTATGCATATCGGTTAAAATTTCATCTCTCAACTAGAATGAAAAACAAATATGTAGAACTTTTCTGTGATTTGCAATCGCAATCACTTCATGTTCTACCTTCGAATTCTTTACGATTTCACTAAAATCTAGTTGTTTTTGTTTATTTAGTATGCTGACCAAATCAATTCGTTATATAATCGTCAAGATTTGTTTGGTTTATTCTGTCGTCAATTATTATATGGCCCAAAGGATCCACGATTTCAATCAATACGTACACCTCAAATAAATTTTCGCCATTTTACTGATATACGTACTTTACTTCTACTGACACTGATCTATTACGTTGTACGATTCATTATTGGTGGAACTAATTTACCGTTGAATCTTTTATTATTAACACTCATTATTTTTCTATGGAATATCTTGCGAACTATACAAACGTATAGACACTCGTTAAGTTCATTGTGATCATAAATTATGAAAAAAAGGAAAATTTAATGATTGTGTTATATGTTTATGTTTATGTTTAGGATAATGTATAGACAAGATTGTTCTTTTTTTGTTTTTTTTTGTGCGAATACTAACAACTTCAGATGAAAATGAATAAAATATATAGAAAAACATACATTAAGAATATGGATTTTCTACAGATACTATTACTGAAACAAGCTTTGTATGCTGAGCATATTTATTGCTCTTGTTTAACTGTGCATTCAATCAAAACTATTATTTATTATCGCTAGTTGCATTAATAATTATAGTCAAAAGGATTGTAATAAATTTAAATAATACTAAAAGTATTGATATCAACGTATAAAATATTATGTTTACTTATAAATAAACATTCCTGTTACATTCTACGAAAATATGACACTGTCAATGCTTTTAATCAATGTGAGATTCTGCTGTCTACTGATATACCTACGAATTTGTTATTGATCAATATTTATGCTCATCTGAATCTTTGTACATTATATGCATCGTTCCGTCAAAATTTCCAAATAGTAAAATTAGCATCAGGATTTCATGTGCACACTTTACCTTGCGTGGAACACTAAAATTAACAGATTATTCATTCGACAAAGGAACAGCTGTAATATACTGGATTCAAGTAGCATTTAAAAAAGAAAGATAGTGCTTTATAGTATTGCGACTGTTGTTCTAATCAGTGTCCGATAGGAATGCATTGATAAATTAGAAAGACATACAACTTCTTCTGTAAATAATTTTTCTTTTGTTTAAAGAAAAGAACCCACATGTTCAGAAATACACCTTCAATAAATGAAAGACCAAGAAATCTTATCTGAGAGACTGAAGGAGAAAAAGAATTTTGTCGTTCTTTGTTGCTTTTATCTTTCATTATAAATATACCTGTTATATATGTGAAGTAAATTATAAACAGGTGAAACAATCATGTTTCGTTTACTTGTCTGTTTATTTTTATTTTTAGTTCAAAATGAACTATCGAACGCAAAATCAAGCCCTACATATCCATGGATAAAAAAAGTTCATATTGTTTCCATGACACATTTAGATGTTGGCTTTACAAATTTTGCAGCTAATGTTTGTTCTCTTTATTTCAATCATCATCTACCTAATGCTGCACTTCTGGCGAAAGAACTTCGTCTATATGGCGGTCAAGCACGGTTTGTTTTTACTACACATCCATGGATACTCTTGGAATTTTTTGATAACATTGCACAATGTACAAACGAACGACCAAATCGGACAACCATTGAATTAGTTACAAACGCTATCAAACAAGGTGATATAACATGGCATGCGCATGCATTTTCAATGTTCATTCCAATGATGGATAAAAATTTATTTAATATGTCATTAAGTGTATCGTCAATATTAGATCAGCGTTTTAATCAAAGTAGAAAAACGAGCGCATCACATAAAGATGATATGGGTCATCCAATAAGTAGCGTACCTATATTTGCTCAAAATGGAATAAAATCAGCCCATATCGGTGTTAATCTTAACTGTCATGGAGCTGATTTACCACCTGCATTCATGTGGAGACATGAAAAAACTGAAACAGAACTTTTAGTTATGATGTACAACAAACCAACGGCTGTTACTCCATGCTCTGCTGAATATTGTGTCTACGGTGGTGATGTTGTTCTACCTGGATTCGATGAAGCCATGGTCTACCATTTTACATTAGATAATACTGGACCACCTTCAAATATCACAGATGTCTTACAAATGTGGTCTCAAATTCAATCTTATTATCCCAATGGTAATTTAATAGCAAGTAGTTTGGAAACATTTAGTCAATCTTTATTGCAATCATACAAAGATCAATTACCAGTCATAACTGATGAATGGGGAACAACATGGCTATATGGAGTAGCCGCCGATCCATATAAACAAGCAGCATATCGACAAATATCAAGATTGTTAGTTGATCAAAAATATTCTTCTTCTATATTCAATTATTCGTTTCGTTTACTTAAAAATCCTGAACATAATTGGGGTCTATGCACTGGATGTTATTTGAAAGAAGAAAACTATGCATTTAATTATCATAATGATGAATTTTCACGTGTTAGAAATGGAAGTGATTTTAAATTATTAGAGCAAGGATGGCAAGAAGCTCGATCATATCTGTATCCGTTGAATTCAGCTGATCCGTCATTAATTAAATTGGTTAATGAGAGTTTGAAAGAATTGGAACCCTCACTTCCAGATTTAAGTCAATTTATTCAAATTTCACTGCCATCAAATCGAACAGCAAATTATTTTTCGTTTCAAACAAAATTATTTTCTGTTGGCTTTAATTATACATCCGGTGCTATCGTTTTTCTTCAGGATAGTTTTGGAAAAAATTTATCAAATACAAGTCATATATTAGGTGGTATTCAATATAAAACATATTCAAATGATGATTTTAATCGTTTTAATTTACAATTTAATCCGAATTGTGGACCACCATGTGGCGATTTTGCTAAACCAGGTTTAACAAACTCATCAAGTCAAACATCATATCCGTATGCGATTTCGATGTGGAGAGATATTCTTAATACAACACTTCTTGTTGAATTAACATTTCCAGATGATATTATTGAAAAATATGGTGGAAGTAAAATTTTATGGTTAAATTATACATTTCCATTAGATTCTTCACCAACAATTTTAGTTCAATTACAATGGTTTAATAAAACTGCAACTCGTCTTCCAGAATCACTTTGGATAGAATTTAATCCAATATTAACGCTTATGTCAAATAGATGTGATCAATGGGCAATAGATACACTTGGGTATGATGTCGATCCATCTAGAATCGTCAGTTATGGTTCAAGACGGTTGCATGCTATAGGGCATAATGGTGTACGCTTTTATAATCAAATAACGTCAAAATCAACGTTTACACTTTATTCTTTCGATGCTCCATTAGTTTCAATTGATTCTCCAGATTATCTGTTAAATTTTGATAATTCGATACCCAATTGTCAAGGAATAAGTAAAAACGGTCTATTTATAAATCTTCATAATAATCTTTGGAATACAGCATTTCCAATTTATTATGAACAAGATGCAAAATTTCGATTCAAAATTGAATTTTTCACAGAATAGCTGCAAATTATGAATAGACAATGAATTCTTGTAAAACGTTTTCATTCGTTTTAGTAATAAATTTCTTTTTGTTGAAGAATTTTTTACTTAAAATTTACAAATTAAATAAACTGAAATAAAATTTAATATTTGATCAATATATTGAGTGTGGGTGTTTTTGCGTGCTTGACAGCGTGAATTTGGATGTGTACACAAAAGACCAAACGCGTACCCACACCTGCGGCAGGATCGATACACAGTTGTATGAACCATTATTAACGGATGCTAAATTATTATGATATCAAGTTGCTGTTGTATAACGAGTACACCGAACATCAACAGTCTTCCAATGAAATAGAAATCCATATTTTTTTGAAAGTTTATTTATTATTTTACAATGCACTAATAGATAGAACATAGAATACTAGAGAATATCAATACGAATGTCAGGTCGACTAAATATATCCATATTGATTGGCTGTTGCGTATGACTCTGTGTATTCTTGTTTGTGATCAACTTGAAAATTTGAAGAGCAGGCATGTAATCTCGAGCAATAAATATTTGAATCCAATTCAGCATTTGATTATTCACATCTTCGCTGGTATTGTTATGCAACGTTAAATGTCGCAATTGAACCATTGGATTTTTGGCGTAGCCATTCTGAGTATCGACCGTGAAATAGGCTGATGAATTTTTGAAATGCATATCAATTTTGAGTTGACGAGAGATACCTTCTTAGACAGTACAAGATATCAAGAAGCACATGAAGTTCGTCGACAGCTAGGGTGTGGGTGTGTGCGAGTACAGTGAAGACCCAGACTGATAATTACAATCACACTCACACCCATACCCATATTCACCGTGCATTTATTTTCTATTTCTTATACCGATTCAGTTTTCTTTATTTCAACTAGCCTCGACGGCGCTTAATACGATAGCATATGATATCGTTATTTTCTCACTTTGAATGTTGAATTCTATTTAATGAATATATAGTCCGTTAAGACGATAGAATTTTCAGTCGTTTTTGTTATCTTATGTAAATGTATTCTTATCTAATGAAAAGATACGGTATTTTGGCAGCGGCTGCCGATAGAAATACCTTCACAAATGAATAAATTGAATAATACTGTATCGAATTAGATAAACTTCAATGAGGAATTTAACTTTCTTCAACCGTTTCATTTCAATAAAATCAGAGGGTAGTTTATTTGAAATGAGCAGTTCAATAGTAAACATAAACTTGTTTTCACTTATCGTACTAATGATTCTATTTGATGAAAATTAAGCAAAAAACAAATTACACATTCATCACAAAAAAAGCTAGGTAAGTTTAAGACCATCGCGTTGGTTGTCCTTGTAATTGAACTGTATGTATGTGTTGTTTTCCAATTATAATTTTATATGAACCTGGTTCTAACCATTTCGATCCATCAAGTGCTACTGTTAACAATGCATCAATATTTAATGGGAAAAAAACTTGTGTCATTTCATTAACATCTAATCGAACACGTTCAAAACCAAATAATTTTTTAATTGGCGGTGTTTGATCATTGAAAGAAGTTTTGGGTGGTGTAATAAATGCAAGCACAGCATCATCACCTGCCACTTCGCCTGTGTTCGTTACATTAACACGATACAGATGAAGGCGCACCTTCTTTTCGTCATAATTATTTTTCATTAAGAATTCTATTGAAAATATTGAATTCATCGAATCATTATACCATGAGTAACTGAATGTTGTATATGAAAGACCATAGCCAAATTCAAACACTGCTTGTCCCGTATAGAATTTGTATGTTCGACCAGGATTCATTGGTGATGGTCGCATTTGCATATCAAACATACTAACAGCATCAACATATGATGCAGGATAGATTGTTATTGGCAAACGTCCACCAGGATTATATTGACCAAACATGATGTTAGCTATAGCAAGACCGCCAGCTTGTCCAGCGTAACCCATCCAGATAAGACTATCATATTGAGAAGAATCACGTATATATGTTAGGTCAAGACTACTACCAGACATAATAACAACGTGAAGAGGCGAACGAACAACTTTTTCAAGTTGTTCCAGTAAAGCTAATTGAACGGAAGGTAATGCAATCGATGTTCGATCATGACCTTCAGATTCTATTGATTGATCAATACCACCAAAGAAAATAACAATATCAGATAAACGAGCTAATTCAATGGCTTCTGCGAAACCACTCTGATCAACGTTGGATATTTTACAACCATAAGCAAACGAAATATTGATAGAATAACCTTAAATAAAAATTGAAACAGATCAAGTTGAAATGAATTTATTTAAAACTACCTTGAGTTACTGCTTGAAAGCCATTAATAGGATCAATCAAAAATGGAGCTTTTCCATAGTAATTGCCTTGCATTAAAACTGTCGCATTTGCTGTTGGTCCAATTAGTGCAATTCTTTTGTTCATTAGTTGATTCAAATTTAATGGTAATGCTTTATTTGTATTTTTCAATAAAACAATACTTTGTTGTGCAGCATGTAAAGATAATTTTCTCGTTTCTGCTGTATCAACATCAGCATGTGATAATTTTCTATATGGCTGTTGTTCAGGTGGATCAAAATAGCCAAGACGAACAAGAACATTAAATGAACGCTGAAGTGCTTGATCAATATCAGCTTCGACAATGGTTTTATTATATAATGCTTGTTGAGTATGTTTTGAATAAAAATCTCCACAATTAAGATCTGTACCAGCATGCAATGCAACAGCAACTGTATCTTCTACTGTTGACGTATAATGATGTGAATTCATTATGGTTGAAACAGCACCGCAATCACTAACAACAAAACCATCAAGATGATACGATTCACTATAATAAAGAAAAGAAAAGTTGATATTCTTTTTAAAATTTATTATCTGAATACCGTGCAATAGTTTGAAGTAGAAACTTATTTGCACAAGATGGAACACCATTAACAGCATTATAACTACACATAATACTTGCAACTTTTGCATCACGAACACATGATTCAAAAGAGGGTAAATATGTTTCAATAAGATCCTGATCACTTACACGAGCATCAAAATGAAAACGATCTGTACCATTCCAATTCTCTAAATCATACGCAGCATAATGTTTACAATCAGCGGCTATTTTCAAATAACGTTCATCTTCACCACGTTGCAAACCATTGATTAGTGAATAAACATATTGTGATGTGAGAAATGGATCTTCACCTGGTGTTTCCTGACCACGACCCCATCGAGGATCACGAAATATATTTATATTTGGTGTAAAAAAAACTAAACCAGCACGACCTTCATTATTGAATGCTCGTGCTTCAGTTGATATAATACTGGCAATATGATAAACAAGACTCAGATTGAATGTTGCACCAAGATTGATAGGCGTCGGAAAACTAGTCGCTGCAGGTAGATCACCACCAAATGACACACCAGGTGAATATGCTACACCATGTAAAGCTTCAGACCACCATTCAAACTTAGGTAAACCTAGACGAGGTATAGCAGCTGCTGTTGTTACCAGTTGTGTAATTTTTTCATCGGTTGTCATGCGACTTATGAGATCACTTGCTCTCTGATGTGATGGAAGCGATTGATCACATATCGGATATGTTGAAAGTGGACCCGATTTACAATCAGGAAAACTTCCTGTTTGTGCATTGAGGTTAATCACAAGATTGAAGAATAATATTAAACGAAAATGCATCACTGTCGTTGTGTTTCTTTAGGTGAATTTTTAAACTAAAGAAACCATCTATTTTAGGTATTGTGACATATATAGAAATAGATAAAACTTCAAGAGCAGCAACTTTTTTCTCAAAAAGATAATAGAGTATTCAAGTTATCTAGCTATGGCACAAGGGGTAGGCTAATGTAATCATTGTTACCCCCTGTAGATATCTCTCAAGGTGTGGTTTTCGCAGTGGTCTGAGTGAAGCAAAATTCTCTTGTAAATAAATATTTATATTAGAAATATATTTGGAATGAATATTCAGTTACAAAACTACCCAGGTCGAGGAATCCGACAGTAGGCACCTATCGGAACCCATCCGATCCGACTGGAATCCAATAGGATCTTATCGGATCCTGTCCGATCTTACAGAATTATCGTTGGATTCCGTGTCGAGGAATCTATGCCGGATCCTCATTGTCGGATTCCTATGAATTCCAATGAAAAACCGCTGCATGTCATCGAAAGTTCATAGAATTCCGACACTGAGGATCCGACATCGATTCCTCGACCCGGAATCCAATAGAATTGTATCGGATCCGATGTCGGATCAGTCGACCTGGGTACGTAACCATGAAATGATCACTCTGTTGATGATCTTTGTTATCAGTATGAAATGTTACCCTCTTGCTGGTTTCATTAACATATATATGTAACATTTTTAATTCGGCCATTTTTCATTTAAATAGATTGATGATTAATTCAGTTACTGTTAGAATCTATTTTATTCTTGTCAAAAATACTTTCACAAAGATCTATCAACTTGAGGAAGATCTATCTTTTCTAAATAATACATACCCTAGTGTATTTGTACTTTTTTGTCATCCACGTGACGCCTAGTTTTTATGCATTCTTCCGTACTGTTTTTCTTTCATTCTGTCACTACGCATGTATATAGCAGGTCGTATAAAATTTATGTTGTCCCGTAATAAAAAAATCGAGTGAATCATACCTGTTAGATAGAGAATAAAATACTATGTGAACAGAAGTAGACATCACTATTCATAGATGTCATAATACTACACAACTAGTCCAATTATCGAAATTTTGGTCGGTTGTGAATGAAATTTTCCAGGTACGTAGTGTATACGCACTAGCTAAGGTTTCTTCTAGGAGGAAGTGTGTTGTGCGAACGAGAAAACAATTAACTATCTCTACTCCTCCTTTCATTTATATTTGTTTTTAAGTGACAGTTAAATTGCAATTATGAAGTATGTAAAATGTAAAAATCAAGCAAGAAAAACAGTACATGAACGTTTGATTATAGACCCAAAAAAGTATTTTCTTAAATATTAGAGGGTTGCCACAACCTCAGCAGTCCTCTAGTTGAACCAGCCATGTAACACGGTTACATTGGGTATCGAGTTTTCAATGCCATCATATATCCATTTAATTCATTTGATGTGTATGACCTCTAGAGTAATACGTTGAATGTGCGAGAATTGTTTGGTAAGCGCTGAGGAAGTACTCGGATAGGTTTGGGTGGAGAAAAATTTGCTGTCCAGTGTAACAGGATTATGCCAGCATTCATCCTTATTTGCAATCGTTTGAAATTTAGAAAGCCGTTATAAAATTGGCCTACTATGATGATTCATCATTTTATTACAGAATTCATTTAAATGTAACTGATTTTCAAAAGTATAGATCAGAATATTTATCATACACGTTATATGCAAGTTGATTTTTTGTATGATTGAAAGATGATCAACATCTCCTAGTCTACTTCAACAGAATTCATCATTATTTTATCAATCATCTCAAGTATATACACGATCAAGAAAGGAAAACTAAATCTGTCAACTGTGTTTTAGGCATCGTATATATAGCTTATAAATCTGTTTTTGATTTGCAGAAGATAATTTTATTTTTTCGGCTTCTGCTGATACTAGTTGATGATGAAGATGTACATCTAAAAAACACAAGCATCTGTACTCTGCTCGTCACAAAACCAACGACTCGTGAAATAAAATAGCATTATATATATCAATATCAATCATTACAACGAGTACATATATGTTCCATCTCGCGTTCACTTTTTTTGTTTTTAGATTTTTTTGTTGATTTAGGCACTGAAATAATAATTGTTGGAAGAGCATGAACATTCAAGTGAAGTAAGATATTCCGCATTTTAATAATTAATCAAAACGATGCTAGAAAATAATCGGTCAGAAGAGTTTTGAGTATCAAATCTATTAGGCTTCTTTTCTGCTTTTTGAAACTATTGCGTTCAGTCAAAAACCTAAGCTTTTCCACAGAAGAGAAAAACCAAATAGAAATAATAACATCAAAAGAACAATAACTCTTTATGAGTAGAATAAATGAGAGAATAATAGAAACATCTTTTTTATTATCATGAGTTTTTGAGAGGTCGTATAAATGTTTTGTTTAGGAAAAATGTATACATCTGTTAGAACACATGAAGATCTACTTGGAGAGCTGATTTTCATCATTGAACAACACTTTAGCTCGAATCCAAGACAAAGTCGAATCCTCAGCTAATATATCGTAAGAATTTTTTATTTTGAAATGAAGAACAAAGCTAGAATACACATAAAAACGAAATGATTCATGATTATAAAAAGCATCAAATTAATTGTCTTACTTGAGAGTATAATTCTAGTCAAGCATTTAGAATTTTACATCTTAATTTTTCATGTTTTTAACGTGGCCGACAGCACATCTCTAGCTTTTCACCAGCGAGGATGATACAACTTACTGATATAGGCGACAAGTTAATTTATATTTACAATCATCTAAAAACGGTGTACAAGATTCACCTTCCTTGCGACTATATAATAGCGCAAAACTATAATAATAGCAAATGACATTATATGAGCTCAACAGAATAATTTACTTACTTCGAGCCAATAAAACTGATCACAAGAAGGAAAATAAGCCCAAATCGCATTTTAACTTGCATTTGTCCGATCAACTTTTATATAAAATTAGAATATGTAAATATATTTCTAGAAGTAAAATGTTTCCTCTGGTGCTCTAGTTTTAAAACTATTTATTTTCTTTCGATTAATCGTAAGAATTATGAGTACTAGGGAGTGAATGGATTACTGTTTCTTAGCCCAAGTGAATGAATCCGATACCAAATCCGACGAGCCGACAAAGTCCCATGAGATTCCTGGTTGAGGAACTACTAACGGATCCCTATTGTTGGAATCCGATGAACATCCGACCAAATCAAACCACCGAATTTTCAAGCTGTTTTATATTTTGAATGGGATTATTCAACGCGGCAAAGCAGATATAACAAGCATTACATACAATACTACCTTTCGTATCTCGTATATGGTTGATTACAGAAGTAGAAAATAATGAAATGACAAATGAGCACTCTTCTTCATCTCAAAAGATCATGACTGTTCCCTTCATATTCAGGATAAATTTATATCGCTTCAGTGTCGTTTACGTACCCTTCTTGTGGGCGTGGGTGATTTTGTTCACAGATTCTAAAATTTCAAGCTGATTTCATTGTAATGTACAGAACTATATAGAAGAACCTGTTCAGTATGCAATTATAGAAAGAAAACAAAAATGTTTCTTTTGAAATATTTTTCACCGAGATGCTCGTATCTATATTTTAGATGTATGTTGGCAATTATAAATTGTGAATTATTCCAGTCTTTATTATGGTGAAAAGTTGAAAATATCACGTGAAATTATAAAATAAAAATTACACTGTCAATCTATTTTATTATTATCATGATATGGTTTGGATGATCATGTTTCACCTCAACAAAAATTACAATGAATGACTTTACGAAAATAGAAATACAATTATGATTAGTATTACTAACTCTTTCTAAAAATTGAAGGCTTATTTGTTCATACAAGTATATGACACAGGAACAGTTGGAAAATCCTTGGTAGAAGTAAACGACATAAAAACGATATACTACGGTGAGATTAAGGTGATAGAGGACGAAAGTATAGTCTCTTCATCACTTATTCTTTTTCATGGGCAGCAGTTCTAAACGACGTCGTTAACGTTTCGCGATGAAACGAAGGTCGTTTTCATCATTTACGGCATCAAATGCATCGTTTCAGGCAGTTTAATGTCACTGTTCATGTGGTTAAAATTATGAACCTTGCTCACTTCATATTAAATGGGTAATTTCTACCAATATCACTTAACTCGTACTTGGGTTGCATATTTTGAAGGATTTTTGTATATTACACTGATACGCACTATAATTGATGAGAAAGATCAGATTAAATATAAAGATTATAAAAATACTTCCAATAAGAAGTGTCAACGTTTGAAGTAACCTAATTATTTATAAATTTGTTGATCATTTATTTCCGCGTCTGTCAATATTATATATATATATATGATTCATCAAAGCTTTCGTCAATTGCGAGGATAAAGTCAAAATATTACTCCTGGAGTTTTTAAAAGAACCATGTTGTGACTATAAAATAAAAGTATGTAAATTCATTGTTTGCAATCATTCTCTCTTTCATCTGTTTTTTATTATAGCAATTGAACTACTGCTAGTTTGATCGAGAAATATGCTCTTTCAAATAATCTATCATTTAGCCAAACTTGATAAAAGTTATCTGATCATATAAGAATAAAGATATGCCATGCTTTTGCATTATTATTATTTTGAAATGCCTGAACTCATAACAATTGGAAATAATATAGAAATCGATTTCACAAAAAATCCAATGAGTATCGGATGTTTAAATCATTCAATCTATGAATGGATTAATCTTCTATCGAAATTTTTTGTTCTACTTGTTGTCGGCATCTTAACAATTGTTCTTCCATTGCAACAACAAAATCTTAGTGATCGTGAAAATGAACATTCTAAGACAATAGCTTTGAATAGCCGTTTACAAGATATTGCATTAATACATGATCAACAAAAACAACAACAAGCTGTATTAAATACATATGAACAAGATTTATGTAATCTTACTCTTCAATATAGTTCTATATATAATTCTAATGATACAAATGATGATGGCACATGATAATTATGATACAAGCGAAAGTCATAATGAAAATAACGGTGAACGTATTTCTTTCATTATCAGTGCAAACTCGTTTATGCATTGAGACAGCCGGATCCAGTACGAAAACTTTTACTCATACAATTATTGATTGATAGTAGAGTTCAACATCGAATCAACATATCACATGCAGATCTATCCTCATTAGCATTTTCCTCAGATTCGTTTTATAGTCAATTAAGATTTGTGAATACCATTGCTCGAAATCTATCATTAAGACGTGTTCATTTATATCAAAGCAACTTTTCATATTCGAATTTAGATGAATCATCATTTCAAGACTACAATTGTTCATATTCAGATTTTAGTCATACATCATTACAACGAACTGATTGGACAGATGCCGATTTAACGCAAGTTATATTCAATTATACTAACTTGTTAGGAGCAAAAATGACTTCTCACCAACTGGCTACAGTAAAAAGTCTAACGGAAGTCACATTATCGAATGATTCTATTGTTGCTATTTGATTTTTTTTTACTTTCTGAGTCCTATTACAGATTTTATCGAATTTCAAATATTTTGTATTTTCTATAATAATCTGACGAAACTTACAAATGTTTTACTGTTTTCAACATAAATCGTGCACGATATGCTAATATAGGAGAAAATAATTAAAATGTTAAAACAAAAATTTTCTTCGTCTGTAGTGTTCGAATAAATAATAGTGCAAATTCTAAAAGCATGAAGAATTTTAACCGAAGATATTTATGCATTTAGTTTTGTTTTCATGTGTCTTTGCTACAATTTCTGTCCGTAGAGTGAAGCATTTTTTCTAGAAGCTATTGCAAGTACGTTCTCCTCTAGTCCTATGATCTATTGCCTATGAAATAAAGATTGATTTCTTTTATTTATTATATTCGTTTCATGAAATAGTTATTCGTGTATTATACTTCGCCAACAATTCCATGTCTACAATTTTCTATTCGATTATCAGACTATTGCATAGGTTCCTAGAATAATAAAGAAAAAATAACGACATACATAATATACAGCTCAAATCTAGAAAAAATAATATTTATTAACTTAACTATTATTCTTTCCTTATATTTTCTATCAAATAGGGTAGTAAAGAATTGCCAAATCCTTTATCAAGGCTCGGAAATAGAATAAATATGACGCTAGTTTTCAATAACTTTAAATTGTGTTACAACTATGTGCGAAGGAATTATTTCTCATATGTAATTAAATAACTTTTGTGATAACAGTAAAAATCAATTTCGAACGCATATATCTTAATCATCAAAATGCCTGTTATATATTCTCATGATTGCTAAACATATTTGTATCATCAAATTTTAAAAAACGTCGAGCAGAAAATCTGAATACAAAATGTATGTTTCAATGACTAGCGGCACATTTTAGCTTGATTATTTACTTTTCTCTACTTTTGTTTTCTTTACATATTCCTTTTACGGTAAACAACAATAACGATAATAATATGTCTTTGATAAATATAATTTGATGCACCTCCTACATTTATATTGTTTCAATAGACTCCATGGTAGCGGTGATTATTGAATAAAACGATGTGCTATAATTCTATTTAGCATTACGCTCTTAGTGATACATCCGATGTAGTAAAAACTCATGTTAAGAAGTTGAATCCATTTATTGTTGTAAAAGAGCGACCTCTGTAAAACCATCGTACTTGGTCATGAGACATATCCACTCATTATCAATTATATTCCTAACCGGCAGCATCAAGTGAAAATTTAGAAATATTATCTTTAAATCATGCTTAATAAAATAAAAAAATTTCATTTTTTATTCATTTCTAGAGCTCTTCATTTAGATATTGTTTATGGATATTTCTTCAGTTACTTTTTTGAGCTTCAAATAATTCGAATTATTGATTGAGACAATGAGTATTATTGTCTTATTAGGTATCTTGAGTATTTTTATTCGAATAGAAAAATTAGTTATAATCATTGATTATTGGCAGATGCAAATTATGTTTTAACTAATCAGTTTTTTCTTTCGATGACATTCAGCGTAGTACATTTGGTGCACAAAATAAAATATCGATGCTTACATTGAATAATAATGGTATTAATTACTTATTTGCTGCATGAATATACGAATCTAACAATAATTATATTCAAAGTGCAAAAGAAATGCTTAGAATCATTATGTTTTCTATTTATAGAAGGGAACGTATTTATGAAGACATTATACATTATACTCGAAACTTGGAACAAGAATATATAAAATTTATACTATGTTGAGGCAATACAATTATTCTTTTCTAAGGTAATACAGTTGATTGGAAATATAGCTTATCTTTTTTTCATTGGACTCCTATTGATCCTCAAGTATTTGAAATCTATGAAGATATCTTATCAGTGTTTAGTTATTGTTGAGAGAATTGATACAATACGCAAAACATAAAAGATTTTCATGTTACCCTTACACTTTTATTCATAATTTTATATGGAGGCCACTCATTTTCTAACGTATATACATTTGATAAATTATTTTAAAATCTACATAAGAATGTAATTTTGACTGTGCTTTTCTATTTGTAAAATTTTGTGTATTTTTAAGTAATAAATAAATACAATTTTTATTGTTTTAATTACAAAAAAAAATCATTTTGAATAAATATTCATCTTTGCAGATGACGATGTACGATAGAAATAGTGTTACATCATCGAACAATTGTCGTATATTTGATACTGGCAAAAATTTATTAAATTTCGATTGTCATTCCATAGTACTTAATGATCCAGAAACACATTTGTTACTTGTTGGTAATCATGAACTAGCATTTATTAATTTCGAAACACTAATTTCACAGCTCGATGATCTAGCCGGCATCAATACAAATGGATCTTTACCATCTTTATTTGATGTTAAACTCGTATCATTATTCGATAGTTATAATGTTAATCGACCCATTGTCGAATGGAATTGTTGTGAACCAAATCAATATGCCGTAGCTATTGATCGTCTTGTACGTTTTTATACAGTTGACCAAGCAAACATTAATGAAAGTATTGCTGTCATTGATTCACAACACAAGGTAAGATAATAAAAAAAAATATATAACAAAAAACGAAGTGCGTTAGCCGGGAGTCGAACCCGGGTCGGCTGCTTGGAAGGCAACCATGCTAACCGTTACACCACCAACGCTTCGATAGTATTTGCACTTTTTTAGTATTTGATCGAATAGATTTCTATACTATTTAATATTTCAGCGTCCGATTTCAACTATATCTTATGCGCCTCATAATACACATTGGCTATTAACTGGTTCACTTGATGGTCAAATTCAAGTATGGGATACGCGACAGTGTTCAGTGAAAAATCCAGCTAGCCTAAAGTTTACAGCAACAACACCATTCAGCATTCGTCGTATTCAATGGTCATCAGAAAAAACGGAAAGTTCAGATCAATTAGCTGTTCAATGTGATCGAAGTGTACGAATATATGATATACGCCGAACAGATGCCTCTGTAATATCATCAACTGATCTAGAACATACACAACGTATAATAGATATGGATTGGATAAAACAAAGTCAGTCAATTGTTACACTTTCGTCGGATCAATCTATAAGAATATTTTCAACAACTGGCCAGAAAATTGCAGAATCATTACCTAACGAACAATCCCCGTGTACCTTTAGTAAAGTATGATTTTTTTAGAAAATAATTTTTATTCGGAAGAAAACAAACAAACTCGTTTTATAATTAGATTCAAACGACTATGTATGATAATCTACTTGTTTGTGCATCTCGTGATCCTATATCATCAGCATCTGGCTTTCTTGGATGGCATTGGGATGGTGAACAATGTTTACAACCATTGACTAATCGTATATTATCACCAACTCTAGCGCCCATAGTGGATTTTTGTTTTGTTAAAAATACTCATTTTTTTAATTTATTTAATAACTCGTCATCGTCACATATGAACGATGAATTAACCAATCGTTTCCTTCTACTTACCTGGTGTCGCGATGGAAATCTATGTTTAGTTGAGATGGATTCAACATTTCGACAAACATGCATGAATCAGCAGACACGAACTAAGCTAGTTAATACAGCTGATTCAGGGACCACGATAGATAACTCGCGAACATCGATACATCCATCTCGACATCATGGAACAGCTCGAAATAGTTTGTCCACCGTGACAATGGATTCTATTCAAAGTGAAACAAGCGACACAGGAGATGATGATAGTGACAATCCTTTTCAAGCAATGCCAGCATCACCACCTAATACAGTTGAATCTTCCGAAGCCAGCGATGAAAACGATTATCCTACTATGTGAGTACTACTTAGATTATTCTGACAACAAAAAGATCACGAATGTGTTCTATGACTGTTTTAATAGTTATTCATCATTTCTATTGGTATTTGATGAACCCTAATAAGTTTTCAACAGTTTCTAGGACTGTAAGCTTATTGCTAGTAACATATGAAATTTGCAAGGTATTCTCGAAGTCAATATTGCGACTATCATTATAAAAACTCTGGAAAACTCATTTTGTGAATTGCAATGTAAGCTGTTATTACGAAGATTTTGATTATGAGTTTAACTAGCTCTTATTATTATAAATTACTATCATTATTAATGATGTTCCATAGAATTGCACCATTGTTGTTGAAATATTCATATGATATCCGCTATATGTTAATCTGTTTAGAATACATGTTACAAATAGCAGTTCATGATTTTCTTTTAAAATATTTCAATCTATTATAATTCTTCAAATTCGATTGCAAGATAAGAACGAAATAGAATGCAGATTATCAAGAAGGAAATATTTTTTGTGTTACGTTTTCAAAATGGTCTCCCTCGAAAAACTACCCTTATTTTTTTCTTCACGTCCACAGTTAATTACATTGCATTGAACATTTGCATACTAGAAACGAAAATAGCCGTCTCGAATTATTTTCATAAAGTTGAAATGATCTCAAATTTTCAAATAAACTCAAGAATAAGAATTTTTTATGGTATTACGATTAGTTCATTAAATTTCTACAAACTTGTATAAAGATAAGTAGAAATGAAGTCTTTAACTGGGAGTCCTCTGCCAATAAGATAGTTCGTTTTACAACTAATTGATGCTTAATGATAGTTATTTTGTATTCTAGTGTAAAATGAGATAAACAGAAACTTAATAAAAAAAAAAATAAAAAAGTAGAATCGGAACTTTTTTAAATAGCTTTCACCGTAGACAAAGTATATAACGAGTGGGCCAGAATAAAGTGCACTAAGTGTTTTTGCTTTTTTTCGTTCGTTTTCTCCTCAGGAAATATATTCATTGTTATACCTAAAGATAAAGAATTTTAGCCTCTACAAAACTATCTACTTTGTTTTCAAATACGGCTTTATTGTCGGCGCCTGGTTAAAGAGACTCATATCTACTCAATCGTGCAACTGCGACGATAAAAAAACGAAAAAAATGATGAAATTTTTTTAAATAATGACCCAGCTAAAATTTAATCTATCCCACAAAAATCTCCACAAAATTCTGCATCTTTGATTGTATTTTCTTAATTTTAGAGACAATATTTGAGAGAAACATATTCGAAAGAAAATACTTGAACATAACGGAAAAGCTGTTTTCTGACGCACTCGGGCCATGGTTCTTGTTTTAGTTCGAAATAATGTAAATTTTTTCACACTGCAATTTAACAATTACACCATTTTGTTCAGAATTGAATTCTACACCCGATGGCATAATTATAAATCTTTGATAGAGCAACTTTGGCTTTTAACAACATGATTCTCCAAAGTACACCCTAAAATAATGGGAGGTATCAGTTCCGAGCTTTGCTCTCCTGTACAACTGCACTAAGAACCTTGAACAAGTCATGAAAGAATAGACCACAAAATTCTCTATCTATGAGTGTTAAATACTTTATATTTAGCATTGGTCTTAATGAGCAAAACTTTGCATTGGTCGACCGATGTCAGCAGAAAACAGCGAATCGCAGTTGGACGATTAGGAAGATGTCAGTCTTTTTTTAGGCGTTGACAAGAAAAATGCATTCGAAAAACAAAGTAGACAGTTTTGTAGAGCTTGAAATTCTCCATCTGTCAATATAAAAATGAATATATTTCCTGGACAGGAAATGACCGAAAAAAACGAAAAGCATTTAGTGCAATTTATTCTGGCCCACTCGTTAGATGAATTTTCATCTAAGAATTGACTTCAATTTTATAAAACCATCTCAGATCATTGAAAATTACATATACATTCACCAATCAGTTTAATTAACATCTAAACGTTCTAAATAAATTTTTTTTTACATTCTCATATTTTTCATAGACAATACAAAAATAATAAATGCAAGATATCTCGTAATTACTCAAATAGAACTTTGAGTATAATATTTCATCTCTTTTTTTAGTGCTGATAAGAGCAATAATGCAATAACAGAAGTATCAATTCAAAATGAATTAAACTCTATACATGATAGCTATGGTCCATATATTTTTGTTGAAACAACAGATGAACAACGTCGTATGTGCATACTTCGCTGTATATATTCTTTAGACAATTCTTCTTCGTTTCGTGTGTTTTTAACTTTTTCGCGTCACTATCCCATAATATCGCAATTGTTTGTTCGCTTTAAATTGCCAACCAAGAACAATGATGAACGTTTAAAATCATTTCAATCTCACATACAAATCATGGTTGAAGATACATGCTATACTTGTTTTTATCATGGACAATTATGTTTACATAGATGTTTAATAAAATTAAAAAGTTTATTTGATAAATATTTTAAACAAGCCAGACTATTTTCAACGGCACAATCAATGCCGAATAATACACATAAAAAACGTAATCAATCATCAACTAATTTTGATGGTGATTCAATTAACGATTTTACAAATAGTAACAATAATTCAACTGCAAACAATGATAATAATTCTAATCGGATATTTATTCCAGCATCGTCAACCACGCATACGAATGAGAGTCAAATATCAGTGAATTCATTTGTTCATGGTCATCGGCGTACATGCGGTGCTCGTTTTTCAGGTAGTTCACACTTAATATGTTTTGGTCAAGTTGTCAGTATTCAACAAACAAGTTCAGCACCAATTTTAACTTCATTAAGCGACGGAACCTTGAATCGACCACAATCATTACCCCTACGTCCAACAAGTTTAGCAGTGGCAAAAACCCGTGAAAACTCAAGTACTGATGAACAGTCAAGTTATCGAACAACAGCAATAACAAATGCAATGCAAATACAGTATACCCAAAATAATCAACGCTTGCCAATATTTTCAGCTCCTGTTCGTCCAACATTTGGTACAAATATATTTGACGATGATCGACGTTTATCAACAGGATATCAACGTTCATCAACAAAATGTCAACGTTCATCAACAGGATATCAACGTTCTCTTGGTCAAACGCTCCGTCCGCATTCAACTGTATCAATATATGATGTTTCTATTTTATTACCTGTTAGTAAAAAATTAGCGGATGATTATAAAATTGATCTAAACAATCCAGTGGAAATGTGTGAAGTGAATCAAGAAGTAGCACAAAAAATGGGCAAAACTGACCTATCACATTGTTGGCGTCTACTAGGTCGTTTGCTATCTTTACAGCCAAATTTACAAAATGATGATTCTTGGTTTCAAACACCCATAGCTCAAGGTAGATTCCAGACAACTCGTGCTAATATTTTATACTCGTTTTTTTTCCTTCTTTTTTTTAAGGTTTAATCAATCATATAGTTGCAGCTTATGTTAAGAATGGTGATATACAATCGGCAAGCATGTTTCTTTTAACGATGTCTCAAACATCATATTTAAAAACAAGAATTCATACAAAACTAGTAGCCGAACACAATTCCAATCCAATCTTATATGCTTATGCATCTTTATTACATCGATGGAAACATTTTTATAAACGAACACAAATCTTGTCTCAAATAGATCACAATTGTCAATCGCCCGCACCATTCACTCCAATAGCATCCGCACAAACAACTATCATGTGTTCAATTTGTTTACAACCCGTTTTGGGTCAATATTTTTTATGTGCAATATGTGGTCACGGTGGACACTTGATGCATATGCACGATTGGTTTTCATCCGACGGTCTTAAACATAGATATTGCCCAGAAAAAGATTGTTCCTGTCGATGTATTATAAAACAGCAAGAATTATTAGCAATAAATACTATTCAACTGCAACAACAACAGCCGCTTCCAATAACACCTAGACCTTATCTAGCTCGCCAACCATCAAGTAGTTTTCGTCCTTAATAATAAGAACAGTTTTATACGTGTGAGAGAGAGCGTGTTTTTCCTCTGTGTGTGTATCTATGTAATTATTTAGTTATATTCAATAATGGAAAAAAAATATTTTAACTAAAATAAATAACAAAAAGAGCATGAATGATACCAGGAATCCAGAAACAAAGAAAAAGTATCATGTTGAGCACAACCGTTGAATTGCATTGCTTTACAACGAAATAGACGGCTAATGGCGGGATCATGATGATCAACAGAAGAAGAAGAATTGTTTTACAGAAATGTGGAACTTCAGCCATAGTTTGTTGTTGCCGATTAACGAATTTAAACGGTGACGATGACGATAAAGATGGTGATGCTTGAAAGAGTGATGTGTTTAGAAAAGAAACACTTCATGGCAAGCTCGTTTTTTTGAATTTAGAGAAAGAGAAGAAAATATTTAACTTCAACGAATAATAAGCAAAGCGGAGTTGTAGATCAATTTAAAAACACGAATGCCTCACATGCCAATCACCGTTGCAATGAGAATGAAACAAAAATTGAGTTTAGCTATAGATTGATTTTTTCTTAGATATACAATCGATTTGAAAATTTTAAGAAAAAAAACAACAACCATTCATTTGGAAACCAACAGCCGCGCAGTAATGCAGAATCCTTATGATTGATGCAAGATGTAAAAAGATGATAGACGATGTCAGTTCAAATGAATTATTCCTTGTGTTGATCGTAGCATAATTGCTTTCGTTCATTAATTAAATAGAATTAAAAAGTTTCAAATAAAATATAATGAACTAATTTTATACAAAAAAAAGCACGATAGCTATTTCGCTGATTGATGAAATATGCATCTCTGAAATTGCTTCATTGGAAAACCTCTACATTTTAGAGATCTATTTTACGAATTATGATTATATTCACTATGAAATCTTTACAAAACAAAAGCAATATTCTTGATAAATAGTAATAAAAATTTTTTCTGCGTATCAATAAATTTTCGCTTCGTCAGTTGAGTGTTATTTCTATATTAGTTTATAGTTGTGAAGTTTTCCCGAACACATAATAATATATTTTCAACCGTAAGCAAAATAGCAATCAAGACGTACAACAATAAAACGCCTTTTCGAAAAGATATACTAAAGTATGACGTCAAGGATGGTTTCACACAAAAAAGTGTCATTTTGTATTTTGTTTCGAACAATTCCATTACGTACAGTATCAATAATTATTACACTAATATATTAATGAACTTTACAAACGAACGAATATACTTGAAACGTAACAGCGGCAACATTTACAATGATTAGAATCTGTCTTCTAACACTATCGAAAATTACCGTTGGACATCAGAAAATGTCTCGTCTCAATCAAATGTTTACACCTACTAAGCACAGATTCCCGAGTTTAATCAATGATGAACTGTTAAATTGCTGTTTGCTTGTACTATGCGTATGATTATTCTTGAGATAATTATTCTAGGTATTGAAATTTAACACACAAAAAAATTCAAGGCTCTCGATAATAAAAATAGATCTAGTGAAAAGTTTGTGCTTATATTTGAAGTAGAGTTCTATCAATTTTGAATGCTTTTTTAATCGTTGTAACTTTGTTGTATGTAAAATTTATTTTCAATATCTCTCTTAATTCTCAGCCCTGAAAATCTGTAATTGATCTAGTACATTAACGTGGTCTGAGATTTCTGGAGTATATTGAGGTTGAAATGAAAATACAATAGTAAAAGTTCTAGTTCTGTACCAGGGAGCTTTCTTCAAACATCTAATGAAAAAGCAACGTACAAGTTGAACATGCTGACAAGTTTTTCGTTTGTAACTCTTAGTCTTTTAAGAAGAGAAAACTACTAAGATGGGCGTGAGGGCCATTAAAAACTACTCATATTTAAACGTGAACCTTATTATATCGTACATCTTGATGAACTTTTTCAAACAACAAGAAACAAACTTCCATTTTTCCTTGAAAATAGTATATGTTTCGAATAGTCTATGAAAATTATCATTAGTTAATTTTTCTAGGAAACGAAGTAATCATATAAAAAATCATGCCGTTTGTATGATATCATGCCTCGATCTTTCCCCAGATATATTCATCTTCATTTTAACAAGTCTACCGAAAATTGACTTTTTAAGAGAAACAACTCAACGGTATGGTTGGTTATTTTTTCATTAGTCATTAATTGTCCGACAGAATATTGGCAAAATTCAGTGTTGATTTTTTTTCCTATTATCTTCGTGTTTGTACGTAACGCATCAAGTAGGATTGCTTGGGTAACACTTCTTTTCTTCTTGCGTTTTGGTGTGTTTCGTACAATATGAGCAAGCGAAAGTTTAGTAACTATTTAAATCAGTTTATCATGGATTACACTCCTATTTTATGTTAGTGCTCGAAGGCCAACAGTACAGGTCTATTATTTAGAATGATACAGAGTGTCTTGTAACATAGAATATTGGTAAATTTTGTTTTATAAATATGTGTGACTATTGACTTGACTAAATGTTTTTACATTCAGTTTTAAGGACAAGATTCTTGTCTGTCTCTGAAACAATGTCTCAAAATATAAATTATGCATTTTTGTAATTTTGTTTCTACATCTGTTGATTGTATCAGTAGGAAAGAAAAGACAATAATGAGGAAATGCATGAGTGAATGTTGATCAGAACAAAAAAAAGAGAAAAAATATCAGAGGTTTTTTTTTCGTCGTTCCATCATCATTTCACCTATTATACAGTTGCAGAAGAGCATCAAAAGAAAAAAACGGAATATCTTCAATTGCAATCGACATGTTTGCTAATCGTCCTCAAAGTCGAAGATCGTATCCGCCGTCCAGTCGATCTCATGCTAGGCCAGGGTTAAACGATGCTTGGAGATTAATATGGCCCTTCACTACTACAACCGTTCTTGGAATTTGTCTCATACTATGCGTTCTTGTTATTGGAGCGCTAGAAACAGCGTCGTTAGCAATAAGCACCGATTCGGTTTACTATGGAACTACTTCTTCAACAGGTGCTGGATTTTGGTGCGAATTTTATGTTTTTATTGCTGCTACACTTATTCTTATAATTAGTAAGTCCTTATGACGTATATTTTCTCTATAAGAATGAGTAATTGTCCGTTTTCTTTTAGATTTTGTTCTTCGTACTCATTTATGGGCCACAGTTGCTTTGTTGGGAACTTTTGCTGCTGCTGGTTTTTCTGTTGTCATTATTGGTTTAGATGCTAAGGCTGTGAAAGATGCAAATGACAGATTTGGTACGCTTCCTAAAAAAGTAGAAGTACTTGCAGCACAATTAGCATTTGCGTGCCTGGAATTGGTGTTATGCGGTCTCTTTATCGGTATCTATATATTAGTTCATATATATGTTCAATTTCGTTTACGTCGTGTACAAAACATCGAAGCGCCCTTAAAATTTTAGGAGAACTATGAAAAGAACATTTATAGATGAACAGTTTTTTTTTAAATGCTGAATTACATTTTCACACTACTAATAATATATAAAATTAAATGAAAATAGCATAATTTTTATCAATGCACGTACACTATATGTATCATTAATTTTAGAAAAGGGCTGACGCGTGATATTGATTTGGTACACTCTATCTAAGTCATGCATTAAAATTGACAGTATAGAAATATGTATTCATTTTGATAGGATGTATTTTTCGATTGCCTATTATAGAATATCTTCAATAGTCAGTACAGAATTAAAAACAAAGGAAAGTCACAAAAAAACACTGCACACATTTTGAACATTGGCTATTCTATTCTAGCATGAGATATACCAATTGTGTCAGTATAACTCTACATATAGTCTGTTTCAAATTTTTGTGAGTTTTATTTGAACTACCATGATATCGAAGTTTTCTTTTTGTGATTCAATTCGTCAACTATGAATCGATGAACAGGCGAAGTCTACATTGAAATTGTATGAAGTTTGTGACTAGATAATATCTATAATAATTTGGATTCTTTTGATTGTACGTAGCTGAGCACTCATCACAGTTTCAATTACACAACAAAACGAAAGGTGTTGAAAGAATGCTGCCGAATTTTTTCCGATACCTGAACCATTCCACGTTAGTCGAAGGAAATCGGTTTTTTTTCAAAATTTTACTCAGACTACAACCAAGTAATATTTTTAACGAAAGACGTATTAAGAAAATATTTTTTTGTCATCAACTTTTGAAAGTAACCTCAAAATCTTGAATCTATACTATTATCGCGTAAGTCCGTTGATTATTAAAAGTTATATTACGTAACAATAACCGATTTAATTGAAAATATCTAGTGAATAAAATCCTTTCGACTTTGATCCGAATTCTTATCTGCTGCGAAACCATTTTGGCAATAGCTAGAAGCTATATTTTTCCAGAACCTAATTTTTGGCCTCTCGAAATTGACTAATCGTCTTTGGTATCGAAAATCAACTCATCGAATGTTAGATACAGATAATGCGGTAGCTACATAAAAAATTTCTTTTGTTCTGAAGCTTTTCAACAATAATAATGATAATATGGATAAACAACGACACTAAATAGATCTAATGTAGACTAAAAAGTCATATTAAACTGTCTTATGATGACCTCTTCCGTATGTGTGATTATCTCAATCCAACGTGCAATCCAACCAAATCAATACTAGTTAACACCTGAGATGATTTATCGATTCCCTTGAAAGAAAAATTGTTTTTGCAGCATAATTATTCGTTTACTTGATATAAATTCCTACTACATAGTCTAGCATTGCTCGTTATGCAAAAACATTGAAAACCAATCAATTTTTTTATTTGCTGTCTCACTAAGCACCTATGATAAAATGTCGCACCTGCTTTTTCAACATAGTAACAGATTTTATGATCGATTTCATTCCTCATAATTGAAGATAAGTATGAAATACTTTCTGATACAAATAATATACTATTGCATAATAAGTTACTATTATTCTGAGTGAACCCACATTTTTATTTTGTCAAATTATAATAAAATAGCTACTTGCTCTTTTCTCATAATAATAATAACTATTATTTCAGATAATGGCTCATTCATCGTTTCCTTATTATACTCTTGGTACCATTGTACATGGTCTTGGCCGTGGTGGCAAAGAACTTGGTTGCCCAACAGGTATTTAAAATTAGGCAAGTTTACTTGATAAAAAACAGAAAAAAACTTACGAACGTTTTGTTCTATGATTTCGTGCAGCAAATTTTGATGAGAATGCCGTTGCAAAATTACCATCATCGATATATCAAGGTGTTTATTATGGATGGGCAAAACTATTAATTCCAGATGATAATCAAGTTTACAAGATGGTTACTAGTGTAGGTACAAATCCATTTTATAACGGTGAAAAAAAGACTATGGTATGTAGAAATGTATAATTAGTATTCTCTCATCGGTTTCAATTCAATATCTCTTTAGGAAACGCATATACTTCATAAATTTACAAAGGATTTTTACGGCGAAACAGTAAAAATAGTACTTTTAGGTGAAATAAGAAAAATGACAACATTTAACAGTGCAAGTAAGTCAAATAAAATTTTAATGTATTGACATTACGAGTTCTACTGTAATTTGTCATAAAATAGTTCATTGTAGAAGAATATGATCTATATTTACTTATCTATTCAGATCCTAAAGATCTGTGCCACGCTAATTGATTGAAAATTATGAGACTTTAATTTCTACAACTTAGAAAACAATTGAAATAGGCGCTTGAAAGTTTAAAAAATCTTGCTCTTTCAACTCATTAAGATTATTTACAAATAGATCTCTCCCTTTAACTGGTGAATCTATACATATAAGTTCTCTCTATTTTATACTAAATTTAAAAATTAGAACCTAATTGTAAACACAGACTCCTGACATCGATTTCTTGTTGATTGGTTGAATCTTAAACAATATCATCTGATAAGAATATGAGAATGTAGTAGAGTTCCAGTTTACTCAACACTCTATTCTAGTTCTGTTCTATTCCAGAGGGAAGAAATTTATTATAACATAAAAACTGTTAAATCAAAAGTAGAAGTGCTCATTTTGTGGAACTCACATATATTTTCGAAGAAAATAGTGATTGTAAGTTGAATTGTTAGGTTTTTGCGGCTCCCCTGTACCCCACCCCACCCCTCCCCTCCCCATTACAGACATAAAACATGAAAAAACTAACACTTCGGTGCACTAATTAGATAAATTTTTTATACAGATCGATTGGCTATGTTCGTCACTACTCATATCAGTAATTAAAATCTAATTTCACTGATTAGAAATCAAGATAATTAGGATTTAATCACTAATTAATCGTCAAAATCTATCGTTTTTATTATTATAGCCCATAGTTACAACAGTATTATATATTTTTATTATTACAGACGTTAGCAACGAGCGTATGCTACCGCTACAGAAGCTAGCAACTAGTTTATGCTACTATTATATTCGTTACTTCTATCACCTACAATAAACAGATGAAGATTTTAATCTGTTTTTTCTCACACGAATACTTTATTCTAGAGCTTGAGTCCACTTTAGTGTATTTACAATTCGGAACTTTTCCATCCACTGGGAAGCTTTCATCAAATTTTCGTTTATGAAAAAATGTATCAATTTCTCACCTGGTAAGACGAAAAAATATAAATTTCTCAACAATACTGATAGCTATATCATAAATACTGTTTGAACTATTATCATTCACAATATTTCTCAATGAAACCACTAAACACTTCAGCATACTGACATATTTTAAACAAAAAACTTTTTTCATACGTTCTCTCTAGTAATATTCCCTATTGATAGATCCAATAAACTTCAAATGTTAAAAAGGTTTTATTATCTTATTTTTGAAACAAAATATGATCTCACTACACTGAAAAAATAAAATTTCTATTTGATCAATATCTAACTGACCGAAATATGTGAGTTCCACATTTTAGCCCCAACGGGGCTGCGCTGACAAGCTTTATTAAATGATATTCATATTAAAACTCAAAACTTATAAACCTTGCAAAATATAATATTTGACTCAAGTCTGCGCAAGTATAAGAGATATTATTTAATTCAAAACAAACCATGCCAGTATCTAGATCATCTTATCTTTATAAAGTCAGAGCACATCGGTACACAAAGATGCATGTTTTTCATGTGATCTGTATCTGAATATTACAGCGAACACTGATGTTTAAACTTGAATGAACGTTAATGTTGTTGTAGACATTGCCCCAGTAGGCCTTCCATCGGCAATACACGGCTTTCTATTTATAGAAACGCTACAAAAATCTTGGTAGAACGTTTCGAACTATCGTTAATTAACTATTATGAGCCTCAGGCTGTTAGCATCCACCGTTATCCAGGTAGTTACTTCACAGCTACTTCGTTCTTTTTACTCTCGTGTTGTCATGAGATTCATCCATCTTTTTTACTCTTTGGCTCTCATCGGATTCAATAATATTGTATTCTGCTTTGTTGCTTCCATTATGCATCCGAAAGAGATTCAGAAAAAGATCGTTTGATTAATTAATTCATTTTTATTTGAATATATTTGCTTTAAACAAAGATATGAATTTACACATGACAACTCTCTCAGTATTTTTTTACAAAGAAAACTGATGCTATTTTTTTTCTTCTAATATATACATACGACATTTTAATTTAGGTGAATTAGTAGATGCTATCCAAAATGATATTTCAATTGCCAACAATAAACTGGATTCAGAGGAGTGCCGTCAATATCTTACTGGTCGATTTTTTCAATAATGATTAAATAACTCTATTTGTCAATATAATGATGATGGATGACTGTTCTTTTTTTTCGTATAAATTGACGTGTTTTGTTAATTTTATAACAAAGAATACATCAAAAATAAATAGCCATCGCTATTTTTTTCTATTTATATCGATGAGAATTCCATAGATTCATCATAACGTGTCGTACTCGATTGTTTACGATTATCAACATTAAATATTGGATGAAGACCAAATGTATAATTTTCGATACGTTTATGAGCTTCTGATCGTTGCAATGGACCAAATATCATAAAACAGACACCAAAAAGACATAATATAGATAATATAAATATAATAACTAATGAATTAGGAAATGTATTCGTAGCAATCGATGATGAAATGTCATTTGTACAATTTTCATTAGCACAAAGCGATGGGGGCGATGAGAATGATGGAGACAAATTTTCATTAAAATATGGAGGCTCACCCGAGGTTATCATATACATTACGTTGAAAGCATTGATTAATTATAATAATTTGAATAGATTAGCAAAATTTGTTTAATTATCCGGTTTTTCTACGTTGTACTCATATATTCTACAAGATTAGAATAAGAAAAAAAATAGAGACAAACAAAAATAGTAGAATAACTTTGAAACAGATATATGGTAGAGAAGAAATGATAAATTACTCTGCTCTATAGCTAGCTGTCCGATGACATAACTTTGCCTGTTCTTTTACTCAACGAACATATCAACCAACAAAAGACTCTGGTTATGTATCCTTGCTTTCTTTTCTATACTAGGTTTTGTTTGTGTTACGCATTTTAAAGGACAAATCTCTCGTAGAATAATAAATTAGATGCTACACTGTTTCACAAAAAATTACACAAAAAGAATAGTAAGAAACATGTATGTTGGCATGTGTTTGCCTTGACATTAAATCAAGTATATAACAAAACTGACTTAGTTCGTTCGTGATGCTCTGATAATAAATTCAATCTTCTGCTTGGCATAGGCTAAAAGAAACAGCAAAATATCGGAAATGGGTATGACAGTATTAAAGCAAAAGAAAAAAAAGTGACATGTGAAAAAAACCAGTGACATTCTAAAAGTAAAGGAAAAAATCTAAATACTTTTTTTTCTTCTTTCATGCCGACTACGAAGAATATGAAAAAAATAGGAAAGGAAATGTTTAATAACTGCTGGGCATTTTAACTAGACCAATTTTTTTTCCATCAGCAATCAATAACAAATTTATGGAAAGCATGACTTTGGAAAAGTATTTTAGTACGCTGCTATCAGTATGACAAGAATCATACTAATCCAAGTACAATAGTGGAGTAAGTGCGTATCTAGCAACAAGTTCATAATCTCTTGTCCATAACACATGAATGTCTCGCAAGAATCATAGAAAGATAAATAGGGAGGAATATAGAAACTATACATATTCATGGCTATCCAAGGACATCATATTAGCACACATGTATCGCTTTATATTTGCCGTTCAGTAACACATACATACATATATCCTGTACTGAATTTATATTGTTACTACACAAGACTTTAGCGCCCTCTCTCAACGTGACTATCATAATTTAAGAATGTCACACTATTGTTTTTTCATTTAAAACATAAATTCTTGTTTGAATAATCAACACTATTTCAAAAGATTTTCCTTTTTTTTACATATAGAATTCTGTAATCATATAGAATGTCCACAATTGGTAGTTCATGGAAAATATCCAAGCTACTTTTTTTTATTGTTTATTAATTCTATATTCGTTTTTTATATTATCATTCACGTCAATGAAACAATTAAATCTCCTCTTGAAGAGCTCACATGATTCGATCGATATTATGTTTTTTGTTTTCTTTTGTAGATTTGTTTTTTGGAACAGAAAAAAACATCATGGGTGCCTATAAATATTTGCAAGAAATCTATCGTAAAAAGCAAAGTGATGTCATGCGTTTTATCTTTCGTATTCGAACATGGCATTATCGGCAATTAGCTGCTATTCACCGTGCACCAAAATCAACACGGCCAGAAAAAGCTCGTCGAGTTGGTTACAAAGCTAAAGCCGGATATGTGAGTAGACTAATGTTTTTTGTGTTTTAATTCATGTTTTATATTCTATAATTGCTTCAGGTTATCTATCGTGTACGTGTACGACGTGGTTCACGAAAGAAACCAGTACCAAAAGGCCAAGTCTATGGTAAACCAAAACACCAAGGTATCAATCAATTGAAATTTCAACGCTCATTACAATCAGTTGCTGAAGAACGTGTTGGTCGCCGTTGTCCAACATTACGTGTTCTCAATTCATATTGGATTGCACAAGATGCAACATACAAATTCTATGAGGTTATTCTTATCGATCCCTGTCACAAAGGTTAATTAATTAAATTATTTCATGTAAAATTGAAAGTTTAAAGATTTTATTTTGTTCTTTAAATAGGTATTCGTCATGATGCACGTATTAATTGGATTTGCAAAGCTAATAAGAAACATCGTGAATTACGTGGTTTAACATCTGCCGGGCGTAAATCTCGAGGACTTGGTCATGGTCATCGTCATGCGCTTGCAACAGGTGGTTCACGCCGAACATGCTGGAAACGTCGGCAGCAACTCAGTCTTCGACGATATCGTTAAACAACAACAACAAAATAAGCGACAACAATATCAAAATAATCCGTTTGATTTCTTGCTATTTCTTGTTGTTGTTGTTGTTTTGTATTTGTTTATTGAAAAATGAAAGAAGAAGTAAAATGAAAAACAACTAAAATTCAATAGTACAAAACAAAACAAAATAAATGATGATTGAATACAGGCTGTTTATTATTCGTGTGAAGTTAGATGAGATAAGAAAAAACGAAAGTAAAATTTATATTTTTACTTAGTTTTATGATAGTTCGAGAATAGATTTTGTTTTTGTTAAATCAATTTAATAATTCTCTATTAATCAGTAGAAATTTTCTTTCTCGACACATGAAAAAATTATTTTGGTGTACTTCAGTTTGCCTTGATAATAGAGAGTGATTAATGATCGAGTTTCATATTCAAAATTTAACATTTCTATAATGTACGAGAACATTATACTGATTTTTTTCTTTTTCAAATGGGAGCTTTACTTGGATCAGCGTACGCATAGGTTGATATAATAGATAGTTCGATTTTGAACTGAATAGTTTCTGATCTTATGTTATTGGATGTTTTAATGATTTATAAACCAACTAATTTGTTGAACGCATGGAACCGTGACAACTATGAATGATTATTTCATGTGTACCTTTCACAATAGAGATACTTCTTTATTGAAAAGACATCAAGTAGAAATAAATAAAGGACTAATTTAATAATTTTTAAAATCATTGATGCATAGCTCCTGTTTATCTTCTCGATTCAATGTTATGAATGAATTTATCTAATGCAACCGAAACATTTCTTTTCACGTATGAATATCACAGTTGACATGAGAATTCAGTTCAGTTTAGAGTAGTAGATTTGATTAGAGATAGAAAAACTAGACGCAAAACAGAGCAAAGAAAAGAAAAAAAAATTCAAAAAAATAAATAGAAATGAAGTTATATGAACGATATGAAAATATTTTCTATGAACTAGATTTAGCAGAATTTTCTCATTGATCATAATTTCGATTTCTTTTTCAAATTGGTGACCAACACAAAAAAAATTGTTTCTTACTGCTCATTTATCTCAATGCACTCTCATATCGTTTGTACGAGTCATGTAGTAATTAATGCATCTTGTTGAGCTGATACTTTCATATTAAGGGAAATAAAATACTTTGTTGATTATGATATTTATGTTAGATCATCATATAAATATTTATTTGTACTAGTTTTACATTTTAATAATTTAGTAGAATCCACTAATATCTAATGTTTCTGTTATCATTTGTTTACTAATTTGAGTTTTAATTATCAATCTTCGTCGCTATGAAACACACAATGATTAGACATAAATTATGACGATTCTTTTATATTAATTAATTTCTTTTTTTTTAACGAAGAACGACTAGATTACAACACATTAAATGAATTACTCATATAGAAAACGTTTTTTATTAATTTCCTTAAAGCTGAAAAAAAAACACACTTACTATCCTTCCATATCATACGAATTAAAAACTCGTCCCATTCCCATTCCCATCCCAGGTGCTCGAGGCTCGTACTTAGAAATGAAGATAACAAAATCTTTTCTTTTTTTCAACTAAACAAAACAAAAATCAATGTCTCCGATGCTCCAATGTTCAAAACATTAAAAAAACAACATCTATTCAGAATCTTTGTCATTTTTCTCTCTTCCATCAGGATAAACAAACCGCAATTAACCTTGGAAACATAAGTTGCTTTTTTTAATCTACTTACTCAATCAAACTATCTTATACTACCCACTAACAAAATTTTATTTCTATGCGTCATTTCCTCACAACATTTATAGAATAATCAACAGTTCCAATCTCAACTAGATTCTAAACTCTTCTGCCTCATGAATATAGTCGATTTAACTAGTTTGGTGCAAAATAGATAATATTAACCAATGAACTACGAACAAGGGTGAAAAGCGGATTTTGGGGATTTTCAAAATCCCATAAATTGAAAAGCATTTCCCCCTCTGTGAATGACGTAGTTTCGATCTGAAATTCTTCCTATATATAGGTTTCATGGTCCATAAAAGATCCTAAAAGTTTCAACTCGAATAAATGTTTCCTTCTTAACATATTGAATTTTCAAAAAAACTGGATTTTCTGACCGTGCCTTGAAATGAGTCTTTCTTGCACATTCATTATCTTGAGAAGGAAACGGCTGCTGTCGCTGAAAATTTCAGACTATTCTAAGAATCATGAGACTTACATATGGGGAAAATTCAGATGGAAATTTCATCATTCACGTTTTGGATTTTTGGATTTTGAAAATCCCAAATCCGTCTTTTCGCCCTTGACTACGAATATGTCTATGCAAGAATTTATATTATTAAAAATAGCTCATATTTTCTACATGCACCAGTGTTCCAAATGATTGAAGCGCCATTTGTATTGAATAATTCAAGTGCAAAAGTATTTAAAATAAAATCATATGAAGTAGTCATTGTCTTGTGTATTGATTGAGTTTATGAACAGCATATTTCATTTTCAAATTAGCATAATAGATGATGAGTTTTTTTATTGAAAATAGTTTCGGATGTGACTTTTAGTAAGATAAATGAATACAGTTCTGAACAATACTAGATCTAAAATATTCTATAATGCATTTTAGTATCAAAGATATCATTGGTCGTTCGCATAGGAAAAATATATTTCAAATTAATAAAATAATCAAGTAAGAAAAATTACATCCAATGAGTTTCCTCACTACATTTGAAGTATGAGCTAATATCATTGTGAAGTACTAAAAATTTAATAAAGCTTTCGTATTTTTCTAAAATATTCCTTTCTCAGACATGTCTATTTTTCATTTTTCAGCGAGTATCAACTTTTAATAGATCGTTCAATCTGAAGACTTTTTTTTTTTTATAGATTAATAGAAGCCGTTTCTATCTCTTAAATAGTATACTATTGATTCATAGTAAACAATGTTTGTGTAGTGTATCATTTATTTTGAAAAAAATCAATTACGAGAAGCTCGAATTCCAGGTGTCTATTGAGAGAAAGAGAGAGAGAAGATCTTATATTCAAAGGGGAAGATGCCCGGAGCTCAAATATCGGCGTTCCATTCACCAAGGCTCCTGTGTCAGAATACGTAAAAAGTATAGAGTTCAAATTCTGATTTACTAAATTATGAATCAAATACTATCGACTGTTAAATCTAAATGTCTAAACAAGCATTCCTTTCATCTTCATAAAAGCCAGAATCTCGAATCTGGACAATACGATTTATTTGTTTTCTTGCTCAAACATCTGTTTTAACAATACTAAGAAAAACACGTCAACATCTGGAAAATATTTTTCATTCTCGGTTAGACACCAAAATCTTATGCATAAATATTTTTCTTGTCTCTCATTCACCGGTTTTATTTCTATATTAGTTTTCTATCAAATAAAACGAAGTATTCACTATCTATCAAGTTCAAAAAGCAAACATCTAACGAATAACTAGCAAAACAAAAATGGAATAAAAACTCTCGGGATGATTCACACAAACAAAATAACATATCACAAATATTCAATACATTGTCTATTGGTTGTGTAGAGCTATTACAATTGAATTGTGACCATTATGATTTGTTTTTAATGAGTCCATACGTAGATCAGCCTGTGATTGAACTACAACACTAGTATCATCTTCGGAACTTGATTGATGGCCACGATGGCGCCGTCGTCGAGTACCATATGCACATTTATTCACATTTTCACCTGGTTTCACATATTCAAACTGTATTGTAAAATGACGAATACAATGTGTTTCAAATATTTTTTGCAGACGTCGACTAAACAAATCTCGACATGTACTTAATGGTAAATCTTCATCGCAGACAACATGAAATGTTGCAAATACATCGCGCGCTGTTGCTCTATAATATCGAGAAAAGAGCTTAGAATGTGGTTTTAAAAACCTTTTAACAAATACCTCCAAACATGTACACTGTGTACGGCACATATTTGAGGAATTGCTTTCATAATTGTCTGAATTAATTGACCAGTATTAATACCGGATGGAACAGCTTCAACAAGAATATGGCCAAGTGACCATATGACAGGAATAGCTTTAATCGCTATTATTATTACCATTAGTAATGTTAGTGAGGGATCAATATATTTTAACCAGACATTTATTGGTTGATTCGTTATTGGATCTCTATTTGGAACAAATTTATTTAATAGACCAGAAATAAGTACAATAGATGATTCCAGAACAACAGCCTGATTAGAATAAAAATAATAATGATTAAATATATATTCACATGTTTTTTCAACTCTAAGGTCGTTATAATTTCATAGAGATATTCAGTTCAGTAGTAGATTCACAACTTCAAAGGATCACAAGGTTTGAATTCGCTGAATAAAATATGTCTTATAATGATGAAAAAAAGAAATGTAATTACCAGATAGGATAGTAATACTATTAGAATTTTGCAAGCACAATAATTAGGTCATAAAGTTTTTATAATCGTCGTATGTCTTATATACAAGTTAACTTAGTTTTACTCATTTAAAAGCTATTGCGACTACTCTCTTATTTTCTATGTTCATCATATAACTTGACAAGTCATTGTTTTTTCTCGCCTATTACAAAAAAAAGTCTTTCTTTTTGCTTTATAATTAATCCTATTTCAGAAGGAAAAGATGTCAACATTTATTAATGTTTAATTTCATACGATCATCATAATAATCGAAATTAAATATGAATATCTGAATACATTTTTTTAATTTTTTTCTTATACTCTTAGGAAAATAGTTTTTAGATTTTGAATTTGCTTTGTTTCTTTCTTTTAAAAACTAACAATATTCATCCAGTATCTTTATGTGCGATCCATAATAGAGAAAATAAAAACAATTCTCTTTATTCTTTTGTTTTGAGAACTTTTATCTATATTTACCAATGAATGCAAACAGAGAGCATGAAGTGTTGCATAAACTCTTGATTCTTCAAAATCATTTTCTAATACTATTTTATCTTCTTCTAAAACCAATGTTGACGGTACTGCTGATTCTGCACTTTTAGCTGTTAAACGATTTAATTCATCGGATGTATTATCTTGTGCTCGTAAGTATTGCTCATTGTAATTGATCGATTCTGGTTGAGTTTTATCAGCAACAAGAAACGCATTTGTATATGTGTCATTTAATGATGGTAAAATTGATTTATGTCGTTTTGTTCTTTGTTCATTGATGTTTAATGATGTTTCGCTAATAGCTAATGTTGTTTTTATTGAAATATTTTTCTGCTCAACTAATGATAATTCTGGATTTGCATGATTCACATGAAGAGTTCGTAATGTATCATAGACACTATCGAGAAAATCATTTTTTTTCTGCTCGACAATTTCATCGCCGATATTATGATCATGGTGATAACCACGAAATAAAAATAACCCTAATAAACCAATACAAAATCCAACTGTGCCTAAATAAATCATAGCAGATGGATCTTCAATATGAATGGGATTGATTAATTTATTAATAGAATCAACAATAATTGAAAATGATAAGGACAATAGGAGAACTTCTTGTAGAAGACCAGCAAGTAATTCTAAACGAGCCCATCTACAAAAGGAATACAAAATAGAAATTTTCTTCGAGTGGAAAATTCCCATTGAAATTTTACCCAAAAGTATTTTTAGCATCTAAACGTTCCGCTTTTGCATAGCGTAATGCAACAAGTGAACCAACTAATGCAACACCTTCAGCAAATGAAAAGAGTCCATCAGCAATAAGTAATTGGGACCGAGTGCGAATTCCATAGACAATTTCAGTTATAGCTATGCCAGCTGTTAAAATAAGCATGATAATCATTCGACCTGTTTTCGATTGTGACATTCGAACACACCAACGAAGACGACGCCATGCCATCACCCACTCGTTTTTGTTGTTATCAATATTATTATTGATATTTTCCCTTGTTATTGATACTTGGTAACAGAACAATAATGATTAGTAATCATCATCTAAATGGTAGGTATGGGATCAAATAGAAGAATTGAAGGCAAAAGGATTATTGGCACCAATCTAGAATTCATCTGCAATATATTTTACTTATAAAGCAATTAGAAACAACATCTCCATACATGACAACGGATCAATAGTATCAGGTGGTAAATACAGCTGTCGCCTGATTTTACGATGAGAAACGGATAAAATAATAAAGAACGCCGAGTAATCTAAATCAATTGCCAGACGATGGGAGAAAAAACAAGAGAGTTCTTTCTGGCGAATCGATCTAATTGCGAGCAAAGGTCATTATCTTTATCAATCTCAATTTTCGTACCCATTGATTTCTCTTTTGCTATCATCTCAGAAACCATATTCAACAGAAATATGTTTCTTTCTAAACATAGTCTCAGATATAAAAAAAAAAAGAACAGCTAATTTGTTTTAATACCATAAAGGACAGTTTAATCCTAATTTCTAGTCCAATTGTTCTATTTCATTGTAAGTAAGAGAATTATTTTTAATCTTTCATCTACAAATTCTACACTAACTTCTTCTAAACTATTATTTACATGAAAAGCAAAGAATCAAAGCAAAACTAATATGCTCTGAATGATTTATCAATAAAAAAAATCTTAACTATGTAAACGTCTATGTCTGTAATAGCATCTAATTAGGTTCTTTCTATATGTTGCATAGCACAGTAAATAAATACTTACTGTTAGTACAATTAAACTGTATACATAGTATATTCATTTCAATCATAACGATCTAATGATCGCAGTCGTTTGTGTTTTTCACTTCAGTCATTTTTTACTGATTACTTAGTTATAAGAATAACAGGTCGCTATTTATAAGCTCTGATAGATGTGTTAATAATAGAACGAAAGAAGCAGTTTTTTACCATCTAGCAATTGCCTGTTTGTTATATCGTATTTACACCTCGGAACATATTCCTATTCCTATTTACAGTTCCCGCTTACCACTGCTACAACGAAATTTAGCAATGCTAGGCTTTATCTGTTGTAACGTTTTCTCTTTCATGTCATCCCCGCTTGCAGTATTTATCATTTTTGGTCTTATCAATTCTGTCCAGTTTTCTTCTTTGCAACAATATGAATCTACTCGCATACAAGTATGCACGAGTGAAATGGCTTCTTCTTGCTCTCGTCTAAATGATGAACACAGAAATATAGTGATGCATTTACTCAAGTGTTGATTTAAAACATAATTAAATTGTGCTAAAAAATAAAATTTTGAAGATTTCTTTCATAACAGTGTCTTTTCGAATATTAGAACATATATATATATATATATAGACAACCTTTGATTCCTAGTATACGTTATATTATGTAACAAAAAATACATGTATATGAATTTTTTTCTGAAGATCACGACAAGGTTCATGCTACAAGTCGTTGCATACTTCTTATTCGTGCATAATATAAACCATATTGCTTTGTACTCGTTTTATCTGAATGTACGCGTCTTAAAGAAAGCAAACTGCACGGATACAGTTTTTTCAATTGTCTAAGAATAAAAACAGACACAAGGAAAATCTCTCGAATTCGACTAAAAGAGAAAAACACAACCGGCAAATAGGAATGTATCACATTTTGTTGTAAGTTAATAGAAGAAAATAAACTGAGTTTTAAGGTCAACATATTTTGAAAAATAACAAACAAACCTGGAATTGCCATCACTAATGTAAACAGTGATAACCTGTCGCAGATGGAGAAAGAAAAAAGTTTGTAAATCTAAAGTAGACTAATACATGTTTTCAAGTGCGGGTTTTCTTTCCGTTCTCATCATTTATTATGAATATGTTAAATAACTGTGAATTGTCTTGAGAGTGGAAGAGAGCAAGAAAAAAAAGAGAAGAACAAGCACCTATAGTCATGCGGAACTTCTAAATTAGTTTTCCTTTTCCGAGATTGTTTTTGTTCTAAATGTAGCCTCAACACAGTTGCAACCGAGGCTTGTTCGCAAAAAACAAAAATTTTCCTTTAATATATCGTCATATCTAAACAAAGAGAAAAAAAATAATGATCAATGAGACAAGGTTGTATTCAGTCTCATGGATTACTGTCAAAAAAGAATTTTTTTCTTCATTGAGTAATACTTCTGAAATAATATAATTAGAAAATCTTAGAATTAGTACTTTTCTTTTAACTGTGACATGAAGGAGTTGCGACAGAAAATAAATTATGATCGTCAAGCTTTTGAAAGCAGGAGTGAAAGTTTTCAAATCAAACAACAATCATGCATGACTGAAGGTTGACATCTTTAGTGGAATCGTTTTTTCCTTTCTAATAAAATTAAATGATTACTGTTCAAGAGAAACCAGCGCATAAAAACAATGTTCTATTTTGTCACTATCGAATGCAATAGATTCTTAGAAGTCAACATTTATGTATAAATGTTGAGAAATCATTATGGCTTCTGTTGCTAATAATTATGCCAAAACATTTTCTTAGATTAGAAAAAGATTAAATATTTGATATTACTGATAAAATGTGACATGCATGCAATCGAAGAAAAAGCTTTCCTTTTGCTATTTTTGCTAACTTTAATATCGTACAAGCCTCATTCAACATTTGCGTAGCGATAGATAAGTGAATCAAATCTACATGCAATAAAAAATGAATTGTTTTTTCATTGTCATTAGAAAATTCAAATAAGTTTGAATACCTGGTTTTCTTGATTTAATCAACCACTAACAAAACACTTGCCAGCGCGATCCCACTAGGGGGTCGTAGTTAGGAATTCAGAATTTTTATTGCAATTAATCTATGACATTTTTGTAGAAAATTTACAATAATTTATTTAAAAATATGGCAAATGAATAAATTATCTAAAATGTTAATAATTTTTACAGCTGGTGCATACTCTAAAAATTGATCGTTTCAATTTACTATCATACAAGCGAATATCACAAGACACAGGATAGAATAAAAAGGTGTCGCAGAAAAAGAAATGAGTATTTATGTGAAATTAAAGCATCGGAAATCTTCTATTTTTCTATTAGTTCTCATGTTATTGTCTTTTAACTATGTTTCTACTAGAAATACAATGTGATAAATCATACTGAAAAATGTTACAGTGCACGATTTTTATTTACATGACAATATGATATTTAGCTTCGTACCTAAACGACATACGAATTTTGATCTTGCTGTCTAAAATAGCCTAAAGCTCAAGTTGCAGGCAACCCCGACGACGATTATTTTGCCCTGAAAGGTAAACTTTTTGATGTTCTGCCATCGGCATGTTGTATCGTTTTCTCTATCCGACTAATTTATAACACTTATTAATAATTAATGTGCAGGAGAAAAAAAAATATCCGTGTTATGATATATATTTTCAATGGAGTATAAAAGCTTTTTTCGTCAGAAGCACTACTTTTCGCTCATGCTAAATTTTAAGTTCATACATTTTTATGTCTATCATATTCCAATTATACTCAATCAAGAGTATCACTCAGGTTCAAGTAGACTCTCTTAAATATATTGAATGTCATAATCTAGAATATTTATACGAATCAACAGTCAATAGTAGAAATTTTATCAGTTACGGAACGAACTAGAAGAGTTTTAGAATCGATCAAGCAATATTTGTATTATTATTGACGCTCTCGTGTTTGTTGTTGAAAGTCAGAAGATTTAACCTAACATATACTATTATCTTTGAAATAAAATAGCTATGAATTACAAATCAACTCTACAATATCTGTTTATATGACAACAAGCGAGGCGGGCATTTGTTTTTAGGCATGTTATCAAATATAAGCTAGATGGTATTCGAGTTTCACTCGTATACGAAATGCGGTGCGAAGCAGGAGCCGAGTACACGAAAAAATAAAAGATTTAACGGAAAAAGAACAAGGAATCTTAAAATTAATTAGACATCGTTTTGACCTGATTAGTTTCATATTCGTTTGGAACATACATCTTTTCCTGTCTTCAGCAGTTGTAATTAAAAACGAAAAAGGTTTGAATGGAGCAGATGATTGAAATTTAAAATACACTCCGAGCAGCTATTGTCGAATCTATCACTACGAGAACTCCTCTATCAAGGCTTGTGAGCGTGTTCTCATCGATTGAACATTTAAATATATCTATGATTTATTATGTAGTTTTAGCTGTGAATGAATAGACTACCCATGTAAAAATAAATCGCGAAAAATCTGATTAAATTTGATTTTGTTCGGAAAATCGATTAAAACAACTAATATTAGATTACTTTCCCATAAATAATCAACTAAAACCGATTTTCATGTGCAATAATCGATTAAAATCCATTTTAATCAGAAAAATCTAGATAATCGTCTAGAAATTAAATCAATTTAAATCAGTTCCTAGAATAATCTATTAAAATCCATTCTAATCAGAAAAATCTAAATAATCGTCTAGAAATTAAATCTATTTAAATCAGTTCCTAGAATAATCCATTAAAATCCATTTTAATCAGAAAAATCTAGATAATCGTCTAGAAATTAAATCTATTTCAATCAGTTCCTAGAATAATCTATTAAAATCCATTTTAATCAGAAAAATCTAGATAATCGGCCAGAAATTAAATCTATTTCAATCAGTTCCTAGAATAATCCATTAAAATCTGTTTAGTGTTATCTTCTCAATGTGTGTTTTAAGAAAATCGTTTTTTTTCTGAGTATTGTAAATGTAGTCTCCATCGTAGATTTGTTGTGGTTCCGAGTTATTTGATTGCGAACAATTTCTCTGTCGTTGCATCATTTTAAATGAATGCATCTACATGATATTTTTTAATGCTTGTGTTCTGATTAGAAAAGAATTTTTTAAAAAATACTTGAATGTATTTGTAAAGCTGGTATTAAATAATCTACGAAGAATGAGAAAGGTTAGGAAAACGGAAATAATGGTTCATGTTGTCGGAAGATCGGAAGTAAACAGATTTTTCAATAAAATCAGCGACCTCAATGACATGAGACAGACTTTACTTTTTCTGTAGAATCGTCTCGATGTCTGATGTGTTCACTCTTGATGATTTTACTATTTAAGCTTGTAGTGCATATCATTAAAAATCAAAAATAATATCAGTTCGAGTTACCATAAACATAGACTTACAGACTATATAAAATTTGCAACAAATACACTTATTAAACTTTTTATCGCATAGATGTCGCTGTGAAGTGCTTCTCTTGATTCATTTTTCATTTTTGAACACCTTTTGTCATAGGCGGCGGAGTCATTAAGCGTGGGTAGGCGCAAGCCTACCCTAGAATAAAAGTGGGTAGGCTTCGGTAGGCTCAAACTACGGCAGACCAAAGGCGTGGGTAGGCTCAAATTATAATAGATAAAGTCTTGAATAGGCACTATTAAATGTAAATGTGTCCTATTATCGTTTAATTTTTGTTTTTTTGACAAATGACACATTATTACAAGATCAGTTGATATTTTCTGTACCAATACCAATTTCTTATTTAATGAGATACTGATTGAACGTCACTGGCATTATAGGCGGTGAACCTATGAGGCTCGTAAGGCTCAAGCTCAAGCCTGCCCAGAAATAGAGGACGGTAGGCTCAAACTAGAACAGATCAAGGCTTCGGTATGCGTGACTACATGTAAAAAGTTTCTAGTATTGTTCAGTTCTCGATTTCTTGTGATAGCTGACGTATTGTTATACGTTCAGTCCATATTTTCTCTATTAGCAACTCAAGGCTCAATGAGATATTGATTGAACTTTATTGGCATCTTTATCGACATCGAATTCTTGCTTCTTAATATAAGACAGTGAAATTATTTTCCGTACATTTCTATTCGAATTGACTTGTGCATTTTAGATATCTAAGTAGCATTATTCCTTCTATATATATACCAATATCAGCGAATTAAAGCCCGATTATGTTTTATTTTGCAGTATAAAACAAAAGCCCAATCATGTATTAATGAAAATCCATCATCTATGGGAATTTTATTTATGACGCATTAGATCGTAATCATATTCATACCGAATTAAAATCTAACAAGAAAATCTATAGCGTTCAGCCTTATAAAGAAATGAGGAGAATCATTTTCAAAGCCGATTCCACCCACGTAAAAGAATTAAAATTGATATCAGATTAAAAATGATTAATAATTGATCATAATCATTCGATTTTAATCGAAACTATTCGAAAAAATAAAAAAATTCATTGAGTATAACGATTAGTTCCGATTATAATCAATAAAAAGTTCAAAGATATCGATAATAATTTATTTTTCTTTGTGATAAATGAAAATCATCACGTAATTTTCGTCGATTTGCATCGATGATCATCAATTTTTGTTACGAAGATTTAATCGACTATAATTGGAACTAATGGCAATAATCAACGAAAACGTAATTTTTCGGTTCGTGTCGATTAAAATTCTTCAAAAACTTATTAAAAATCGATAAAAATCGTGTAATTATAATCAATTATTAATCAATTTTTCATCGATTTTAATCTGATTTCAATTCAAATATTTTTACATGGGTAGACCTGTCTTGGTTGAAAAATTGAGCCTACCCTAGACTGAAATCGTTCCGCCGCCCCTGTCCGTAGAACATATCGCAAAATGTTTTACAGTAATACTAATATATGTGCTTATGAAAGTTTTTATTTATTATCTTTGATGTAGAAACAAAAGATGATCTTACACAATTTATTTTTATTTTTTACAAAAAATGACGAATGAAATTTTTTTCTATGTCTTAATCAAAACCAGACAGTAAGTCCGGAAGCACCTTCTTCAACAACAATATACGGTTGTTTATTTAGTGATAAAGCAAGAATACGATTTTTCAATTGTTCAATAAATGAAGATTGTTTCATTTGTGCCGAATCAAGATCATAAACAGCTTGATAATGACGACGTCGAAAACAAAAAGAAAAGTCAGAAATCATTGGTGCTACGTCTGCAATGATTTGACAGCTTGTATCATCTGGAGAAATATGCATATTGTACAAAAGCACACGCAAAGAATTTAGCTCTGGCAAACTTGACAGTTTACGTAAGGCAGTCCAATCACAAGTTGCAAAATTTGTACATTGATGATGAAGAGTTATTTGAATAGATCGAATATTTTTTGAAAGTTGAAAACTATTCAACGAGTCGAGACTGTCTGTGAGAATAAGATGACGAAGATTCGGTAAATTCATCGAAACTTGTCTATCACATCGTAATAAATGAAGTTCGAAAATTTCATTTGAAGAAATAAGATGAGAGAAGAAAGTAGCAGACGATGGAAGATTGTCTGACATATTTTATTTAATAATTCGAGAAGAATGAATTTTATTTGTTGGAAAATACGATGAAAATACTTGTATTTCACTAATACATCTATCTGGAACACATAATTCAAAAAATTCCTTGAAAATCCATGGCAATGTGTAGAATAGATGTTGTCGACTTTTGGTTTGTTTCGTTCGCTAAAATGACAAAATATCAAAAAGAAAAGTCTATCATTGAAGTAACCTGTTATACGTAGTTTCAAAATGAAGACTTACATAGTTTTGACCAGGAGTTATGAACGGATGACTACCAGGCCAAGATTCAGAAATAAATGTTGCACTAACTATTTGATTAGAATGAAGTTTATTATTATGTAGTATATATTCACGAAGTTCCATATGTGATCGATCATCATTGATAATAAAAGTATAATGAACATCAATATGACGAAAATCTGTAAACAGTGCTGAACGATTCATTTCAACAAGATCATTAACATCAATTACAACAGAAAAATTCATTCGTCGTAATATAGGCATAATACGAGAAGAAGTTAAGGCATCAATAAATTTCCATTCCTCAATACAATGCCAAACAAAAGATTTGGTAAAACTAAATATGTGTAATGCTTTCATTTCAGGTAAAAGATTTGTATCACATAAACTATATTCCATATCACTACAGTGATCATTCAATGTTATGTGTAATCGTTGTAATGTATGTGCTAATGGTTCAGTCGACATGATCATTAATAAGGCATGTGTTGTAGAGAGTGTAAGAGTTAAATTGATTAATGGTGTTTGTATCGTTTTAAAATTCCAACGATGTAAGAAAAAAGATTCTGCCGTTCCTAGATCAAGTGAACGAAGAGCAGGCAGATGATGAAAAACTTCAGTAATGAAATCACATAAATTCCATGCTGGATAACACACTTCTTGGAATATACCACACTTAATGAAACAAAAATTAAATGTTAAAAAAAATACTTATAAAAGTGTGATATAGATTGAAATTTGAAAATTTTTCTTTGATTATCAAATATTCTATAAGAATAAAAAGTTTCTTTAAAGCTATCATACTCTCACCACCTTTCCGGACATAAAAAAAATGTTTTCGACGTTTTATTTTTCAGCAACATGAATACTGTGAGGTGTTCTCCATTGATATTCAGAGAAACTTCTTTTAGAAGTCTCTTAGACTTCGAAGGCAGCAATTTTCAAGATCAGCCTATCTTAAAAAACTCAATTTGTATTGTTGTTTGAATTTCGTCTTTGTGTTTGATTTACTTATATTATAAAAGAAGTAAAGGCATAAAAATAAATATTCTCTGTACGTAGACAACAAGCTTACCGGGTGCGCAGTAGTCAAAAAGCTAGAAAGATTTAGATAGGATGAAAAAAAAGATAAATATTCCGGAGAAAAACGAAAGTGAATTTTCTTTTGCATTATTTATTGAAGTCAAATTTTTAATCAAATAGAGTATTGTTACATCTAAGTTTTTCGGCCAAGATAAGAGGGATCGAGCTGAAAATTTTTCCACATAGACTAATCAATATTTGGAACATGTAGCTGTTTTTATTTTAAAAACTTTTGCTCGAATGACTTTCGGTAGCTTTCACAAAAAATTGTCTTCGTAGAAAAACAAGAGTTTTTTTAATGGGTGTGTGACGGATTTTTTTTTTTTATTGAAACTCCCAAAGATATAATCTTATAGAAGATAGTATCTAGGAATTTTGAGTTTAGTATAATTTTTGCTCTACTCTACAAGATGTTTGCATGAAAGTTTCAAACTTTCACATGCGCTATTCTTCAGAAAGAAGAATGTCGAGCGAATATTTCTTGTGTGGCAGTATTTTGAGCACCAAAATCTTTCGCCATTAATTTTATCATTTACACGCTTGGAAAAAATAAGTTGTAGTCTGTATTTTGGGAATATCTTTATCATAGCAGGGTATTTTGTTTTAAAAACGATCATATATTCTGAAAGCAATGAAGGCATCCTCATGTCCACACTCCCACAGACTTTATTTTGTCACTGTCAACAACATTAGTTTTTAAAATTTTTCATCCCTACAGAATTATCTTTTGAAAAAAAGTAATTATATATTCTGATAGAGTTCGGAATTCTCTATCATCTTGTACTTTTGAAACAAAAATCTATATGTAGTCAAAAAGCTACTTAATTTTAAAGTTTGTCAAGAAGCATGTCGAAATAATACTCGAATTATTCTTCACTACATAACTGCACAATAGTTAACCAATGTAGTACACGATAACAGAGAACTTCAAGCTCTATAAAAATCTATGATTGCTTTTTACAAGTAAATTTTCTAATAACAATAATAAATTTAAGAAGAGGACTCCAGAAACAACGAAAAATGCATGTTTTACATACTTGTCAATTGGTGGTGCGTTCACTGTACTCAAATTTTCTTTTCGATAAATGAATATAAGAAGATAAGTAAATATACTTGGTGATAGAAAATTTCAAGCTCTATTAGAATATATAAATGCTTTTCTTCAAAAAGTAATTCTGTAGTGATGAAAAATTTTAAAAACTAATTTTGGTGACAGTGACAAAATAAAGTCTATGGGAATCCTGACATGACGGTGTCTTCATTACACTCAATTGTTTTTGGTAATACATATATTTAAAACGAAAAGGCAAATATACAGCTTGATAGAAAACTCCACACGATTTCAGAATATATGATTATTTTTTAACAAATACGTTACTATGATAACGATATTCCCAAAATACACTAGACTACAACTTATTTTTTTCCAGGCGTATATGTCTCAACAAAGAATGTGGATATATGATATTGTTCTTGTTCATATTCAATCACTTATTTAAAACAGATGAATATTGACCTATTAAGAAGCTTGTTAAAGCAATTATGTGTTACGTGTTATTCACATACCAGTATAGTATATGAACGATTGTTTTGTCAAAGTGATCGTTCAGAGATCGAATTCTTTACTTTTTAGAAAAGCTTGGTATTGCAACCCTTTCGAGGGTAAAATATGGAACTCACGCTATGGTCTGTAATGATAGGGGAGCTGAAAAACTTCGACTATTGATCTTCCCCTTAAAAAAAGTCAGTTTTTGTCAGAATGACCGAAATTAAGATAAACGCAGAGGGCAATAGCCCGTGATCTGATCTTTGACAAACGACAAAAAATTGTTATTTGGCACCTCTTTTTTTTCCAAAAATTTTTGAACATTTTCGCCATCACTTATTCGAAAAATAAGCTGCTTTTAGAAGAAATCCAAAATCTTTTTCTTTTTTTCTCATTTTATAAGTTTTTGATCACGCCTCCCAGGATTCTTGAAGGAGCTTCATTGTAGCCAATAGTTTCTTTTTCTTTGAAAGACCGTATAAAACTGCAGTGCCTATGAAAGCTGGTTCTTTTATTATTAAGCTTTGCTTTTATTATATATACAAACATTTATATAATTAGAGCACCATTTGTAAAGAGTTTTTTTTGAGTCATTGAACCCCCGATCAAATTTTTCGTTAAAAAGTAATACTTTAAAAAAGTCGCTTTCATAGACACTGCATTTTGTCACACGCATTCAAACAAAGAAAAAATATTAAATGTATAGCCTGACGATCGTAGAGAAGTTATGGAGATGAAATTAGCCATTTTTTGACCTGTTGTTTGGTCAATATCTCCTTCAACCCTCATGATAAGGGCCATCAATTTTACCAGTCTCTCCCCCTACATATTTTCAAAATTCCATACCATTCGAACGTTCCTAGTCTGAGATCGATTTTGAAGGAGCAGCTTGAACACTTACACTAACTATTTTTCTTCGTAAATATATGTCAGTTTTCCAAAAACTAATATTTCTATTCAAACATATTTAAAATATAACAACGCATTTCATTGAATAGTAATCAGTAATTCTTTTTGGTAAATAAGTTTAAGATAAGCTTTTTGCTTACAAAGACTCTACATATTTTACTTTGTTGGGATACTGTATAAAATAGAATAGTTGAATGCATTTTTCTTATTCTATTGATTAGGTGAGATTGTTGTATGTCTTTTATTTTTTGTATAACCTATTTTATTTTTGTACGTGAACGCTAGAAGCTATAGTTGATTCAATGAAAAATTGTTTATTTAGTTTCTTTCTAAACATAAATAAAAAGCGCAAAAACAGCTTGAGTCGACTTGAACAAATAGTTTGACTGGCTCAAGTGCAGTTTAAGCACGCTGCCATTGTTTATGTATATGTAGCTGAACAGGAAAAAAATTGTTGGACAATAAAATGACAGTGTGCTTAAACTGCAGTTGAACCCTTTTCGCATATAATACGATATCATTGTCGGAGTTGAAAACTTTCATTTGAAATTTTAATATTTTTGACATAAAAGTCATTTAATGTTTTTGAAAATGAATCAAAAAACATTGATAAATAGAAAAAAGTTTGTATCTGTATATTTCGTCTTTTTTTTTCTATATACTGAATTCATAGTGTTAAAATAATTTTGTACTGTACTTACTGTTTCAAAATACTGGCTTGATTCAACTGTAAGATGAGTTAATGTATTGGCATGTTGTTGTGCAAATTTGAAAACATCAACCAAGTCTTGTACACCTTTCACTTTCAAAGTTCTCAAATTTGGTAAATAAGGCCAAGTTTTTAGTTGAAGAGATGATCCATAACAGTCAATAACAAGTGATTGTATTTCATTTAATCGAAGTAAAGATAAAAATGTTTGAAATTGACAGTAACGAGTAGATGATAAATTAACATGATGATAAAAACCTCGTTCAATTAATAATTTTGTCAGATGAATATTGAGCTTACTGAAAGACCACAAAGCATCAGCACAAGAGAGATAAGAAAGTATTTCAATAAATGCTAGATCAGGTAAATTATGGAAGCGACTTAACATTGTTATCAATTCTACAAATACGGCTAATAAAAAGTTCATTCTCTTTTTCTCACCGTTCATATAATATTTCATCGTCGACGTCCGTTTTGTTATTTTTCTCTTCATTATGTTTGACAACCGACAATGATATTAGTTCAATATGCTCATTTATTGAACGAAAAAAGACAAAAAAAAAAACATCAATGATCGGCTATTATGTCTATATGAATGATGAATTACAGAATGATTTTAATATATTGAATAACCAATGAAACACAGTCACCTTCGCAACTCTGAACTTTATTCTTGGAAAAACAGTGTGGTTTAGTCCACTTCGAAAATATTTCTCCTTAACAATAATAAATTATTTCTTAATTAATATATACGTATATGCTAGGAAAAAATGTTTGAAAAAACAATATTCACAGATGTAAACACGCTTCATAAATTACTCGTAGATGTTTATAGAACTTGGTTAAAATTCCTTATCTATATGTTTCAAAAAGACTATTTGTGAATCTTAATTTTAACATTTAAATTCGCTAATGAGTAACATTGCCCAAATTTTACAATTCATCTTTCGAATGAAGGTGAAATCGTAGTACTATATATACACACCCAGAAAAAAATAGTTTGAGTATCTATTTCGAATATATTGTCATCATAGAAACATGTTTTTAAAAACTAATTACATGTTATGAAAGCGTGCGGAGTTTTCTATCACTCTATATATTTATGTTTTAGTTTGTATTTGTGTAATTACATTTATAATTGAAGTGCGTTTTAGTAAAATCATAAGTGAAAATTCTTTTCATAGTTGTTTTCAAAAAAGAATACACTAATAAAAATTAACTTACAACAGGATATCAATATGCAAGGACAATTTAAAGAAATGAGCTGGCTTGAGTACTCATCGAAGTTTGAGAGAAACCTTTACCGAGTAATATATCCCGTATATCGGATTACACTTTATGTTGGTTATTTACACTTGCTTATATAGAAAAAAAAATTCATTACCTAAAACATGTGAAATCAAGAAAGGTTCAATCCTTGTATCGACATTCTATTTGATGAATAAGGTCGTTTACTTGAATTAATTCGTATGACATCAGTTCAATTTATTCGTGTGACATGGAAGTAAAATAAATCGACAAGTACATCGTTATATTGTCCGTTTATTTCAAGAAGAATATGTAGTCAAATCTTTAATTATATGACGAGATACATTTTGGCCAAAGACTACCTGTTAAAAGACAAACACGTACAGATAACGAAAGACGAGAACGAAGACAACAAACTAAACAACAGTTATTATCCAATATACTAGATTTTGATATTAGGAGAAAATTTTGATAAAAAAAAAGATATTTATTTTGTTCGTAATTTTTTCGTCCAGAAATTTTTTCGTTGATATTCTCTTTGGATAATGCAAGATTAGGTGCAAAATGTTTATTCGAACTTTTTCAAGATGCCCCACTAAATAAACATCTTTGCTATGTAAGAAATAAGATGAAGAGTTTATTATTTTTCTATTTGATAGCATAGATGTCCATCGCGGTAGAAAATCTGCCGCTGCCGCGCTGAAATCGAACCTCACCGCACCGCTGCGCCTAATAAAAAACCTGCTGCTGTCGTGACATTATGAACAGGATAATCTTTAGAACATTCTGTCTTCCAAACACTGAACACAGGTAGTTTCAAGTACTTTCTTATTTTCATTATTGGAGTTAAAACTGGTTGAATGAGTTACAACTCGATTCATCCCACTCAGTTGAAATGGTTGAAATAGTTATAACCTATTTTATTTCCAACGGTGCTTATTTTTGCCTTAGGATTATTTCATGCTGTGGCAGACATAGAATTATAGGACTTACTTTTCGTGAAACGTGAGGATCTAAATAACAGCGCACTTCATCATTAGATGAAAATCTTTTTTTTTGACAAAAAACAAAAAATACTTCACATTTTTAAGATCGTTTTAGAAGAGCGAGCTCTTTTTTAAAGCACTTTCTATGTTTTTTCCATAGAGCACCATTATTAGAAAGTTAAGTGTGTCAATTTGTAGCTGCCGATGTTACGGGTAAGAAGTCCTATGGTTCTATATCTGTGGAAACATGAAAGAATGCTATGGTGAAATTAAGAAAGTACTCGGGAGTACTTGCGGTCAGTGTCTGCTGTCTTCTAATAAAAAAAAACATGCATATGTATTATAAAATTGGTAGATGACGAAACCGCTTACAATTACGCATTCATTAAGGCTTCAGCGGAATAATAAGCATACATTGAATAATCAAAACCGTCTGAAATCACAAGATTCTTAATTATATAGAAAAAATGGTATAGATCGAATAAGATATTCGTTCTCCATTCGCACAAAGGATACTTCGCAGTAGAAAGAGCTAGAAATTATTGAAACTTGGACTCAGCAAGAGATTATATAGTAGCAAAGGAGCAAAATGATATAGAATGAGATATTATGATCGTGAATACTACGATTTATTAGTTAGATATGTATGAGTTCCAAGAAAATATTTTGCCTGTCATTGATACAAAAACAGGAATCATATCTGTTGTAAAAAAAAGACTCCGGAGAATCGATTCAACTATTTAGTATATTTTTCTTATTTTTGAAAATTAATTTCATATAAAAATCTTCGAGAAGAAAGTAATCATTTGCTCGTTGAATGAGTTTATTTTGCGTTTCCTAAGACCTCTCGAGTATTTCTGATAGCCAGCATGCTATTCACTTCATCAGGTGATAGTTTCTGTGTTCTGTTGTTTAATACAATCCCATTGTAACAAAAAACTCTTTCGGTTTTTAAAGATGTAACAGGTAACGAAAAAGCTTTCGGGAAAAATATTTCAAAAAAGGAAATTCCGAAGATGCCAATTCACTTGACCAAAAGTTAGTAATAAGTTAGTATTCCTTAGCGAGAAACGCTAACGCTACGAAAATTATTCATATTGATCGGTATATCAATTATGATACGATAGAATATATATCTCTGAAACTTTATTGACATGCTCTCAACTAAGATCACCATATAATCATACGATGCTGCCGCTTGTATTTTCTCTTACACGATGAAAGAGGGATTGAAATCTCTTGATTGAGACAAAAAAGTCGCTATAATAAGAATCACAATAGAACTATAATCTCAAGTATTATAGATAGCCGCAGGAAAAGCTTAACAAATTTTTTCAAAATATCGACCGCTCCAGCGCCGCGACGGTAAAAAAATAAGTAGCCGCTACCACGACGGCGGTAGCGGCAGCACCGCCATGGACATCTATGTTTGATAGTGGGTTTTGTTTTCAGAAATTAATAATGCTGTTTATCACTAAAATATTTCCGGAATCACAGATGAAATTATAATTGTGGTTTTCTTTTGATATTTAAAGTGCAATTGAGATTATTAATTTGAATAAAATAAAAATCTTTTGTTTTTATGGAATAATAAAAATTGAAGTATATTATGCTGCTTAGGTTAACCTTATGCTCGCGATGGCATAGAATATTCGTCTTGTCAAATAGCGTCAGTAGAATGATCATATGCATTTCATTTTATGACGAATAATTTGATCAGTTTAGTGATCATTGTAAGAAACGAGAGAGTTGAATGATTTGAAAATTTGTACTTTATCCTTCTACAAAAGAAGAAGATATGTACAGATATTTTTAACAACATGTATAATTTAGACATAAAAAAAACATCTTTAATCTCTTCTTATATATTCAATATGCATGTATTTTATTGGCAATACGTATTGCTTTCGATTTCTAATATGATAAGATTTACAAAAAAAGAAAAAAAACATGCATGATGTATGTCATATTTCATTTGATCATCCAAGGCTCATTGTAAGACGTAGCCAATTGTTTATGATCTTTTGTGTTCGAATCTGTCAATTATTTCTAATGCTAGAAAACAAGAACATTAAATGATGACTAATATTATAAATTATTTTACTTTATATTGGGATTAAGTTTGTATATTTTTTTTAATGTATTCGATGCTGGATTCATCGTATTTGACGAAATTTTCTTTCTGAATATGAATTGTATTCATGTTTTTCACGTTTATGCCACAATCTATGCAGCAGAAGTAGAACACAGAAATATGTAGAAGTTAAATATTGATGAATAGTAAACACTTACTCCTATTGTTTTATTGGTAAGAGCCAGTGGCGTAGCGAGGATTTTTTGAGCGTTGGGCCGCTTCCCAGCTAAATTATTTTGAGACATGGGCTGTATTGGGCAATTGAAAATTGATGAAAATTAATTGAAGATTTTTTTACGCATAACGGACAGAAATCAATTGAAACCGGGTTTTTTTCATGAATTTTAATCGAAATTGATCAAAATAATCAATGAAATTTTGATTTTTTCGATTATTTTTGATTAAAAATTGACTAAAAGGTGCATGATTTTAATCAATTTTTAATCATTTTGTAATCGATTTTAATTTGACTATACCCTTAATTGTTTTACATGCGATTCCATTACTGTTACTACTAATTCCTAAGTGAAATTTTCAAACGGCACTCATTAACATCTTCTTTTGCGAATTGGAATTTTTGTTAATCAAATTGCGAAAGTATTGTCCACACTTATACCGTTCAAGTATTCGGTTTAAGCTGCGTCTGTCGTTTGCGTTCAAAAGAATTATATGTTCTCTCGCAATATTCATAAATATACACTGATATCTTTATCACCAACTTTAAGTGAGGACATAAGTTTGTTTCAGGTTAAAATATGATAGAATTGTCATTATTTTGATTATTGCTTCGGTGGAAAATATCGTCAATTGACTTTTCTCGATCATTTGAATATATTTCACCAGCAATCAGCGTTATAAAATAACATCATCTACGTTTTTAAACGTGCATGCATGTATATCAATATTTTTCGGTGTTGGGCCATTGCTATTGCCTAAAAAATCTATTGGGCAATAAACTTTTAACCGTTGGGCAATTGCCCAATGGCCACCCCCCTGGCTACGCCACTGGTAAGAGCATAATAATCAGCTCGGATGTATCTACGACATGCATCACATTGATCACCAAATGCAAGTTTTATTAAAGCACCATCTAGAATAAAATTATTTGAGCATAAGTATCTGTTATGATTTTCGATTACCTTTTTCAGACAAATTTAAGCGTTTTGCCAGTTCATCACGTCGATCGGAACATCGTTTACACATATGTTGACGAGTAGCACCCATTTGAAATTTTGTATTACACGTGATACAATTGAATTCACTCATATTTAAATATTGTGTACGGAGAAACTAAAAATAACCGTGCCAACTATGTTTCTTTGAATTTGAACAAAATCTAAACAGTAACATTGTTACTGTAACAATAATATATATATATAAGAACGTATATAACAAAGGATAGAAGACGAATGGACAAGAACACGATATCGACTAAGAGAATGAAAGAAATAGATATATATGCAATAGTAGAATAAGAAATCCATTAGTTAATCGAATTTTTGATTGACCTTAGCTCCATCTTTAGAAATCTTTGTTTGGAATGTTGATATTTGAGATAGAAATTTCACTAGACCTTTTCAATAAAAAGCTATGATCACGTGGGAAAATCAATTTTCGACTTCAAAGTTTACAGGTCCAAAGTTCTCAATAAGATTAGCTAATTGTACAAGCTTCAGTTTGACTAGTATGTCTTTTCTGAAGGTACAAATTTTGCTTTTTCACATGAGAGAATTTCAAATATTTAACATATGAGGATATGAGATACTAGAAAAGCTAAAACTTGCATTATGAACTAATCTCATTATAAGAACTTTGTTCATGTGAAGGTTGAAACCAATTTTCTATACGATCATAAATTTTTGTTTGAAAATTCGAGTCAAATTTGAATATATCGAGGACGAAGATTTGGAAAATCAAAACATTCTAGACTTTTCCACTACTACTCAGATGAACATCGTCTCGATCGAAAAGCGATTTGATACATTGGAGATTTCCTCATCAGTTTATGAACAGTTTCTTCGCATGACATTAAACTATTATGATAGTTCCTAATGAGTTTGGTCATGTTTCAATTGAATGTAGTCGTGTATTGTGAGGATACAGAAAGTACATTTTAATTTCAAGATGAAAACTATCGTAAATAATTACGCAACATTGAGAAAAACACAAATAATATTATCAAAAATACTCGCACTATTTTAAGAGTTTTTCATAATATATAGTCAAATTAAGCTAGAAATGTTAGAAAATAAATTTTTGGTTCTGATCTAAAGGAAATTATTTAAGAATTAATTTGAGGGTTTTCTCTCTTCAATCAAATTTTGATTTGTAAGATAATTCTTTTAAAACTATAGAATATTTAACTCTCATCTTTTGTTTCGATTGAAACAAATTTTTATTTTGTAGTCGCACGTTTCCTATCTCTAACTTCTTTTTTTTCGTGATATCAGGCTAAAGTTGGTCTCGGGCATGTCTCACATTTTCTAGCATCTTCATATGAAACTGGTATAGAGATTAAAGAAAGGGTTTGTCTTAATATCTAAATAAAAAAGATTCGTTTAATTACTTTCAGAATTATTCTTATTTTTATCGAATTGAAAATTAAATGCGTCAAGAATACTTGATATTGTTTTTGTTTAAAATCTAATGTACGCTTCATTGATGTTAATTCATGAAAATAAAAATAAATAATTGATTATATTTTATCTGCAATAATTTTTGAGATAATGCTGTTGCATACGTGAATACAATTTCATCATTAATATCTTGTTTATCACCATTAATAATATGATTATTAAACGAACAAATAATTAATTATTGTTGCTAAACGGAATGTTTGTTCATCATGCACTAATTTAAAACGTTTTAATGCTCGTAAACTTCGATGATTTTGTACATGAATTATATTAAGAAAAAAATCAATTTCAATATCATTATAATTATAATTACCTAAACGTCTTAAATAATTGAAATTTTCATCGTCTATATTAATATCTATAATTAATCATAAAAGACAAATAAATTGATGTCGTATATAAATTAATATTTCTTATTGTTTTATATTAAAAGAATTTCACTTAAAATATGGTTAATATACTGGAATTTGTTTAAGAAACAAATTTATACATTGTAATACATATCCGCGTGATGATGAATCATTTATTGAATAATGAAATTCTTATAAACAATGATAAAATAAATATAAATATAAATATTCATTTTTATTTTTGAATAGCTTGTAATGTTGAAATTTCGTTTCTTATTTATTTATAACCACTTAGACGATGTTCATAGTCAGGCTCATGAACTTGATCAAGATTCCAAGAATTTATTTTAATAAATTGCTTCTAATATCAAATTGCACTAGAAAAAATATACATGTTAGCGTAATCACTTTGGACAAACTAAATGTGTTCTTTAGCCTAATTCTACTAATGTAAAACGCGTCAAGTGAAAAATCTTCAGTAAATTATAGTTATTTTCCAAGGATAATCAATCGTCACAGGAAACGATCTGTCTTATTTATTTCTGCATCTCTTTCGTGTCTTTTGTTACTAATGTTTCAATTTTTCTCTACCTTACTATAATTTGCTCGTTATTTTTCCTTTATTTAACATTATTATTATAACTATTGATTTCACTGATAAACAACAACCTGTTGTACATATTCATTATGTCTACATGTCGTCTGAACATACTGTCATATATTAAAGTATAGTAACTCACGGGTCTTAAAATCATGATCAGTGTGAAAAGTGACAATTTATGAAGATAGAAAACTCGTTTTTAGCAGTAAAATTCATAACAAATTTGAAAATATGTGTTTTTAATGCTGCTGTACAACAGCGATATCCTTGATCATGCCTAGGTCGAAAATCTACGATCGTATACGACCATAAGCTACAAAATACAGCAAAAAATGACCATCGCACGCGACATCGTAATCGGCAAGTGTATACGGCACAGTAAGACCTTGTACGGTGTTCATTTACGGTCCCCACACATGTCATTTGCAAACGACGACCGTATACGATCATACTTTTGTCGTTCATTTCTATTATAAGAGAAATTACGACAATCAAAGACACAAGCTAAAGAGAACTTTGTCGTTGTTAGGCTGTAGGACTAACACTTCCTAGTTTATTCTACGATCGAAAAACAACAACAACGTCGAGACTAACAAAACATATATTGACCGTTCCACACAGATGACCAATCAAGAGAACATATAGAAGAGAGAAGAAAAGAGAGGTAGTGGATATCAGATAGCGCCACTACCTAACAGTCGGGATCCATGGTTTTCTTGTAGTTTTATCGAGGGTATGATATCATTTAGCACCTGGTCTCTTACTGTGAATGTTTTATAACTTTTTGTCTTTATATTGATCTCTATCACTGGAAACGGAACTCTAACAATAACATATATATTTGAAGCACATTTTGAATTATTTACTTTTCAAACAACAATACAATTCAATAATAACCTAAGTCCGGTACATTAAATATATTTTCTTAAGATAATTTTATTGAACAATTTACAGGTAAAATTAAAGAAATTTTCAAAGGTTTTTTTTTTTTTAGGAATAACTTTCTCAACCAATTTATGAGCAAGATTAATTCAATCATAAAAAGAATTTCTTTTTCTTTGGGAAGACATCATGTGATTTTAATTGGATAAAAATCGTTGGTTTTTCTTGAAAATGTTGCATTATATTATATTTCATTATACTACAGTATTTAAAATATTCACAAATATATTCCAATTTCGAAAGACTTCGAATTCGAAATATTCTAGAATAGTCTAAGCTCTGTTGTGAATCTTATTCAGCATTTTTTTCATTATTGAGAAATCCTGGCAAAGGATTCGAACCTTGGTTGTTCTCAACTGCTATGTAAATGTATTCAATCATTTTTTACTCGTTGCGGTTGAAGCTGCGAAACCTCGAATTACAAGTTACATTCATTATATTTTTCTTTCAAAAACTTAATATGAAGTTTTTGTTACCGTGATTGGATTTTTTTGATTCATCAATATGTGAAACAATTAATGGATTGTCAGCTAAAAAAAAAAGAAAAGATCAGTATAAAGGAGATGTTGCAATAAGTCCGATTCTTTGCCAATTATATTTAGCGCTCGGAAGTGTATCAATCGCTTGTTAGGTACACTTTCTGACGTTTAGTTTTGCTTTATGTTGACATGATTTTTTGACCCGTTTGATCCATCCGGGACTTCTAAAAAGCCTTTTTCTCTCAAATAACTTGACGATTATATTCACTAGATGCGATTTTTCATGCTGATCGCGAGTATCATATTTAAAAACGATAACAATCGGCTTTTAACAGAGAAAAATACACACTACTTATAAATTTATCACAGAATAGTTTTCATTTCATAGCTGTTTTGCATATTAGAAATATACTTAAGAGAGGCTCCGCCAGACCATCGAGAATTCACATAACATGGTCAAATTTCAAATCCAACTCTAACTATGTTTATTCGATAGCCCATATTGAGAAACCTATACAGTAAAAATTTTAGAC